GAGTCACTGGGGAGGCGTCTAAGGTGTTAACTTCAGTGGAGAAGTTTTCTCACAGAGCAAAACTGACAACAGTTTTAGAATAGGTTGAGACTCTTCATGCATATGGAATCATCTCTCTGCTGAAAACACACATTCTAGGAACACATGGTAACGGGTTGAAATAAAAAATGAGTGCTTGTCGGGAATTTTAAAACAAGCTAGTTGTGGGCTGGTGCTAATCTGGGCACAGCACGGCGCCCGGGGTCTCCCCGTAGCTGTGTCCTCATGATGCATACGTGCACACGACACCCAGCCCCTAACGTGGCACGGCCACGACCAGCTTGGCGTGGCTCAAGCACAGAAGATGGAACAGGGAACGGGTCCCCAAGGGCAGAAAATCCACAAAGACAGGCCCACGACTGTGGGAAAGTCCAGGACAGGGGCTCCTTCGTGAACCCCACAAGTTCCCCAAAGTTCATTTCCTCCCTGCCTACGCTGAGGGAACGTAGGCAGCTGAGGGAACGCTCTCAAGCTGAGCTTCTCCAGCTGCCAAGTTCCCCGTGGGAGGGGGAAGGACACGGTGCCTGCAGCGACAGTAGTGCCCAGAATCTGGCATGTCCCATCTGTTCCCTTGGGAGTTCAGAAGAGTGAATGTCCTCAGGAGGTAGACCCAAGCGGCTTGCTCCTCCTCTGGGTCCCAGGCCAGCTCTGCTCAAGGGGATGGAGCCTGGAAGGCTTCCCTGACCTGACAGCCCACCCCTAGCGGCCGGCCCTCCAGGTCCAAAATCCTCGTTTAAAACTGTGCTTCATCTTTGCTTCATCTCATTTCCATAATATAAACCCAAAACGATACTAATGGGTTGAGAGAAAGGCGACAACTGGTATTCACCCGCCGTAGGTGACGCTCATGCAGCCACAGCAATCCTAGAAGAATCGGGGTGATGATTCTAGAAGGTTAAAAAGAGGTGCAGGAAGGAAACAGTTCTGTGCCACGTGGCTCCTGAATGCACACGGGACCGTCACGGCTGAACAAGCACCAGGGGACGGAGGCTTGGACCAGAAATTGTGATGCCGCCAGGTTGGGAGCTGAAGGGAGCGGGACGGGGCTGGTGCAGAAGAGCTGTCGCCTCCTCTTCCGTGATGGGAGCTGAAAGGGCATCTGCAGTCAGCAATGTTCAACAAGCAGCCAGAGTCCGTTGTTTGGAACTATGCTGCTGAGATCAGAGGTGACAGAAAGAACCAAGGGGAGACTTGCGGCCGGAGAGGGCGAGGCGGGGCCGCTGGGGTCTGGGGCCTGCGTCGCGGCTGAAACCCTGGTCTGCTTGACTTTTAAAATCACGTCTACCGAGCCCTGGTTTGAGTGGAAAGGAAAAAAGGAAGGGAGGAGGAGCCTGGGGAGGCCCTGGGTCCCAGCCAGCATCACCTTCCTTTGCGTGGTTGTGTAGTTGTGCAGCGGTTGCTTTCGAGCCACAAGAGCAGAGGCGAGCAGTGGCAGCAGAGGGAACAAGACCCACAGAACCTGAAATATTTACTGTCTGGCCCTTTAAGAAAAAGCACTCCGACCCCTCCTCTCAGGGGTGGTCCTGAGGCTGGGCTTCTGCTCACACGCCATTGGTCAGACCTCGGTCATGTGGCCACCCCTGCTGCAAGGCAGGCTGGGAGCTGTAGTCTTTATGGGAGGTGCCCATTGGCCACCTAGACTGTAGGTTACCACTGAGGGGACGGGCCCTCGGCGGGCACACAGCACGGGCCGCGCTGGGCCGCGCGTCCTCCGTTACTCTCAGCCCTGCGCCAATAAGCAGGGTCCTGATCTTCAGGCCCAACAGGTGGATGTCTCGGTCGCCTCCGCCTTGTCTCCAGTGTGGGGACCTGACGGCTGCAGAGCCACAGGTCCGGGCAAGGCTGACTGTTCTCTCGGGGGCTCCTTCCTGAAGCGGCCTTCGAGTGGTAGTAAGTGTCCGGCGTGTCCGCCTCCTCGTCGCTTCCAGCCACGGCCTGTGACCCCGGGGCTCCGCGGGCGCCGTCCACACCCCGTCACACCTGGTCCAGAGCAGACGTCCCTGCCCTCCGGGGAAGGACTTGTGTTCATGTGCCTCCCGTGGAGGCCAAGGGGTCCCAGCGATGTCCCGGTGGACGAGGTCCACTCGGCCTTCCCTGCGTGTCCTCCCCCGGCCCTCTGTGACCTGAGCCAGGAGGGCCTCCTGCCCTCGCCCGGGTCAGCTCCTCCTCCCATGTCACCTCCGCAGGCGAGTTTCCCCGCCCAGCGCCCCGAAGCCACGCAGTCCTCCTTTGCCCTCCTTCCCTCGAGGTCTGCGCCCAGCGAGTGCCCCCCCAAGGTCACGTCCAAGCTCCAGTCTCATCACATCATTTGGTTACACCCATGAGATCACGCGCACGCCCTGTGTTCTGGCTGCAAGCCTGGCCTTGCTCGTGACTCACATCCTCAGAACGGCCGCGAACCAGGTCTGGGGCCACGTTGGAACCTATCAAATGGGAGCACGCAAAGGGGAGGCCAGCCTGGACGGTCCCCGCCTTCAAACGGCGGCGAGAAGGGCAGAACCTTCCTGTGAAGTTCCTATAAGACCTGACTTTGTAGAAATAATGAGCAAGGATTCTTTGGTAAATAAAAAGGAACAACAAAGACAGGCACACGAGATGGGACTTTCCGAATGGCCCAGCATGGCACATGGGGGCTGATGGGGGAGGCTTTTCAATGGAAAATTACAGACCCCTCTGGGAAGTGGCACCATCCAACGCGAGATGGGTCTCTGGGCCGGGGCGGGGTGGTTTATTCTCACTGGGTGGTCAAGCGCGGGGTGTCCTAGGTGGACCGGGGAGTCTCACAAAGTGGTGGCTGCCTCTTCTGCTGCCCCGGCTTGGTTCAGCACCAGGTGGGACCTGAGCCCCATGACCCCGACGCTGCCAGAGGACAGGCAGGCGCAGGACAGCTGCGCGAGGGGTGTGCCTGGAGGCAGACTGGGGCGTCAGCTGGCCCTTGGCCCATGGCGCCATCGGAGGCCCCACAGTTGCAGGGCTGGAAGGAAGCTCCTGGGTGCGTGTCCTACGGTGTGTGGGTCTCTGGCTCCACAAAGTGATCACATTCGCTCAGGTTAGAGGAGGTTTCTGGAAGGAAAGCAGCCTCCGCGGAACCAGGACATGCCGAGCAAGTGGGCTACAGCAAGACAGGGAGGCACTGAGCCCCAGCTGACCCCCACGGCAGCTCCCTACGGTTCTGTTCCTGGGGCCCTAAGGTCAGGCTCTTTTCTAAAAGGCCAATGGCGAGCCCGAGGGCCTGGCTTCTCTGCGTTGGGTGCAGTCGGCGGGGCCGTGGGGTGGAGTCTGGGGTTGCAAACAGAAAAGCACAGAGCTGGAGCCGTCCACACGGTGGTGCAGAAATTCTCAGAAAAGCTGGGAGGGGCAGACACCCTGGCCACGACGTCTTGGGCTGTGGCCCAGCTCAGGCGCACCAGTTCTGAGTGAAGAGTAATTTCCAGCAGATGATGTTCTTCACGTGGTTAAAGAGACCAGGATGGATTCGAGATCAGCTAAAGTGAGGGCTTGGACTGAAGTGAGGGGCTGGCAGAGGGCAGGCGGGAAGGCCGTGGGGGGAAGCAGCAAGTAGAGGTGGCCGCTGGGTAACTCACAGGCCTCACAGGCCGCCTCCCGGGGTTCCCGCAGTTTTAGGACAGAGCCGCAGGGCCGTGTCGTGTCACGGCCCGCCTGGGTAGCGCGGGCCTTTTCCGTACTCTTGAAATGCTAAGAAAGGCCACACAGATAGCACAGAACTCCCAGTTTGCCCTGGTGTTAAAGTCCACACCACTGTGGGCGCTGCTGGGCGGATGAACCGACGCCCACGCTCTCGCCTAAGCTCCAGGCTTTGTTTGACTCCCGCTACCTTTGCCCGAATGTCCTGCTTCCCGGAGCCCGTCGCTCCGGGCCCATCCCTCCAGCGCCTGGGGCAGCTGCTGACCAGTGCCCGCCACGCTGGTGGTCGGTGCCCCCCTTACCGCCCTGGAGCCAGAGGCCCACACACCCTAGGACACGCTCCCGGGAGCCTCCCTCCAGCCCCGCGACTGTGGGGACTGCGGTGGCGCCATGGGCCAAGAGCCAGCCGACGCCCCAGGCACACCCCTCCTTGCGCAGCCGTCCTGCGCCTGTGGGTGTCCGCCTGCCTGTCCTTTGGCAGCATCGGGGTCATGGGGCTCAGGACCCACCTGGTGCTGCTACACTTGCTGCCACATCCTTACCCTAGTCTCTCTCAGGCCTGCCAGAGAAGGCCGCACTCCTGGGCACTGGGGTGGTGTGGATATACCTGTTGGAGGACGCAGGTCCCACCGCGCCAGGCTTCATGGCCTTCGGTTCCCAGGAATCCCCAGCCCCTCGGGAGGGCCAGTTGCCCAACTGTCCTGAGGGGCCCATAGGCCCTTGTCATGATGATGCCTTCCCTTCCCCTGCGACTCGCTTCTATTGTCTTATGCACAAACGTGGTTTGGGACGGGTCGGGGAAAGGGGTTCAACAGCGTGGACCCCCATGTGGGGCACACATGTGTGGTGTTCCGGGGCCTCCTCACCCGTGCGGCAGGCGGGAGGAGAAAGAGAGGCTTGGACCCGGCGAGGGCCGCTATCAGGGTCTCAGGCCCAGGGCTCACGGCCGTGACCTCTGCCTGCGGAGCGCACCTTCCCGCCTCCCCCGGGCAGCACTCTGGCGGCTCCTCCTGTCTGTGCTCAGCCCGTCTGTCCGGGAGAGGCACCGCCCCCTGCTCTGTGTGTCCAGGCCTTTCCACGCCGGGGCCCAGTCCACTCACTTGGCCCGGCAGGAGCAGGGGAGGGCGGGGCCTGCGTCCGACACGCTCCCGGGTAGCCTGTGCTGCCTTCTCCAGACGGGCCCGTCCTTCGCAATCACGTGACTGAAAGGGGCTCCTCACCGGACTCCCACCCCACCCCCCCAGGGCTTAAGTTAAAATAATAAATCTTGTGTGTAGTTATTACACTAAACACCAAAGGGCCAGAATCCACCCATTTCAAGAAACCTGATTTATGTAACCCCCTGCAATCCCATCCAGCAGTTCACAGTCAGAAACGGCAGCCCCATCTGGCCAACCAGGCCCGGCCTTCCCAAGCCGCTGACGCTGAGACGTCTGCCCCCCACGAGTGTGGGTGGGGGTCTGTGAGTAGTTGGGGGCGTCCATGGGCAAAAGCACCAGCAAACTTCCAGCGCCCAGACGAGGTGGCTGGGCCCAGAAGCACAGGGTGCAGGGGCAGAACCAAGGGCGGGAGGGACAGAAGACTGGGCTGCTGCTGGGATAAGTAGAGAGAGGAGGCGGCAAAGGGGCCCCTGAGGATTCACATTTGAGGAGGCAGGAATGGGGAGCAGGCGAGGGGTGTCTCTCACGGAGCACCCACTCGCTCTGTCCATTCACCCACCACCCCGGCTGGTGACGGGGTGTGCCGAGCCTTAGACGTCCGGAGCGAGAGGGCAGGTGGCCTCGTCCTGGGGAAGGCAGCCGCGGGCCTGACTACGGACAGACTGTGTGATTGTAGAACCGACAGCAGTTGGCCAGGGCCACTGGGGTGAGCTCAGGGCTGGGGCTGGAAAGAAACACAGCGGCCGTCGCGCACCGGGCCTGCCCCCGCCTCTCAAGGCTGTGCAGCCCGGGAGTCGCTCCGTGTCTCTGGTGCAACCTCCCTTCCCCAGGTGGGTCTGCCAACCCCACGTACTCCTCCCTGGCCACGTCAGCTGGAGCTGTACCCCCACCCCCCGCGTGGCGCAGCATCGGCCCGCTCACCTCTGGAAGAGCTGGCGGCAGCACTGGTACACCTCGAAGCTGCTGCTGCTCAGGGTCTGGTTGAGGAGGGAGGCGCAGTCCACCTCGGGGCCCCGCGGAACGTAGAGGATGCCTGTGCAGGGAAGCAGCTGGCAGGCAGGGCACCCCAGAGCCCTCCGGGACCCAGCACCTGGCCTGGGTAGGGGTAGCTGGAAGACGGGGGCGGGGTGAGGGGCGGCCTGGACTCCCGGGCCTGCACTCACCTGCGACACAAGCGTTCGCCAGGGACACACAGGCACCCGTGAGGAGTGCCCGGAGCACGATCCGAGAGAAGTCACCCTTCCGTTGGGGGGCCATGGAGACTGCAGGGACAGAGGGCTTGGGCTGGGAAGCTGGCACCCCTGGCTGCATCAGGGACTCCCCACCCTCCGTGGGCGGTCAACGGGCCTGCGTGCTCCGGGCTGCTTGCTGAGATGGGAGTCCTCCTGGGCCTGGCCCAGGCCCTGGGGTGCACCCCACACGCCCCCAGGTGGCAGATGTAGGAAAGGAGTGTGTGGGGTCAGGCAGGCCGGGCCAGACGCTTGCTAGCTGAGTGGTCTGGCCCTCACGCCACTTCTCCAAGACCCCGCTGCTCTCCCGGTTAGGGGGGCGAGGAAGCTGGCAGGCAGGACTGCAGGTGGAGTTTTGGTGGCGAGGAGCTGAGGGCAGAGGCTCCCTTCCAGGGCCGCCTGCCTGGGAGTGTGGAAACTGGCCACGCAGCCTCCGGGGCCAGGCCAATACTGTCTGTCACCCCCAGCCCAGACCTCTGAGCCCACACAGCCGAGGTCCACCCCCCGCCCCGCTCCGAGCCACCTAGCAACAGAGAAAACCCGGACTCCCAGGCTGGAGGTGCCTCGGCCATCTCGCTCAGGCCTCACCAGGCCGACTGCACAGCTGGGCCCCTGCAGGGGCTCAGCATCAGGCCCAGAGCCCGAGCCCCGACACCAGGACCCTGGGACGGCCCCCACGGGACTCACTCAGGCCTCCCAGCATGATGCCGATGGAGCTGAAGTTGGCAAATCCACAGAGGGCAAAGGTCGTGAGGGTTTCTGCTCTGACCTGAAAGACAGGACGGGAGGAGGGGCTTCCCGCAGGGGCTACCCGCGGGGCCCCACACCACCAGCACCCCGGCCTTGATGCTTCCCACTCCCACGCGCCTTTGGCCTCTTCACACAGGCTGCGGCCCCTCCGCAGGCCTGCAGGAGACCCCCCTCGAGCACTGGCTGCCTCACCCCCCACTGCAGCCCCTCATCCACCTTCAGGCCCCTTGTCCTGATGGCCAGCGGGGGCCCCGCCCGCCCGGGCCTTGTGGACCCTACTGCGCTCTGATCCCGGAGCGCTCGGGCAAACACCCTCCCTCCGACATGGTCTCTGCTTCTGTTTACTGCGGAGAGCACCTCGGGGTGTGCGGCCAGGTGGGGGCAGGAGTGGGCCTTCAGCGGGGAGCAGCATGGAGCCCACCCTGGGCTGGGGCACGTGCCCCCCTGCAGCCAAGGCACCTTTGCAACTCAGACGAGAGAAAATATTCCACGAGACGTTCCCAGTAACCCAGGACATGCTCGCTGAGACCAGGAGCGTGAGAAGTCGGGAGACTCTGTCTCCTCAGAGGCAGCCCCCTGGGGAAGCTCCTGGCCCCCGGGGCCTCCTGCCTATGACTCAGCCCGAATCTGGGACGCTGGGCGCTGGGGGAAGCCCGCCCACTGGTGGGAGAGAGAATAACGGGGTTAACAGCCCGCGGGGGGGCTGGTCACCACGGCCAAGGCCGCTTCCTGTGGTCAGTGTCGCCTGCAGAGCCCGCGACACGGCTCCTTCAGGGAGAATAAAAGGACTCGGGCAGCGCAGAGCTGCTGTTTTAGGGCGGTGGGAAGACGGGTGGTGGGCGCGTTCTCAGCAATGTTACATGGACAGTTTACATTTTCTAAAGAAATAAAAAACTGAATTTAGTTTCGAGAGCTTCCATGAGTAAGTGGACACTGGCCACCTTGCTGTGTTGGACAACAGGCTGCTGCGTGTTTGAATAAAGACAAGATAAAGACGGCGGTGGCTCTGCGGGGCTGCAAACTTGGGCCTGACAGCCGCGTTCTGACTCAGGGCGTGAGGGCGGGTCCTCGCTCCATTTCGTTTCTAGAGTGTCTATAGTTCCTCACTTGTTTCCATGCCCCACGGGGGCTGTGGTGGGCGCGTGTCTATGGGGTACGGCCGACTGGGCCCCTGTGCTCAGCCCCGCGTCTTCGGGTCCGGCCCAGGATGGGTCGGCAGCCACTCAGGGCCTGCACCCAGGACCCCAGCCAGACAACGCGTCCTGAGACCGGAGCAGGCCACCCCCTCCACCAGCCCGCCAGGAGACCCGGCTCCAACGTGACGGCTTTGATTCCTTCAGGAAGATGCATCTTCTGGGCCTTTGTAGCTCTTTGAAGGAAATTTTAACAGAAAGAGCCAATCCAGACAGAGTCCAGCACACTGTTCGTGAATGCCAACTCTCCCTCCCTCGCTCTCTGTGGCTCTTTCTCTCCCACTCTCTCTCTCCAGCTCCCCGCCTCATTGAACCCCGCATCTACCTCTGGAGAGAGTCACGCAGGCACCACCCCAGTTCTTCACCAGGAGAGACGAGTGTGGTCCCCAAGGCCACGCCGGATGGCAGCTGGTGTCCGGCTCCCTGTCCTGAACCAAGCTCCCTCCCACTTGCCTTCCCTGAGCCCCCCAGAAAGCAGCGAAGCCAGGACCACCCGGCCTGCCAGGGAGAGGGCGCGCATCGCCCTGGTGTCTTGGGCGTGGCTGCCGCAGGGCGGGGATGGGCACACTCACGGAGATCCACTGCTTCTTTCCACCCAGCCACTCCTCGGCTCCCGCCAGCCGGCGCTGCTTGTACTGGGAGAGCTCCTGATAGGCCACGAACTCGTTCAGGAAGAGCTTGATGCCCAGCAGCTCGGCCACCACTGGGCAGTCCTCCCAGGCCACGCCCATCAGAAAGGCCACAGGCCGCAGGATGTAGGAGCAGAGGAGCTGGTACCAGGTGAGAGGGCTGCTGGCACCGGAGCTGCCCAGGCTGGGAACCCCACCAGGCCCCGGCCCCTCCTAGCCCCATGGGCCTGGCCCCAGACCTGGAAGCTGAGCCCCTGGATGTCCACCATGTTGCCCAGCCAGGCAAGGGCGGCGTTGATGAAGGCCAGCACGGCCAGGAAGGCGATCAGGTTGGCCGCGATGTTGGCAACGACCTTCACAGAGATGGCGGCCCCACTGCTGGCTGCTTCCAGGAGGTTCTGAGCCTCTCTGTTGTCGGAGCCAAGGGATTGTTAGGACTCTCGTGACTCGGCACAAACAAGAGGGTGCGAGATACTCTTGGATAATTTTTCATATTGACTACGAGTTGAAATGATAATATTTGGGGTATATTGTGCCAAATAAGATCTTTTCCTAAAGTCACCTGGTTATTTTTTATTTTTAAAAAGTGACTCTAGAGCATCTCCAGTGGCCCTGCGGTTGACACCCGCTCCCCAGGGCGGCCTTCACATTGCTGAGGCTGGGGCCCTTGGATTCCCAAGCACGTGGGTCCAAAGTGCTGCCTTTCAACGTGTCTACAGGAACAGGACCCCTGGGAGTCCCGCCCCAGCGCCCGGCGCTGCTCACCCGTAGGAGAGTTTCACTCCTTCCTCGCTCTTGAACCTGGACGCCTCCACCTCCGGGTAGACCAGCTTGGAGAGGGCCAGGGCGCAGGGGGCGGCCATCACAGAGGCTGCGATCAGGGAGGCCGCGTCGATCTGCAGAGTGAGAATGCGGTCGGGGGAGACGGTGGAGGGAAGCTGGGGCCGGTGTGCCTGCCCCGCGGGTCACTGTCATCAGTGTCACTATCTGTAACAAGAAGGCCCTCGTGTGCAGAGTCACCGGCTGCGGGCACAGACCACACGTTCCCTTCGGAACTTGTGCAAGTAGCCGGGGCAACAGCCGGGGTGAGTGGCCGGAGCAATACCTGGGGCAAACCGTCCGCTCCACAGGCGAGCAGACCGAGGCCCAAAGGCTTCACCTAGGACCTGCCCGAGACAGAGGAGGAGGACTAGACCCGAAGCATCTGGGCCCCAAGTTCAAGGTCTTCCCTTCTCCTGAACCCCCTGCCTTGGGCCTCCGACTCCAGTGCTGGCTCTGAGGGCTTGTGACAAAGCTCACAGCCCTGCTGGGCAGGAGGGCCCTCCCTCTGGGGGGGGGTTGCCTCCTTGGCACTCACCATGGCCAGGCAAGCCAGACAACTCAGGAGAAGCGGCCTCCCAACACCTGGGCCGTGCCCCCCAGCCGCGCTCTAGAAGCTCCAGGACTCTGAGACCCGCCTGCTGTCCCTCTTCTGTTCTCAGCCCCCACATGCTTCTTTTCAGAGCTCAGCGGAGGCCCCTTAGACACGGCCAGCAGCCCTGAACACTGGCCCAGCTCCTCGTGGGACCTGCCTGGCCTCGTTCCGGGGGACCCTGCCACAGCTGGCATCTTGGGATTTCTCCTCCGGCCACCAGGACTTCCCCTCCCTCCCGCATGGAGGTGACTGTGAACGGGAGGCCCAGCAGCACACACCCTGCTGGGCCGCCTTCCTGGCCACGGGCCTCTGGGTGGCCTGGGGATGTCCACAGCCTCACCCCTGCCCTCCCGCCCCGCTGCTGCTCTCAGCCCTGCCGCCAGGAGGCCTGCACTAGCCTTTGTGCTTCAGGGACCACTCTGGCCCCACGACGCCCTCTGGCCTCTGCCCGACAGTGTCTCGGGCGGAGAGGGAGGGGGTCAGCGACCGCCGCTTGCCTTCTCAAAGGCGCCTCTCTGAGGAAGAAACGAGGTCCCCACCACGGCACAGCACACGCCAGCCCCATGTGACACGGACGCGCTCCAGGCCGGGAAGGAGCTGCCACTGGCGCCTGCGCTGAGTGCTTGCTGTGGGTGCTGCCCTTGACCCTGAGCCTGCGGGAAGGGGTCGGCTGTCCTGCCTGCATCCCAGACAGGGAGACCGAGCAGAGGACGACCCCCGCCCCCCCCCGGCCTGCACAGGGCCCCACAGACCCGATCCGGCCCCTGCCCGTCGCCTCTCACAGAGCCCCTGAGCCAGAGCAGGGCCGGGAGGGCAGGGCTGGGCGGAGAGAGCTGGCGCGCGTTTGGGAGGCGGGTGGAAAGGCAGACGTCTGCGGGGCTCCCAGGGAGAGATCCCGTCGCGGGGAGCCCAGACACCAGGGGCCGGTCTCCGGGGCGGGGTCCCGGCCAACGCGGGGAGAGCCAGGCCTGCGCCTGTGCGGTTTCCGGCCGCCGATTACAGAGTTAAAGCAAAAAGGTTAAATTTTCATAAGGCATTTGGTTTAACCCAATCTAGCTAAAATATCATCTTTCCACCCACGGCCCCGGCACAAACGTCCTGGGAAAATGTGTCGCTGCTGAGGGCAGGGCTGAGAACACCAGGAGGGGCTGCCTGGAGGAAGGGGGGGCCGGGTGGGAGGGGAGGAGCGGGGTGAGCCCCGGGCTGCTGCAGGGCTGCCCAGGGCCAGGTGGGGGCAGAAGGGAGCTTCTCTGGAGCCAGAGGCCGGTCCCCAGGGCTGGGACGGAGGGAAGGACCCGGGGAGGAGGGAGGCGGGAGGGAGGCCTGGGAGGTGCTCTTCATCGGGGGCTCCGAGGAAGGAGCCCAGCTTGAGGCCAGGCTGACCCTGGCGGCCTCTGCAGAGCCAAAGGGCGTGGGTGCGGGGGCCCTGGGGCTGGAGGCCCCGGCCAGCGGCCGGACTGGCCAGGGCAGGGGAGGGGGCTGAGCATTTGGCAGACGTGGAGAGGGGCGGGGTCCTTCTGTGTTCAGCCCAAAGCCACTCCGGGCTCCCAGGCTGGGAGGGGAGCCGGGCGTGGGCCTGGACTTGGCCGGCCTGTCCACCTCCCTCCAGGCGGCTGCTTTACGGTGACCGCTCCTGCCGGAATTTGCCCTGGGAGGCCTTTTGTGAGAATACCTGTGTCTCACGCTCTTCCTGATGGGACCAGAGGGAAGGGGTATTTGGAAGGTGACTGGCCGATGTTTTCCCAAGAGGTTACAGGAAAGCGAGGGTGAGCTCCGCTGGGGGCGGGGCGATCACCAGAGCCGAAGCAGCACTCAGGACTGTTGACCCAGCACCAGTGAGCCTGGCTCTTTTTATGGGTGGTTCCCTGTTCCCTGCTGATGGGCCATTTACACGTTTTACAACCACAGCTGCCTCACACAGGGCTCCCTCGAGCCCATCAGCTCTGTCGGACTTTCTCTTTGTCCTTCTGGACCTTATGTCACCTCCAGAATTCTACAAGGGCAAGTTGCAGAAATATCTGGCTGGAATGACCTCATGAGCAGCGAAGCCGGTGTGTGTGTCTGCAGGTTCAGGTGCTTAGGGGAAGATCTGAGGTGACACATGTCAGTGGCTCCCAAATTGAGTGGGCAAAGGAAGCATCTGGAAGGCTGGACATGGTGTGCTCTGGGCCCCTGCCCTGAGTTTTGGGTTCAGCAGGTCAGGGTGGGGCGCAAGAATTTCCCCTTTCACAAGTCCCAGGTGAGGCTGGGCTGGAAGACCCCATTCCACACAGCCAGACGCGGTTTCCCCGGCAGAAGGAGTGGAGGTGGTTTTGCTTTTTCACTTCATTCACTTTTGCAAGAAGCATGAATTTCTTTGACGACTTTGAAAAAACTAAGAGGGTTCAACGGTCTCAGGTGACGGCACAAAGAAGCCCAGGGCGGCGCAGGAGGGGAGTGGTCACTGCAGGGCCGACTGAGGCGTCCACTCGCTGCAGGCCCTTCTCCCCAGGGTGGGCGGGGGGGGCAGGAACAGGACACATCTCAGGGGGCCCCAAGCTTGGGGCGCAATTCCTGCCTTGGGGATCCCATTTCCTCCCTGAACCTCAGTTTCCTCACCTGTAAATGGGCTATTCAAGCACCTGCCACTCTGCCTGGGCGGCCTCTTGGCAGATGGGAACCGCTGCCCCCCAGTCATGCAAGGAGACGAATGGTCCAGCTGCTGCCCGCCTGGCCTGGTGCCGCCGCCTCCCACCACCCAGCATCGGGCTCAGGATGAGGGGCCCTTGGGTTGCTCTTGTGGGGAGCCAGGGTGGGGGTGCTACCACAGGTGAGCTTCAAGTTCTCAGTTTTCAACAGGGGGTGACATACCCCAAAGGAGATGTAGGCGCCCAGCAGGCTGCCGGCGATGGTGGAGTAGCCTCCGGTCATGACCACGTGGATTTCGGACAGCGTCATGTCTGCCAGGTAGGGCCGGATCAGCAGGGGGGCCTCGGTCTGCAGGTGAACCAAAGCCTTTGGTCAGCGGCGCCCCCAGGGCGGGCAGGTCAAGGGTGGCTGGGGACCCTGGGCAGGAGGTCAGCGGGTGCGGTGAGCGTGGGCTAGACCCAGCCCTCCCCCTCAGCCAGCGTGTGGCCTGGCCTCCTGCGGCCACCCGCCCACCAAGCCAGAGGTCACCGCTCCTCCGTCCAGGTTCTGGAGGGCCGTGGGTGGGAGGGATTCCTTCTGTTCGCGCCAGGGGGCGGGAAGTGGAGTTGCTGCAGCCCTGGGGCCGGGGGCCCTGCGGGGCCTGGGCAGGGGTGGGTCACTCGGCAGTTAGTGGCTGCTCTGCAGAACGGGGCTCCTGGGGCAAGTGGGAGAAGCCCCCGCCCTGGAGGAGCTGAAGGCCTGGGGCGGGGCAGGGGAGGGGCGTCGCAAGGAGCCCAGGGAACGTGTAACTGCAGGCAGTGGTGACTGGGTGACGGGAGGCCGAGGGGCAGCGGCTGGCAGTTGGGGGCGTTGGAAACTGAGTGGCTGGCGAGGCCTCGGCAGAGGGGCCCTGGAGCTGAGAGCCCACTCTGTGGTCTGGGGGCCCCACCCTGCCCCAAGGCCCCCGCAGATCTAAGCTTGGAAGGGGAGGACCCCCAAGCCGGGGTGGGAGGGGAACCCGGAGGGGGTGGAGGGCAGAGCAGTGGGGGTGGGGCTGCAGGCGGGAGACGGGCGGCAAGCGGAGCAGGAGGCCGAGGCCTGGGGCCTGTTTTCTCAGTGAAAACCATGGGGCACATGGTCCAACGTGTCCTTCGGCGCTTTCCCACGGCCTCGGCTTGACCGTCCCGACCACGGTGGATGCTGGGCCTGACGGCAGGTGTGACGGCACACCTGTCTAATCGGCTAAGCAAAACACAGAGCAAACCCACAGCGTGACACGAACGCATCTGCGTCACGGCAAAAAGACCCAAGGGTTCCGGAAGGTCCCGTCGAAGGGTCTTCTCCGGTGTCTCTCACCGACCCAGATGTGGGGCAGATGGGCCGTCCGTCCCCTGAGTCCCAGCGCCTTTGTGAGGTCAGGGCTGACACTCACTCAAGACGTGTCTGCCGGGGAGAATGCATCCTTGGAAAGGGGGGCACAGAATGCCTGGCTTTTCTTGGGGGACAGCAGCCAAGTCCCCCCGCGGTGAGCCCCCGTTTCCGCGGGCAGCAGAGGAGAAAGCAGGGCTTCCTACGGCACGCGCGGCCCTTGAAGAGCATGAGGCAAGAGCGGCCGAGCCGCAGGACAGCGCGCCTGGCACCAGCCACCGCATACGGAGCGCCCCCCGGGCGGCGACCTTGGCAACTCCGGGCAGAGGTTTCAAAGACTCCGCTGCCAGTTGAGTCTGAGGGGAGGGACCCAGGGCGCCCACCTCCGGCGGCGCGGCACCCACCTGGCTCACGAAGATGTTTCCAGCCACACTCAGCGTCTCTGTGGCCGTGGTGCCCATGGTCACCTGCATCAGCCAGGCGATCTGGGAGGAAGAGGGGTGCGCGGACGCCCCGTCAGGGAGGAAGGGAGCGGCCCCGGGACCTCAGCACCTTCCTCTGGGCTCCCAGCCCGAGCAGGACCCCCGCATCTCCTGGGTCCACCCAGCCTCCCTGCCGCACCTCCCTCAGCGGGGCGCGCCCTGCCTGAGCCCCCACCTCCGAGAGCAGCGCCCCGAACGTGCTCCCGTCCCCGCGGAGACCCGGTCAACGCACTGGAGTCACTGTCCACTGGGACGTGACCGGCGCACTCGCCCGCTGAGCCCGGGGTCTCGCCTGGCTCCCGGGGCCGCCCGCGGGTCCCTCCCCACCCGCGCTGAGGAGATGCCCAGCAGCCCAGCCCTGCGGGAAGGCGGGGAAGTTGGTCCTCCAGGCACGATGGACGGCTTCCCCGGAACCTCCCCGGCGCAGCGCCCAGGGCCCTGTCCCTCGTCCTGCCCCCCAACGGCTGCCCCAGCACACACCCCGCCCCCCCAGGCCTGGGCCTGCTCCCTCCCGCCCTTCTGGGGAGCGGGAGTCGTGGCCTGGCGCTGCCACCTCAGCCCAGGGCCCGGGCCGCAGCAGTCACCAGCCTGGTGCCCCGCGGGGGAGGCGGGTTTGCATTCCTGGAGCCCCGCGCTGGACTCCCGCTCTCTGCGCTGAGGCCCGGCCTCGCCCCAGGCCGGCGCCTCCTCCTGCCCGGCTAGGCCGCAGGCCTGACGCACGCACCGGGCACACACCGGGCATCGCCCCCGCTGCGTCTGGCCTGGCGGCCCTGCCCAGGCCGCAAGCCTCTGGGTGTGCGCCCCCCGCCCTGGCTCCCTGCCTGGCTGCCCGCCCTGAGCCCCCCGCCCTGAGCCCCCCGCCCTGGCTCCCCGCCTGGCTGCCCGCCCTGAGCTGCCCGCCTTGAGCCCCCCGCCCTGAGCCCCCCGCCCTGAGCCCCCCGCCCTGGCTGCCCACCCTGAGCCCCCCGCCCTGGCTCCCCGCCTGGCTGCCCGCCCTGAGCCCCCAGCCCTGGCTGCCCGCCCTGAGCCCCCCGCCCTGAGCCCCCGCCCTGGCTGCCCGCCCTGAGCCCCCCGCCCTGAGCCCCCCGCCCTGGCTGCCCGCCCTGGCTGCCCGCCTGGCCGCTGCTCAAGGCGCCTCAGCTCTGCAGCGCCCGCCCCGCAGCCCAGGGGGCGCCGCGCGTGTCCCCGGGGTCGAGCCCGAGCGCCGGCGGCTGGGCTGTCCGGGCGGCCCGTCGGGAGGGGAGGCCCGGCGGGTCCCGCGGGGTCGGCCAGGACTCACCTTGAGGATGACCCACTGCATGAGGCCCACGTAGTAGAGAACCGACATGACGCAGCTGAAGAAGACGATGATGGGCAGCACCTGGGGGCAGGCAGGTGGGGCTGGAGCGGGGCGGGGCTGGAGCGGGGCGGGGCGGGGGGGCTGGAGCGGGGCGGGGCTGGAGCGGGGGAGGGGCTGGAGCGGGGCGTGGCTGGAGCGGGGCGGGGCTGGAGCGGGGCGTGGCTGGAGCGGGCGGGCTGGAGTGGGGCGGGGCTGGAGCAGGGCGGGGCTGGAGCGGGGCGGGGCTGGAGCGGGGCGGGGCTGGAGTGGGGGAGGGGCTGGAGCAGGGCTGGAGCGGGGGCGGGGCTGGAGCGGGGGCGGGACTGGAGCGGGGGCGGGGCGAGCACAGGGGTGGAGCTACAGCAGGGGCGGGGCTAAGAGAGGGGCGGGGCTAGAGCAGGGGGCGGGGTGAGCAAGGGACGGGCTACAGCAGGGGCTGGGCTAGAACGGGGCAATCAAGGGGCGGAGCTAGCACAGGGGGCGGGGTGAGCGAGGGGCGGGGCTAGCGCAGGGGCGGGGCTAGCGCAGGGGGCCCGGGTGCTGGGCAGGGCCTGGGAGAGCCCAGGAGGGCCAGGACGCACTGGCTCTGAAGTCGTGCATGAAGCCACAGGGGTTCCCCTGGAGCCCCCGTCCCCTCCAAGGCTGCCGTGCTCTCCCTCCCCACACCTGAGGCCTGTGCTGGGTAGCGCCTGGCCTCCTGCCCAGCTGCTTCCCTGCCTGTGCAGTGGGCACGCAGTGCCAGGACAGCACCCACGCTCCAGGGCAGCGCCTGAGCGCAGGGCAGCCCCAGTAGGGCCCAGGGCCGCTTCCTCTGGGCACGCAGCTCACCCACAGCTCAGCGGAGAGGGGCTTCCAGTGCCCCGCCAGTGCCCTCACCGTTGGCTCCCGACTGGCCACACACCCAGGCTTTGTCGAAAGGCACAGCCGGGGCCCCCTAGGGCTCGGGCGCAGCAGGTCTGGCTGGGCCTGAGAATTCAGCCTCTCCAGACACTCCTGGGGCCGTGTGGACACCACAGAGACAGCCACCCCCCAGGCAAGGCCCTTTCCAGTGGGAACCGGCCCGCAGGCAGGCCAGAGGCCAGGACAGGGCCCTGCCGCCACCTCTCCCCCAGAGGCTGAGCTCCAATCACGTCCCTGGCCCCCAAGTTCCACAGACAGAGCCTGTCACCACCAGGCCACGACAAACCCCAAAACCCCAAGCTGGAAGATCTTCACAAGTGCCCGCTGCCGTGATCCCCCAAAATCACAGACAAGCCGAAGAGATGAAGACCAACACCCCCGACATGCCTCTGGAGCGCCTGCCGCCCGACGCTTCCCAGTCACTGGGCCCCTGTGGGAGGGTCACGGCCTCACTGGTCATGAGGGGAACCTCCCATGGGCCTCTCCGTTCAGCACACGCCCAGTCTCCCCTCACTCCCCGTGCCCGCCCTGAGGTCATGCTCATCAAGGAACTGGTGACCCCTTAATTGTGAGATTCTAAATCCAAGGCCAGGGCCTCCCTGGTGGTGCAAGGGTTAAAATGCAACCTATGAAGCAATCCACAGCCTCTGCAGCACGAGTTCAATTCCGGCTGGCCAGGGAGCAACCCACATGGCGCGCAGACCTCTCCTGCCGCCCGCTGCTCCCCTCAGCAGTGTCCTTCGGTCAATCTGCCTGTTCTGCTCCCCGCTCTGTCTCTGATGAATCCGCTCACCCCCCAAGCCTCTGGCCTGTGCCCCAGCTCTTGTATGCATAAATAAATAAATCTTTAAAAAAAATTAAACAAAAACAAAAATAAATCCAAGGCCATCTTCCCATCATTCCCTATTTCAGCTTTCCCCAAATAAATTTAGTCCTGGCGCCCAGAGGCTGCATCAGGCAGACACCCAGAGACCCTGGGAGATGGAAAAGGCATCCCTTCTCCCCAGGGGCTCCCCAGGGAGTGAGCGGAGCAGCCCCACCCAGCCCACGAGTGGGGATGCAGAGCTAGGGTGCGGCGCTGTGGGCGGAAAGTTTCCAGACGAAGCTGGAGCCAAGGTGGGTGACTCATCAGGACGACACTGCCGGGAGGACCGCCACGTAGCTGCGCTCGGCTGGGGAGGGGAGCTGAGGGGCCGCAGGGCCGCAGCTGTGGCAGGGTGGGTGGGACTCCACCCAGGAGCAGCTTGGAGCCTGCAAATCTGAGCAAGCTCAGGGGAGTTCCCAGGGCTGACTCAGGCCAAAGATCTGGGACTGGGGCCGTGATTCACGGGAAGGGAGAGCAGGAAGCGCTGGGTCCTCCCTTCCACCCGGCACCAGCAGGCCCCCCCCACCTTGAGGACAAGCCCTGAGCCTGGCAAATGTTCATGCATGTTCATGTGTGTGTCGTGCTGTGCACACGTGCGTGCATGCGAGTATACTGCAGTGTGCATATGTGTGTCGTGCTGTGTGCACGTGTGTATTGTGCGAGTGTGTTGCGTGTGTGATGTGTGTGCGTGTGTGAGCACACATGTGCGTGCATGCATGTTCCTTCTGTGATGCAGGGAGGGAGGGTGTGAAGGGTCTTGGAGAGGAGCGCATGTTCTGAGAAAGGATCTCGGTGCCGGTAGCCTGCGTCTCCAGCCCTGTCTGGCCCACGGTGCCCGGTGCCCGGCAGGTGGCTGCGGCCAGGAGGAGTTGGTGCAGCAGGCGTTGCACCGGGAAGCGCCAGGCTGCGTGAGGATGCACTGGCAGCCTCAGCCTCAGCCTCAGCCCCAGCCTCAGCCTCAGCCCCAGCCTCAGCCTCAGCCTCAGCCTCAGCCAGCTCGCATGTGCGGAGGTCATTATCGTGGTCAGGCAGGAGCTTTGGTATTTGGGAGGGAGACGGTGGCGCTGGTGTCGGTTGATGGGACGACCAACGACCGGTTCCAGCCTCGCCCTGCCCAAGCCCAGTCAAGCCCCTTCCTGCTCCAGAATCTTCACTAGCCCCATTTCTTGGAAACAAAACCAGCATTGATGATGCTGCCAAGATGCAGCCCCCCTCGGCGGGTGCCTTGTCCCCCAGCCCACATGTGGCCCCAGCGCCTGTAGGCCCATCGGGCAGCCTTGCCCTGGCTGCCCACACCCTATGTGCTCCACACTCCAGCCTCTTCTGTCCCGCCCATGTGTCCGCCTGTGTCCACCGTCCCTGTCCATCCTGTCCTGAAGGTCCACATCAAGAGCCACCTCCCCAGGCGGCTGCCTCACTTCCCTGTTTAAACCACCTCCCCTCCAGGCTTCCCCAGCTCCCACGGACCTGGGTGGTGGTCGGGCCTCCCTGTCTGTCTTTCTAGAACATGTGCAGTGAAATGCACCATGGGGTGGACACGCTGCCCGGTCCCTCAGGACCCAAGACCGAAGCTTCATTAGCTTGCAGTACCCACAGGCCCTGTGCCCAGGCCCGGTTATTCAGACCCCACTAACTGGGCAGTGGCTTCTGAAGGCCCCGCGGGCCGAGAGTGAAGCTGACCTGAAAGGCAAAGACCTCCTTGACCAGGGTCTCCCCAAACACGAAGCTGGAGCCGGCCTCGGTGTAGCTCAGGAAGACCTGCAGAGAAGACGCAGACTCTGGTGAGGCCGGGAGGGGGGCGGGGGAGAACCTGCACTGAGAACCAACTGAGGGAGCTGGAGGGGACCTGGGGCACAGAGTCCCAGAGACACCCCGGCCCTCCTGGCTCAGGCAGGTCGGCCCAGATGCTGGCCCCCTGGGCCCAGCCCCCCAGCCCCCAGCCCCAGGGCCCCAATCCCAGGCCCTGCTCCCTGGCAAAGTGCCAAAGTCACATTCACAGGCCTTGTCCCTCTGCGCACACCCCCCAGGAGACGCCTTTTCGGTACACTCTAAAGACAGGAGAGTTGCTCGGACAATAGAGAAGCGACAACGGAGGAAACAGGAAAGCGAGGTGCACGGAGCCGGGGTGGTTCTGTGCTGCTTGCTCCCGCCCACAGCCCCCCCGTCCCGTTCACGGCCTTGATGCCCTCCGCCACCCCTTCTGCAGGAGACATGGCTGCAGCTCCGGAAGGAGTCACTGCCGGCCCCAGCCTCAGGGCTCCCCACTATAGAGTAGGGGGCGGGGTCAGGCACACCCGCCTTCTCGACCGGCCCCCTCAGGGCGGCATGGCCGCCCTCCCCGAGGCACTGGAGCCCTGGACGGAGGGAGGGAGGTGGATACCCCTGACCTGCGTTGTCCTCATTACATTTTACAAAGGAAATTGCGATGGTTACCCGGCGTCTGAGTGACTCTAACGACGCCGAAAAATGGTAAAAAATAAAAATAAAAAGTAAAATTGGTGTCATACGCATTACCACAAGTTTTAAAAATGGAATTGAGAAAGTGTGACTTCAGCCAAGTGAACGTTCTGTCACACGCAGGCCATCACCCAGGCTTTCCACACTTTCAAGCGTGTCGGCCCCCTGCCGAGGGGCGCCCGCGCGGGCCTGGTACCGGGAGCCTCCCCGCCCGGACTCCCGCGCAGCCCCTGCCCAGGAAGGCCAGCTTTGGGGAGGGGACGCCAGCCGAGCGCCCGGCCTGGGGTCCGGTGCCCCCCCAGAGGCCCCGGCGGCGGGCCCGGCGGACACACCTGGATCTGGTCGCCCAGCCACTGGAATGCGATGAATCCCTGCTCCGTCCTGATGACGAAGAGTCCCAGTGCAAACTGCAGCCCGAGGCCCCAGAACACGGCCCGCCAGGACACCTGCTCCCGCAGACAAGGCCGGGGGGAGCGGGGCGCTGAGTCCTTGGAGACCCTCGGGGCCAGGGGAGGGCGAGGGCAGGGCTGCTGGGGGAGCGGCCTCTGCAAGCCTCGGCCTGTCTGGAGGATGGGGCTGGCCGGTCTGGGCTGTGCCCCCCGCCCCCGGAGTCTGGGTATGCCGGGGTGAGGCCTCCCCACAGCCCCGTGTAGGACAGGGCCGGCTCACGGGCCTGGGGCCTGGGCAGAGCCAGAGTTGTGGCTGGACCCTCCCCATCCAGCGGGGCTCCCAGCTGCCCCCACTGCTCAGTGCTCCCCTGCCCTCCAGAGGGGAGCTGGATCCCTAAGCCTGGCCGCCTCTGCATGTGAGGATCCCAAACAGTGACCCCAGAGCCAGAGCCCCAGCAGCTTGGGAGCCTGGGGCAGGTGTGGCCACACTGAGGGAGGGTGCTGACAACATGGGGGCAGGGGGCTGAGGAGGGGGTTCAGAGGCCACTCTGGTCCAGGGCCTGCTCTCACCTGGCGGTGGTGCTTCGAGACGGCGAATAGGAGGCCGAGGATCACGCAGATGCCAGCAAAGGAGACCAGCTGCTCGGGCCGCTGGGCGGTGTCCAGAGCCAGCCACAGGACCAGGCCCAGCAGGGCCGCGAGGGCCAGACCCCTGCGGGAGAGAGACCAGAAGGTGTGCCTTCAGCGTCTCCCCCTTGAGGGCGGGGTGCTCAAGGCAGTAGGAGGAGAGAGCGGGGAGCCCCCGGGCAGACCTCCAAGCCTCCCAGAGCCTCGTCTCCTGCTTGGGAGAATGAAGCCTAAGACCGCCGCTTCTCAGGGCCACAGGGGGTGAAACGAGAGGACACATTTAGTGAGGGGCCTGGGGCTGGGCTCCACCTGGGGCAGGAGATGTCACGCTGCCTTGGGGCTGGCTCAGCCCTGCCTCTGGCCTTGCCAGCCGAGCTGGGCCCGGTGCTCCCCACAGTCCTGCTCCCCAGAGTCTGCTCCTGTCAGTCTGGACTGTGGAGCAGACACACGAGAGCAAGCCCCGGGTGCGAGCTCACAGCAGTGTCCCCTCGCGGGACAAGCCCTGCCTGGCCGGGGCAGCCTGCGTCTGAGAGCCCCACTGGGGCACTGGGCACCACAGCTCGTGTTGTGTGCCGGGAGCCGCGCCCGGCGTTGACAGACCCGCAGGCCACCCTCACGTCAGAGAGGAAGGCGCTGCAGCCGGCGACGTGCCCGTTGAACGGCCTCCAGTTTAGAAAGCAGCAGAACTGAGGTTAGCCCAGGTCCTCTGTCTCGGCCGTGCAGATTCTACACTCATCACCACCTGGGGAGAGGCCCTCCCAGGACCCCGACTCAGCAGGCTGGCTCCAGAATCTTCCATTTCTGTCTGTGTCTCCCGAGTCTCTAGCGTCCCAGCTCCGGGCTGACCATTTCTCCCGTGTCTTGTACCACGTGTGTGTCTCTTTACTCGCTCTTTTTCTTGGTGAAGTGGCTTTATCAAAATTCAAAAGCACGTCTGTTTTTAATAGCTTTAGTAGCGACATGAGGGGCACATAATAAAAACTTGTAAGTGTACAATAGGCTAAGGGTTGACGTACCTGCACACCTGGAAACCATCCCACGGTCCAGTCAGCGAGTGCACCCTCGCCCCCCAGATTTCCTTCATGCCCCTCTGTAGCTCTTGCCTGATCCCTCCTGCTCCCAGGCAACAAATGATCTCTTTTCTGTCACTCAATTAGTTTTTATTTTCTAGAATTTTCTGTACGTGAAATGACAGCGCACTTTCTTTCCTATCCGACTTCTTTCCGTCAGTGTAACTATTTGGAGAGCCATCCATGTTTTTGCACGCATCCATCATGCATTCTTCTTCAGTGCAGAGTAGTATTCCGCAGAGTGGCCGTGCGTCGGCCCATCCATCCCCTGCTGGTGAATCTTAGGCGTTTTCTCCTAGCCCTGCGATGCACATCGCCGGTTCGTGGCCTGTTGTCCTTTTTACACCTTGTTGCATCTGGTCTTCTAAAATTTTCTTAATGACTTATACATCTTTGTTCAGGAGGGGTTTTGGTCTGTCCACTTGGTGTGGTTATTGATACGGGAGGAGGGGTTAGATCTATCACCTTTCAACTTATTTCCTATTGGTCCCATCTGTTCTTGTTCCCTTTGTTCCTGTTTTTCTCCCTTCTTGCAGATTAACTCTCTGCAAGTGACTGTCCTTTTGAAAGCCCGGCTTGCTGGGCTGCTTGGCCGTATTCTTTCAGTGGTTGCTTAGCGCGGACGCTTCCATCCCTCCCTCGGCCCGCCCTGGCTCCGCTTGACCGCAGGCTCTGCGCCTGTGGTGGGGAAACCCCAGGAAGGCTCGCGCAGGCTCCCCCGCAGCCCGTGTGAGGCCCCTCTATGGGGAACATAGCCTCACGCCACCGCATTATCACTCTTGCTGGCTCAGCGGGCTGCATGTTGGAGCGCTTGGGAGAAGACGGGCGTAGTGCTCCCCGATGGCCTTGCCGCTCCCTCAGCTCCTGCTCCTCGGCGCGGCCCCAGCTTCCCAGGAGTCTCCTCTCCCGTCTCCTGCCGCGCAGGCTGCGAGCCCCGTCTGAGAAACCCCCGGTTCTCCTTTACTGGAGGCAGGTGAAGAATTCCAGATCGACGGGCTTGTGGTTTCCACCGTCCCACTGTTTGCTCGACGGTGTTCTGGGGACCAGGTGTGCTCTCCCCCACATCCTTGCTCCTCGGGCTTTAAGGTTTTCTCTTCTGCCCGGGCTGCGGCTGGGCGCCCCGCGGCTCGCGTCTCCTCACGCTTCTCGTGCTGAGTCTGGACTGCTCAGAGCTTTGGGCTTATCGTTGTCTTCGAACGTGAGATTTTCGGACACTCTGTCTTCACGGGTTTTTTCTGCTCGGCCTCCCCTCGGCACTGGCCAGCACGTGTGCCCGCGCCCGCTGACAGGCGCGCCGTGGGGAGCGCACCCGTCCCACGCCCGTCCAGTTCTGCCTGCAGGCTTGTCCGGGGCCCAAGCAGCCTTGGTCCAGCTTCACCCTTCCCCCTGCTGACCTAGGCCTCTCCTGGCTCGCTGGCCATGCCCACCCTGCTGTGGCCACTGAGAATAAACACCCCCGGCCCCGTGTGGGATTGGGGGGGTTATTCCCTCTTTCTGGGGCTGGGAGTCTGGTCAGACTCAGGGAGCACCCTGGAGGCCTCCCTCGGCTCTGCTCCTCCTTCCTGGGCCTTCGCAGTGTCAACTCCAGGCTTTGCTTCCCTGGATTCCCCGGTCTGTTTCCCCAGCTCAGGGAATCTGGGGCCCCTTCCCTGCCACCTGCTTTTTCAGGCTCTAGGGAACCCCTTTAAAACCCAGCGGAGCCCAAACTGTTGTCCAGGCACGTGACTCACCACACCCGAATCCCCTGGGGTTACCTAGAAATACCCTCAGCGACCCCCCCTGCCCCCCACCTGCTGAGTCAGGAGGCGCCACCAGGCCCTCCCCGTGCAGTGGGCGGGCAGCTCTGAACCTCGGCCCTCCTGGGTCCTGTCCTTAGCTGGGGGTCACCGCAGAGAGACCCTAGGGAACTGGGTGCCAGGCACCAAGAGACAGCGTCCTCGAGGCCACCCGGCAAGCTCTTCGGGCCCTGGAGGCTGGAGGGTGGGGCGTGCCTGCCAGGCGCAGGGATGGGATAAGGCTGATCCCGCTCTCCCCACCCAGGCTGCGGCCCCCCAGCTGACTCAGAGCCCGCCCACCCCATGGCTGGCGCGAGCACACTCACCTCTTAAGCCAGAGGCGCAGGCGGGAGCTCCCCAGAGGCCTGGCCCAGCGCCGCAGCTTTGGCCCCAGCAGCTGCTTCAGCAGGCTGTGGACCGGGAAGGACAGGACCACGGAGGAGAGGATCAACAGCGCCAGGGCCCGCTGGAAGTCCAGGAGGCAAGCGACCAGCAGGAAGGCGGCCCAGGCTGCAGCGGTGGGAGCAGAGGGACTGGGTCGCTGGCTCTCAGACCCTGCGGCTGCCCCCGCTCCTCCCGACTCCCCCAGGCCTGGAGGGCAGGACGTCACCCCGAGGGGGGGTGGCAGCGATGAAGCCATCAGGCAGGACTTCTAGTGCCGTGTGAGCAGGACAGAGGCCTGAAGATCGCTGCCCACGGGGTGGCCCCTAGAGCCACTGCCCCCCGCGGGCCGGGGAGGGCGAGGCTGAGCTGACAGGGCTGAGGCCACAGGGACCGCTCTCCCCGCTGCTGCCTTCCCTTTGCCTTTTCCCCTTCGAGCGGCCACACAGGCCTGAGCGCCGCCTCCGGAAAGCCCTCAGGACTCTGGCCAGAACCCCGGCAAGGCACCCCCTTCCTCCGAGACCCCAGGCGGTCAGCTGCACCAGAGGAGGAAGCGCCCAGCAAGGACGCCTGAGGCTGAGAAGAGGGGCTCGGGGCCCAGCAGACCAAGTGCAGCGAGGCGGAGGCCTGCCAAGGGGACAGTGAGGACAGCAAAGAGCCGGGGCTGACACATGTTGCCCCGACGCGGGCTGAGAGAGGCCCCACCGCCATCATTAGCTGAAGACCAGGCTCTTGCGGCCCGGCCAGGTGGCAGCGGGGAGAGCCCTACGGGTTCTTCAAGGGCCTCCCTGGTGGCACAAGGAGTCAAGTCTCAGCACTATGAAGCCGTCCACAGCCTCTGCAGCACGAGTTCCACCCCCGGCCAGGGAGCTCCCCACAGGGTGCAGCAGACCCCTCCTGTCTCCCCGCTGCTCCCCTCAGCAGAGGATTTCAGTGGATCTGCCTGTTCTGCTCCCCACTCTGTCTCTGGACAGAGATAGCCCCTGCACCTCTGGGCTGCACCCCAGGTCTTATATGCATAAATAAATCTTTAAAAAAAAGAGAGAGAGAGAAGCAAAGCTGGATTAGGTGAGGGGGCGCCCAGGAGGCCCTGCCAGGGGAATCCCCAGCCCGGACAGGCCTTCCAGAGGCAGCTGTAAGGAGCCAGAGGGGCTGCCCGTGGCCCACTGCCCTCTGCCTGGCCTGTCCTGCTGCCCTCTGTCCAGCCGGCTCTGGGGTCTCTGCATCTTCTGTACTCGCCTCCCCTCCCCCACCAGGAGGGCCTCCCCCTGTGCAGACCTGCCTTTGCCTGGCCCAGGGCTGCCCTGTGCACAGCAGAACTGGCTCCTCCTGGTCCTTCGCCCTCTTTCTAGAAACTTCTGCCAGCCGCTACGTAGCCCCTCCCCACAGACACGCGCCCCTTCTCCACACTGTCACCTGGCGAACACCCAACAGCTCTCAGTAGCTTTGTCTGCAGGGCGCCTGCCCTAGTGTCTGCCTCACCCCCACTGCAGCCCAGCTCTGCCCGCGTCCTCCGGGCAGCACCATCCTCGGCCTTACCTGCACTCCGCCTGTCCCCCTGCCCTTCGCTGCACCCACACCACCCAGCGTTCCTCCTGGGCACCCCTGTTCCTGCTCCCGTCTGCTCTCTACCCCGTCTCGGCTTTCCAGGGCCCCCCCGCCAACTCCCGCATGGCTGGTGCCCGGCCACTGTCCTTGACCAGTGTCTCCTTTCTTTCTCCACGCCACCCACAATGGCAGGGAGCATCCTGCCTCTGCCCGCCCTTCGCAGCGGAGGGCTCCGCCTAGAACTTTACCCTCCCAGTGAAGCCTTATCAGCCCTGCCCCGCCTGCTACGCCTTCACTCCTGAGGTCCTCCCTCGGGGCGACTTCTCACCTTTTATCATCCTTCCCTCACCTCCTCCGTCAGCCCTCCCCGGGCACCCCTCCCTGCGGCTCCCGGGACATGTGGAAATCTGTGCTCCCCTCCTCACTGCCAGGGAGCATCCTGGGGGAGTCCAGGGCCTGGACTGAGCGGCCAGGGGTGTTGGGGGGCTATGCAGGGGTGGGGGGCTGGACCCACTCACCAGTGCACAGCAGGCCCGTGCGGATCCATCGAAACAGCTGCGCATGCTCCCGGCAGAGGTGCCTGGCTCTCAGGGCTGGCTGCAACTTCCTCCTGAGGGGATGGCAGGCTCCAGAGCAGGCACCCAGTTCCTACCGCCCCACCCCCTTGGGCCTCCTCCATCTCCAGCACGAGGCCATGCAGTCACATCCCCCAAAAAGTGGCAGCGTGGGGTATCCGGGTGCAGGGCCAACCCCAGCCCCAGGCAAAGGGAGAACGGCCAAGGCCTCTGCGCCCACCTGCCTCTGCCGCTCCACCCAAGGGGTGCCCCTGCCTCCCTGGCTGGGACAGGAAGGAGACTCCAACACACAGAAACCTGAGCAGGCTGCTTGCTCAGGCCAGCCCTGTGCTCACCCCCAGGGCCTGGACTTCTATGTCACATGCCCGCTGCCCAGTGCAAAAGCCGCGTCTGGCCGGGTATGTGGCCACTGTCCGCCTGGAGGAAAGGCTGCCTCCTCAGGGCCCTCAGGCCAGCACGGGAGCTGCCCCAGCTGTCTCCCCCCACACCCACCTCCTGCCTCCTCCAGCAGGGTCTGGCCGGGAGGGCCCCCAGGGGTCTGGGGGTCAGGGGCCTTGGCAGGCTGGCCGGTCCCTTTCCCTCTGGGGCTTTGTCTCCACGTGAAAAATGGGGGGGCAGACCAGTTTAGGGCTTTGCAAGCTGAGGCTGGAGGTGCCTCCGGGTGCCCCAGAGCTCAGTGGGGGGGCAGGGATGTTGGGCTGCTTCAGGACCCAGAGCCAACTTCAACCAGACCAGCCCCACAGTAGAGCTAGGGTCCCTGATGGCGGCTTCCCTCGGCTAAAGCTCCTGTGCTCCTCTCTTCAACCAAGGTTTGGTGTGCCCCCCTGGGCACCCAGACCACCCAGCCCCTCACCATCCTGTGGGTTCCTGGCTGGCCTGGCTCCGGCTGCCTCCGCCCTCTGCAGGGCTCCGGTCGCTGAGGGGGCTCCGGCCTTCCTCCTAGGGTAGAGCCATCAGGTGGGCTCCTCCGTGAGCCCCAGGCTGGAGGCCCGGCACGGGGAGGCCCACGGGCAGCTCGGGAGGGCTAGGAGGGGGCTGGATGTTTGCCCAGGATGTCGTCAGAGGGCAGCTTAGTGAATGCCACCAGCGCAGGTTAAGCGCTGACTGTGTGCCGGGCTTGGTGCTGGACACGTGCTGCCCTCAGGGAACCCAGGGTCTGCGCTCAGACCCGCCGTGGCTGGTCGGGCAGTGCCAAGCAGGCCAGCCGTCGACACGGTCCCCGGCAGGTGACAGAAGCACCTGGGGTCATGCAGGGGGGAGGGGTGTGGGGAGGCTGGTGGGAAGGGGTGTCTCTGGGTGGTCTGGCTATCCCAGTGAAAGACAAGACTCAGGCCCCTCAAAGCTGAGGCTGCCCAGGGGGGGCCCCGTGCGCACAGACTGGCTCTCCTCATCCTCAGGTCCCAGCTCAGTGCTGGCCCCGTTGAGGCCTCCCGCCTTTCACACCAGGCGGGCTGTCCGGGCAGAGCAGCCCTCAGCCAGGCCCTCGTGAGGACAGAGCCGGGCTGCCGCATGCGAGGCGCCACCCCAGGGCTCCTAGTTCCAGCAAAGAGGTGAAGGGGGGCAGAGGTGGGGGGGTGGAGGGAGAAAACAAGGCAGGCCCTCCCTCCAGGGCAGGGGGCGGGAGCAGGTGAGGGACAGACCATGCTCTCCAGGAACTCAGCGCCCATGTTCTCAAGACCGTTGGCCACGGAGGAGAGCGAGATGGCCTCTCTTCGGCTGGATGCGTCGTCCTCCATGGGCAGCTCTCTGCTGGGACAGCCAGGGCCCCAAGTCAGGCGGGACCAGGCCAGGGGCCTGGAGAAGCCAAGAGGACAGCAAGGGACGCGGCGGGGATGGCAGCCCTGCCTGGAGCTGCTGACACCCCCGGTACCGCGCTCCGCGGCCAGACAGAGGGAGGCGGTCGTCCTGCGCTCACTCCCGAGCCCCCGGAGGGCAGGCAGAGCGGGGAAGGAGGGACGGACTCGGGCTCAGCACACACATGGGTCCGAAAGGGGCTTTTTTGGGGAGAGACACCCCAGAGGTCGTCACGCCCCACAGCAGTTTAGAACCATCGCGCTTAGGAGGTCCCAGCGCCATTAAAGCACGAGACATCACCGCTCACCCACCGGCATGGCTGCGTCAACAGGCTCAGCGATACGAAGTGTCCACGAGGAAGTGGGGTGATGGGAACCCTCACTGGAAAGTGCTGACGCTGCTTTGGAAAACGGCCTGGCAGCTTGTCAACCAGAATGAATGCAGACCCAGAGACCCAGGCTGTAGGACCCGGCAACTCTACTCCTGGCTCTCCAGGAGAACAGAAAACGCGTCTGCACGGAAACCGGCACAAGAATACCCCCAGCGGCACTGACTCACAATAAGCAAAAAGTGGGAACAACCGAAATGCCCACCAAGTAACAAATGAGCAGGTCAAATGCAGTGCACCTGAATGGAGGAAGATTATGTGGCCTCAAATAACATCCCGGTGCGTGCTGCGCGCGGGGAGACCTTGAAAGCATGATGCTAATCGAAAGACGTCAGTCGCAGTAGACCATCGATTATGACTCCGTTCTTAGGAAACCTCAGAACAGGAAAAGCCATAGAAACAGAAAGTAGGTTCCTGATTGCTTAGGGCTAGGCAGGTGGGGACAAGGGGGTAGAGGAGCTATTATTAAAGCCTATGGGGCGTCTATCTGGGTGACAAAATGCTCTAAAGTGGATTGCTGGGCCTCCCCTGGTGGCACCACGGTTGAGCGCTGAGCTGTGAAGCTGCCCGCAGCCTCTGCTGCGCCGGTTCAGTCCCCGGCAGCCAGCGAGGGTCCCACATGGCGCGCAGACCTCTCCTGCCGCCTGCTGCTCCCCTCAGCAGTGTACTTCGTCAGTCCGCCTGCTCTGCTCCCTGCTCTGGCTCTGGTGAATTCTCTCGGCCTCCCGACTGTGCCCAGTGCTTGTATAAATAAATAAATAAATAAGTCTTTAAAAAAATTAAAACGGACCGCGGTGCTGGCGTGGCTATCTGTGAGTAGCTAAGAACACTGAAGTGTGTACTTTCAAGGGATGAATTACATGCTGTGTGACCTCTCTCAACAAAGACATCAAATTCAAACAAAGTCACACCTTCCTTGTATTCTCCGTCCCCGCCTCTAAGGACGGAGACACAACATTCTGACGCATCATTCCGGCTCCGGCATCCAGCTCTACCGAAGCTGGCCCTGCCTTTGGGCTTTTTGACTACAAGGGCCAGTACGCACCAGTGCTTGTGCCGCTGGTGTTCAGGCCACAGGCTTCACTCACCTGAAAAAAGGTCCCTGAGTAACACTCCTGGCTCCCCGCTCCTGTTCCCTCCTTCCCCTCTCCCGACTCGATCAAAACATCAGCCTGGTTAGGTTGACAAACCCAGGTGAGCACTTACACACACCCACGCACACATACACACACACACGTAGAGATACAAACTCACACACCTACATAGACAAAGACACACACAGATACATGCACACATACACACACACGTACGCCCAGCCCCACAAATATATAAACATAGACACTCAGATACACACACGCGCGCGCACGCACACACGCGTGTGCACACACACGAGCAGAGCCCGAGCAGGCCCAGCTCCCTGGGCAGGGTCGGGCCCAGGATAGGCAGCCCCACGTGCCAAGGCGACACACAGTTATTCCAGATCGGGCTGCTCTGAGGCTTCGAGGAGCGTGAGACTCTGGCCCGCCCTGTCTCCTAGAAGCTGGAACTGGACGCTGGGTGAGGGTGTCCTCCTGCGGCAGGGAAGGGCTGAGGTGTGTGGGGCCGCTTCTCCTGTGAGTGAGATTCCTCTTCCCTAGCCCAGTGAGCTAGTGACCAGCACCAGAACGTCTTTGTCCTGTCAGTTCTCCTAGATTTAGGGGGCAGCCCGCCCTTCGTCAGCTCTTTGAACCTCTCTGAGAAGCTCCTGCCTGTACAAATCAGATGGCTGGATTTTTCCTCCTGTTAATCTGTCCTGTATTTACAGGGCTGCCTCAGCGAAGAACCAGGGAGCGCAGAGAAGTTGTTCTCCCCAACAAAGCGGAGACGCTGCGCAGGGAGGCCGGGGCCTCTTCTACTCACGTTCGTGGGAATGAGTCGCCCTCGGGAACAGATGGACGCGGGATCCGCGGGCACAGGCTGGAGCCAACCTGCTGCGCAGTGGCCGGCTCCTTGGTGTGATGGGAGTTTCAGGGCAGAGTCCAGGGTTGGAGGAGGCTGGGCCTCCCCGCTCTGCGCAGTCATCTCTCCAGAGCCCAGGGCCACGGTCAGGGCAGGGACTCCAACCTCTTCCAGGGAAAGATAGAAGCAGGGCAAGAGGGCTCCCCAAGAGGCCTGACCCAGGAGCCCCACCTGGAGCCACCTTCCCCACATGAGAAGCCGTCCTCATCCAGGAAGCCCGCTTGGATCACTCTCCCTGCCTACATCCCCTCCCGAGCCGCTTTCCACCAGCCGTCGGTGCCCGCTGGGGTGCTGGATGGCACATTCTCTTTTCATTTCTGTCTCGCCCAGCCTCCTCCCCAGCTGCACTGGTCGTCACAGCAGCAGCCTCTTTCCCCACTGGAGAGTGAGGGAAGCCACCACGAATCCCAGCGATGGCTCCGGTCTAAGCACCATGAGTCAAGGAAACAACAAAATTACGCAATTTCCCCTTTCGTTGTCCTGGTTATTGAAGCACCAGCCGAGCGAGCGTGTGCGCAGTCAGGGCACAGACGCCTTCCCGCGTCAGCCACAAAGTAATCATTAAGCTTCTCTGGGGAGTGACGGCGCCTCCTCAATGATTAATCCCAGGCTCTGGGGACAAACTCAGGGAAGCTGCTCCTGGGCCCCGGCTCCCCCCGCGGGGCGCCCCTCACCCACTAATGTGGCTGCACCAGGTCCACTTTGGGGCAATCTGCTCTTCAGGGCGGGAGCGCCCCCTGCCCCACTCGTTCCGGCTGCCGCGCGTGGCCTCCAGTGGGCAGGCGGCATCCAGCGCCACCGCGCTCACTCGAGCAGGACACCTGCCTCCCGGTGCCAGGGCTGCCACCCTGCCAGCAGCACCTACAGGACGGGGGAGCATGTGGGCTTCTGGGTGTCCAGGCCTTCCCGCCCTCCCCTCCCCTCCGCACCCCTCCCCTGCCCTCCCCTCTCTCCTCCCTGCGCTGTTGCTCATGACTTTGACGTCGCCTTCCTGGGCCTGGAGTCTGAACCACGGACAGGACCAGCCGTGAGTCATGGGCGAACCCTGAGCTTGGCGCACAAAGGTCTAGGTGCAGTCCTCACCCACAGCTCACCTGCTCCCGGGTCCTGCGCCTTGGTCAGGGTTCTGGGGTGACGGAGCCGTGCCTGTGCAGGCAGGCTGCTGCGGAGGCGGCGCCCCCAGGCTGGCGGGTGCCCCCCACCGCAGTCGGGAGGCCGTGGACCCGCTCCCCTCCTCCAGCAGGGGAGGCCCACGGTGGACCGGGCGGAGCCCAGCGCTCATTCTGGGGTACCCAGCAAGAGCCCTGGCCGGGTGGGCTGAGTGGGCGGAGCCCCAGGGGGAGGCCCCGAGCCAAGGGACCGTGTGGCGCTGCTCCCCGCAGCCCGCTCCCGAGGTGACCTGGGGCGGCCACCCGCCGGGCTCTGGGCAGAGAGGGAGGCAGGGACAGGCCCGGTGTCCTTTCCCAGCCAACTGGCTGCCCCTGGAGGGGCTGAGAGCGCGGGGCTCCCCTGCCCTCCTGCCCTTCCGCGAGGCGGCGCGCTCCCTGGCCGCCTGTCCTTCTCGGCCCCTCCGTCTCGGGGGCGCCCGGGTCTGAGCCTGATCGAAGGGCCCAGCGCAGGTGGAGGGGGCACCTTCGATGGTGAGGGAGAGCCTCGACCTGCCCGCAGCCCGCCGCCCCTTCCCTCGGTCTCAGGACTTTGCCCGCCGCCCTTCGCGGCTCTTGGCAGGTGGGGCTCTTCCCGCCCCTCAGGTGCCCCGCGGGGGCCGGGGATGCGGCCGTCTGCCTCGCTGGACGTGGCTTGGTTCTGCAACCTGCCTCTGGGCCCGGGACGCGGCTTCCTTGCCCCCGGCTGGGGAGCAGCTGCCTGTCCCCTACCCTGGAAATAATCCCCCGGGCTGCACCACTTGTGTCCAGGCGTCAGTCCCCCGCGGTGTCCAGCAGTCGCCGGCAGAAGCACCCTCTCGCCTCCGGGCAGACACCCCCCAACAGCGAGAAGGTCCCTGCTGGCGCTCACGGCCCCCCAAGCCCAGCCCCCTCCGGCGCGGCCCCCCCCCAGCCGTCCGCCTACCTGCTTTGCGTTCCCTGGAAGGGGTGGCTGCTGTCCACGCCCAGGCTCCTCCCTGCCCGGCGGCGCCCCGCACCAGCCCCCGCAGCGCCCCGCCATTCCTCTGCGTTGTGAGGGTCCCGTTAGCTCTTCATGCAGCAGCGCCACGGTGTTTCCTTTCCCCTTGCAGGCTGCAGACTCGGTCACGTCGCCCTGTGGGGCTCAAGGACACGATCCTGGTTTTTGCGGGTTCAGCCCCCAGAGGAGGTGCCGGGGAAGCATCCATGTGGGTCTCTGGCCCAGGCGCAGTCGATGCACCGGCTAATCAATTATCCAGGGAAAACAATCCCCCATCTTGCCCCTCCCCCCCCAGGAGGGCCGACCTGTCCCGGCCTCACCTCCTGTCCCCCCACCCCAGCCTGTCACCCAGGCCCTGTGACTCACCCCCAGAAGCTTCTGCTTCCAAAGGTCAGTCCAGTCCCCTTCAGCTCTGTGACCCCACAGGCCTAGCGGGCGCTGGTGGGGCGGACCAGACTGGCACGGTCCCCTCTGCGGCGGGCACTGTCAGAGGTCTCTGCCCCACCTCCAGGCAAGGGGAAGGAGCTGGCACCCAGTCTGCACAAGAGGAGAGCCCGGGGCCGGCGGCGCCAGGAGGCGACACCAGAGAGCGCCCTGCCCGAGGGCCGGCTGAGTTACCTCAGCCAGCCCCACCGCCCAGTGAGGTGGCTTCGGTCTGCCCCCAGCCGCCACGCAGCTGAGTCGGAGGGCCGGGGGATGCTGGGCGCACAGCTAGACCCCGCCACGACTTGGGCCCTCCGGCCAGACGCCACAGAACCAGGGACCCCGTTTCTTGGGACGACTCCAGCGTGACCCGGGCTGGCTCTGCTGGGGCGGGGTGGCTGGGCAGCCAGCCCTCACCCTCCAGGAGCAGACGCCGTGCCCTGGGAGGGCAGACACTGCCCGTGCCTGGGCGTCCAGGCAGAGTCCTCAGCCCTGGGGGAGGGGAGAGAGGAGCGGCATGGACGGGCAGGGCTCAGGCGCGAGAGCAGGTCTGGGGGCCCCCTGGAGTCTGCCTGAGTGTGACCCGCCGGCCCTCTGCAGCACAGATGCCCTACGTGAGTCCCCCCACGCGGCCATCCGTCAAAGGCCAAGGGCTGGGGAAGGGGTGGGGCCTGCTCCCTGAAGGGGGGCTGCCCCAGCCTCAGAGCAACTCCTCAGCAGGGTGCAGGGCGCTAACCCCCCGCAGCTGGACAGTCAAGTGGGCACCTCAGGGCCAGGGGAAGGTCCTGCGTCCTCTGAGCTGTGTCCCCTGAGGCTGGGGTGGTAATGGCTGCCCCCTGCACCCTTGGAAGCACAGGGGCTCTAGGGTAAGGGAGTGCCCTGTCCCGGGCTGCTGCGGATGTTCCTGCCCCTCTGGGCTCCATCCAGCTCGTGTCTGCCACTGGCACCACCATGGCACGCGGCTTCCCGCTTGCGGGATTTCTTACTGGTCCAATGGACGAGAGGTAGATCTTAAAACGGAGGGGCCTGGGATCCTCCGAAGGCCTTTCTGTTTCACATAAGGTCCAAATAAGTGCCGGTCAGGGGGTGTGTAAGGGAGAGGGCCAGGGAGACCCTTGTGTCCAGCAGGCCGTGTTGCTTCCACTGTGGGCAGTGACCTCTATAAATGAAAACAGGCGGCGGGTGGGCGGGTGGACACATCCAAGGCTCCCACTTTTCGTTTCCAAGCCTAGACGCCATCTCCTGACTCCACTCTGTGCAGCGAGGCCTTAGCTGTCACATGACCGCTGGGGTTCGCCTCCGGTGACGTCGCACTTAGTCGGCCCTCACTCCTGCTTCCGCTGGCGGCCTGGAGCCGCCTCCGGCACCCGACAGCCCCGGATGGCCGCCCAGCCCCACGCCAGGCCTCCTGCTGCCTGCAGATTTCTTCCTGAGGAAGACGCAGCTTCGTGGTGCCCAGGAATGTCACCGGAGGGCTTGTCCTCTCCATCAGCTGTCCCTGGGCCTCCCTGCTCGTCACGCGGACGTCCCGGCCCCTGCCGGGCCTCCCTGAGCCTTCCGCTGCCCACCACCCCCAGCTCCCCTCCCCCATGGCTGTCTCCGCCGCCCCGTCCGCGTCCTCTGACCAAGATCCTTGAGCCCTCAGCGCACCCATCACACCGAAAAGGCGCCTGACATCCCCAGTCTAACCCGGGCCCAGGCCCTGCTGCAGCTTTCCCGGGGAATGACCTTGGGGAACTGCCTGCTTAGAAATAAAGATGGAGGGCCTCCCAGGTGGCGTGGCGGGTGAGCGCTGGGTTGCAAAGCTGCCCGCGGCCTCTGCGGCGCCGGTTCGATCCCCGGCTGCTCCCCGGCCCCGGAGGAGGGTCCCACATGGCGCGCAGACCTCTCCTGCCGCCCGCTGCTCCCCTCAGCAGTGCCCTTCGGTCCTTCTGCCTGCTCTGCTCCCCGCTCTGGCTCTGGGGAATTCTCTCACCCTCCCGCGCTTCTGACTGAACCCAGTGCTTGTATAAACAAAACAAACAAACAAACAAATAAATAAAAAACATGCCTCTAAAAAAAAAAAAAAAGAAATAAAGATGGAGCAGGAGGCGAATGCTGCACCACACACAGGTGAATTTGAAAGTCATCAAATGAAGGAATTCCAACACAGAAATTATTTAAAAATACATAGATTCATCCTAAACCTTAGACCAGGAAGGGGAATAAAGACACGACAGCCAAGATGGCGAAAACATGCATACTGTGGCACTTGCACAACCAGAGATGAGGTTTTCCGAGAATGTTCAGAAGCCGTGGGGAAAGCTCAGGCAGGGCCGGGAGGTGCAGGAAGCGGAAGGCAGAGCCGAGTCCCGGCGGCTCAGGTGAGCGCTGAGGCCCGCACACCTGTGTGAGCGCGGGGCGAGCCCGCGCAGGCGCCTCGGGACGTGGCCTCGCGGCCCAGGCCCGTGGGAAGCCCAGGGGGTCAGGCTGAGGACGGCCATCATCCGAGCGTTTGCGCTGGGGCGGGGCGGGGGTGCAGGTGGCCCTGAGGTGCCTTTGAGAGGCGGCAGCCTGCAGAGGGGCGAGGCCTCCCGGCCACGCCGATCAGACCTGAGTCTCCTCTGAAGGGACACACCTGGCCAGGTCGGCCCGGAGGAGGCCCGGCTTCCCCCGCCCCCGGCCTCCAGGGCTCTGCTCAGGGGGCACTGCCGCCGCGCTCCCCAGCCTGCCCGCCTGAGAAGCCTCCGCCAGCAGCCCCCACCAGTTCCCGCCCTGCTGACCTCCAGCCGCCCGCCTGCTCTTCCACGGGCCGCACCGCCCTTCCTCGCGCGGGGAGCTGGCGCATGTGCACAAGCAATTGCACGTTTTAAGCACTAAATGGCCCATGGTGTGCCCTGATGGGCCTCCCAAGGAGGGGGCGGGGGTGCCGCCGCGAAAACCCCTCTCCACTCGTCTCCTTCAGCTCGTGTCTTCACATCCCAGTTACTTTGCTCTCAATGCTTCACCAAAAATTATAATAATAATAATAAGGAACAACATAAAATTCCTTGCACACCTTGTTCCACCGAAAATGTTGTGCGTTCATCACTGTAACACCAAGGACAGCGTTATAACGTTTTACACGCAGGGGTTATGTGCAGGCAAACTGTCTTTCAAGGGGGATAAATGACAAGAAATGAGTCCTAGACAGTTTCTCTCCAAGTGAAAATACGCTTCTTGTTTAAAAGGGAAATCAAAGCACTCCAGAGGGCTGAGCCGCCAGCGCCCAGGCCAGGGAGTGGGCCGGGGCTCAGACTCATGGGAGTGCAGCCTGGACGACAGCTCTGGTCAGTGGCCCTGGCCTTTCCCTTCAGAAGGAGCGGAGCATCCCCTCCCAGATGGCTGCCTTTCTTCCTTTCTTTCTTTCTTTTTAAAGATGTATTTATTTATACAAGAACAGGGGTACAGGCCAGATGTGCAGGGAGTGTGAGAGGATTCACCAGAGACAGAGCAGGGAACAGAACAGGCAGACCGATGAAATACACTGCCGAGGGGAGCAGCGGGCGAGACAGGAGAGGTCTGCCGCGCCATGTGGGATTCTTGCCAGTCAGCTGGCCGGGATCGAACCCGTGCTCAGAGGCTGCGGACAGCTTCACAGCCCCGCGCTCAACCTCCTGCGCCACCAGGAAGGCCCAAGATGGCTGCATTTCTGAGAGGTAGGTTTTGCTGTGACTCCATTTTCTCCTGAGTCAAGCACCTGAGGCAGGGTCCCCTGGCCTGACCCTCATCCCACTCTGACCCCAGGACCTGCACCCACACTCGCTCTGAGCAAGAGCCAGGCAGGCCCCTGACCCGCTAACACACGCCCCCAAAGCAAGGCCAACTTAGAAGCTTCAGGGCCATGACCCAGTAGCTTTGGTTCAGGCTGCATGTGCCAAGCTGTCCATTCACTGGAGAGGCTGCCTTTGGGGGAGAAGCCCAGGGCCAGACACAGCTCTTACCATTTGGGGGGGGGTCAGATAATACAAACCTGGCCCCGAGGTTGGCTCTTGCTAAATTATATTAAAGATCAAACACCCAAGACAGGCCGGAACGCAAAGGTTTTGGGAGACGAGGCTTTATTGGGGCCCAGCACCCCCACCTGCACCCTCCCTCCGCCCTTCAAGACCCAGCTCCCTGCTCCTCCTGACTCGGAGGCGCCCGGCTAACCCCCCAGGCCGCACTGATGGTGGGAATTGCTGCTGTGGAAGTGAGCCCCCAGGCCACCAGGCACCTCCATGCCGAGCCTGGGGGCGGGAGTCCCAGGCTGCTGTGGGGGAGCTGGAAGCCCCACCCTCCATTCCAGACCCAGGGAGGGCACACACCTGAAGGGAAGCCTCACATTAACACTGAGGCATCGCATGAGCCCCCCACCGTCTCCCCAAAGGGGCCTGTGTCCAATTGTCTGGGAACTATCGAGGGGACACCCCAGGGAGGAAGGGCGCAGGCTGCCAGCTCTGTCTGTGTGCGGCTGTCGGTCAACAGTGGTGGGTGCGGGCAGGCGGACCCCAGGGTGCCAGGGGAACCCAAGTCCCGGTTGCACTGATCACGTCTGAAGTGGGCGTCACTCCCACCCAGACACCCTGCCTGGGGCCGAGCCCCGCTAGACGGACGAGGGGCCCAGACATTAGCCGTGGCCACGGGAGCCTGACGCTGGACTTCAGTGCAGCAGCCAAACGTGCTTCCACTTGTCCCTGGGGCGCCTGAGAACCCGCCTGGAGAGGCTCCCTGACCCCGGCGCACCCAACCACACCAGACGAGGGCCAGCAGGAGACACAGTTGCTGCCTTTATTGCATTCCAAGGGGGGCAGGCTGGTGTCAGCGTCCCCACCTCAAGCCTGAAGGAGGGGTGCTAAGGAAGGACCCAGGGTACTGGGCCAAGCACAGCAATTCCTGGGGCCCACAGACGGGGGCGGGGGGTGCGCCAGAGCTGGAGCCCCAGGAGCGAGAGCGAGGGGTGGAGGCAGGGCCCTAACTCCAGGCTCAGGGCAGGGAGAGGTTACACCCCCCTGGGGCCCCAGCGCACTCCCCTCAGAGGTGGAGAGGGGGTGCAGTTCAGCATGGAGAGTGGGACCCTCAGCACCGCCCAGCCTCGTGCCGGCTCCCCACAGGCAGCGGGCGGCAGAGGCCGAGGCAGAGGGGGAGCACCGCAGCCTCACTGGGCGTGAGGGCGGTGGAGAGCCCCAGCAGGGGACAAGCAGTTTCGGCAAAGGCAGCAACTGGGCCTGGGGCGCCTGCGAGCGTCTGCGCGAAGGAGGAGAGCCACCGCGGCGCGCAGGCCAGGGTGGGCTCGGGAGGGCCCTGGAGGGCGCAGGGACAGCAGGCCAGGTGGGCAGCAGCCTGAGAGTCAGCAGGCCAGACAGGAGAGGCCTGCAGCCCCGAAGGGGCCCGACGGGCCAGTAGGGGAGCGGGCCACCCACACTGGGCACAGGCCTTGTGGGGACCCCTGTAAACTTCAGGAGGGCAGGCGCTGGGCATGGGGAGTAGGGAGTCCTGGGTGCCCTGGGCGGGGGCCCTGCACCAACACCCGATAGGGAGCTGGCCGGGAGGGGCCGCTCCAGGGCCCCAGGCGCCAGCAGGGCCGCCTCCGCTTAGTTCCACAGCAGGAAAGTCTCCACCGGTTCGAGCTGCTTCCTTGTTGTCTGCTGCCCGGTGGAGGCCCCCAGCCTCCCATCGGACTACCGTGTGCCCTGGGCCTTGGAGCCCCCCTCATGGGCGGGAGGCTGTCCAGATGCGCCGGCGGCCATGGCCTCCAGGGCCTGAGGGGTGGCCTTGGGGCTTGGGGCATTCCTCCGGCTGCCCTGGGGGCTGGGGAAGCCCCTCCTCTGGGGCTGAGGACTCAGCTGGGGGCCCTTCCTGCCAGCAGATGGACTCTTGGAGCCTTTGGCCTTGGCTTGTGGGTGCGTGACCTCAGGGCTCTTGAGGGGCTTCAGCCCCAGCATGTCACAGAAGGCGTTGCACTTGTGGGAGGAGACAAACTGGTCCAGCAGGGCTGGGAAACAGCTCTCCTTGAGGCCTTGGTATCTGCAGAAACAGCAAGCACTGAGCGGGGTCCCCCACGGCCCCTGAGCCAGAGTCCCGAGGGGCCAACTCAGGGTGGCCGAGGCTAGGGGTTGTGTCCAGGGCGCACTCTACCCCTGGGGAATGCCAACCCTAATTCCATGCCCAGGTGTCGTGTACTTGGCACAGGCCTCCTCGTGAGCATGGTCTGGGTATCTAAGAGCCACGAGGGTAGACTCGGGCTGCCCTCTTGGCAGGCCCTGCACGCACGTGTGAGAGGGGAGGGGCCCTGGGCACCCAGGGTGGCGGGTGACCCTGCTGTGGGCCAGGCAGGAGGAGACCAGTGGCCCCGGCTAGCCCCTTGGAGCCCCGAGGACTCCCGCCCCAGGGAGCACTCACCCCCGCAGCTTGGCAGCGATCTGGACGTCAGTCATCTTCCAGTCCACGCCTGCCAAGAGAGGTTAGGAGATGAGTGGGGGCTGGACAGGGTCTGCGTGTCCCCGGAGGCCTGTCACCTTAGAGGGGCGACTCGGGCACCCTCTGGAGCATGTGGGTGTCTCCACATTGAAGCATCCACGCTGCTCCCACGGGCAGGCGAGGAGAGGGCTGTTGGGAAACACTGCTCGTCCCCCATGCAGAGACGGGGCAGGGCCATGCCCAGGGGGTGCTGAGGCAGCCCCCTTCTTCCTCCTCCGCCACACTCCCCCGGGCTCTCTGCCTCAACTGGATGTTGTTTTCTTTGAACTGGTGAACTTTTTATTAAATCCACAGGAGTAAAAAGCAAATGGGGCCTCCCAGGAGCGGTCAAGGCCTCCACCACCCTATCAGGACAGGTTTGAGCGAAAGCCCAGGTCTAATGATGTGAAGAGCACACCTGTGCCCAGATCTGCACAGCCAGAAACAAACTGGGGGGTGGGGAATGGCGCCCCAATGTGCTGCTGGGGGGAGGATACACGGGTCCAGCCTCTAGGGAAGACAGCATGGAGGCTCCTCAAAATGCTAAAAATAGATCTACCACATGCTCCAGCTATTCCACTCCTAGGTCTCCACCCAAAGAATACAGAAACAGGGGGCCTCCCCCGGTGGCCTAGGGGTTGAGTCTCAGCACTATAACTGCCAAGGCACGAGTTTGATCCCTGGCCAGGGAGCTGACCCACAGGGCGCAGCAGACCTCTCCTGTCTCCTGACTGCCTGCTCCGCAGTGTGTTTCAGTAGATCCGCCTATTCTGTTGCCCGCTTGTCTCTGGTGAATCCTCTCTCACCCACCCTGCACCTCTGGCTTATACCACAGTTCTTTTATGCAAATAAATAAATAAGAACACAAAGCAGGAATCTGAAGGAAAAGATTCCTCCTATATCCATTGTAGCACTCTTTACAATAGCCAAGCTGTGGAAACAAACGAAATGGTCCTTGGCGGATGTATAGATCAAGACTATGTGGTATATATACTGCATGGAATACTACACAGCTATGAAAAAGGTGATTTATGCCAACAGGGATGGAAATGGGGGGACTGCACCATGTGAAATGAGCCAGAAGGAGAAAGACACACACCAGATGGTATCATTCACGTGGAATGTGCAGAAAAAGAAAAAAGAACTGACAAAACCAAACCAAATTAACTCCTAGAAGTAGGACTGCCAGACTGAGGCCGCTCGCGTGGGAGCAGGGGCAACAAAGGGCGGAGGGGTTCAGGGTGGAGGACTGTGGGTGCTCGGATGGTGTGGGTGGGGTGGCAGTGCACATCTGAGGAGGTGTCACCCTGTTCCCCTCAGTCACACACGGTGTTGTAAACCAGTGTTTACGATAAAGACAAAAACGCCTGAGGAGGAGGAGACAGAAAGCCGTGGGCTGGTGGAAGACGCTTGCTGAGGAAGCCTGCGCGGAGCCGCAGGGCAGGCAGGAAGAACTCCGGAGCGATGTGGAGGGTTTCCAACAGGGCCCCTGCAATGTTCTTTGAAACGGAAGCCTTTACAGTTGAGCGGGGCCTGCACTGCAGCTGCTGCGGCCTGCGTGGCGCCAGGTGGGTGCGGCTGGCACATCTCCACATCCAGCCTAAGGTCCAGGCTCCACCGGGTCACGTGAACGCAAAGGAGGCCAGTGGGAGGGTGCCCCTGGGCCAGGGCTTGGGCGCCTGCGGGGTCCCTACCCCCTACCTGCCAAGTCGGTGACGAGGAAGCTGCCGTTCGTCCACTGATACAGCCAGTGCTGGAAGGTCTGGCACTTCTGCCGGGCCTCAGAGCCATCAGCCACCGCCGGGGCCACAGCACTGCTCCACTCCCGGGAGCAGAAGGTCTCCAGAGGCCCGCCCAGGTCCTCCTCCAGGGTGGCGTAGGGGATGTTGTTGGCGGGCCGGTAGATCAGGTACAGGGGGATGATCCTGCAGGAGGCCAGCCCAGTGAGCAGAGAGGAGGCCCCAACCCGAACCCCTGCTCGGAACTAGACGCGGGCCCTGGGGCGGGGGCTCAGACCCAGAGGAGCAAAGTGAGCACTCCACGCCGAGTCCAGGTCGGGAAAGGGCCCTGAGGTCAGCAGGATGGACCCCCCCGGGGCCCCGGGAGACTGTGCTCAGGGGAGGATTCCCTCAGACGGAGGCTCAGTGCCAGCTGGACCCCAGTACTCAAAAGTCAGTGTTCAAATTCCAACCCCCTCCCCCACCCCCTTCAGCAAGGCCCAGCTGCACCCAGCAGACTCGGCAGGGGCGGGGAGGAAGGTGGATGGGAGGAGGCAGAGCATTCCTGGCGCTGGGCCTGGCATCCTGAGCCCCCAGACTAGGGGGGCCTCTTTCTGGGCCCAGCCTGGCCGGGCTGTGGCCCGTCTGCACACAGCGGCACTCAGGGCCCTGCCCACGCAGAGCTCCAGGTGCGCCTGTGGCCCTTGGGCAGGCCCCATGCTGGCACTCACTCGGGCACCTCCCCGAAGCCGGGCACAGCGTGGGCTTCCGCCGCGAAGATCTTGCAGTACTCCCGACTCATGTTCTGTGTCTTGCAGCTCTGCGGGCAGCAGCGGGCATGGGTCAGAGGGAGGCCCGGCCCTTGTGGTGCCCACTCCAAGGGAGGGCCAGGTGCCGGGGCTCCCCCCTTCATGTCCCCTACTCTGCACCTCATTTTCCTCGTTTACAAACAAGAGGCTTTGGACATGTTTCCAGCAGTTTCCCCAGAGGCCCAATGAGAGTACCAGGGCCACTCGGAGAGGAGGGCCCCTGGAAGGGTGGGGCAACCCCCCAGTCACCCTTCGTGGCCCCATGTTAGGGTGCCATGCCAGGGCCACACGAGAGGTTTCTGCTGCAGAAACGTGATTTGGAAACTGACCCCAAATGGCGCTGAAGCTGCAGTTCCCAGAGCCCCATGTCGCCTCTGGGGTCCAGCCTGCTGAGCCAGAGGGGGCCCCGCCCGCCAGGCTCCCCATGGCCTTTGCTGGCTGGGGGAGGCGGGCGGAGTGGGGTACCTGGATGGTGACGTCATAGTTTCTGCCCACGAGCGAGGTCTCGCTGCTGGGCCCGAACACCAGCAGGCTGGACACCTTGATGACGCACGTGCGGCCCGACGCGAAGATGGGTTCCAGCCCGTAGATGATCTGGGCCCGGGAGGCCTTCTGCAGGCCGGCCCCGCGCTCGCACCCGCGAAGCTCCTCGGTCACCAGGCGCCCGAAGAGCTTGTCCCCCCAGCAGCCGGAGTCAGCCAGGCCCTTAGCAAACACCATGGGGGTCATCTCGATCTCTTCTCCAACTGGGGGGACAGGGAGAGGTGGGAGACTCGGAGCTCCTGGCTGCCCCTGCCACCCCGTCTGACCCCTGCTGACCAAGGTCTGTGCCACCACCACCAGGGAGCCTGCTGAGCACGCGCTGCTGCTCAGTCTCCCCGGAGAGGGCCTGAGGGTGTCTGCGGCCGGTTCCCCACACAGCTCCACACGGGCCACCAAGAGCCGCTCTGGGGGATGGGTGGGCGTCGGGGAGGCTGTGCTCTGGGGTCCCTCATCCCTCCTGCTGTGGCCCTCGCTGCAAAGGGAGCAGGCTGAACGAGCCCTGGAGGAAGGGCCATTTCACCAGCTTGCCCGAGGCTTGTGGACAGGGGCCGCAGGCCTCGCGGGCCCAGGGGAGTGTAGCGGGACCGGGCCAGGCCTCCCAGGAGGTGGGGGGGCCCTGCCCCCCAGGGCACGTACCTTCGCCTTCTTCTCTGGAAACGAACCTGGACAGCACTGAGGGAGAGAGAGGGGGCTGAGCGCCGCTCTGCTGAGGCCCATCCACACAGGCCAGCCCCCGGGGCGGAGGGGCGCTCACCCTCAGGGCCGAGGTGGAAGTCCGTGGAGGCCTCGCCGTGCTGGTTGCGGATGGTGCAGCGGTACAGGCCACAGTCCACCTCGGACGCCTGCACGATGGCCAGGGCGGCCGGCCCCTCGTCCCCTGCACTGTCGGAGGAGACCCTTCCCGTGAGGCGCCTGGCCCTGCAGCCGGGCAGCGGCGGGGCCTGGGCCAAGGACGGGGCCTCTGGCTCATGTCCCCTGTGCCATGGAGCCGCCGGCCCACGAGGCCCACAGGGAGGGTTAAGTGAGCGGTGGGTCCAGAGCACCAGGACAGAGCAGGCAGGACCACGGCGGGCGGGGCCTGGGCTTACCTCCTGCCCACCTCGCCCACTGGGTGTTGGTCTTTGGCCCAGGTCAGGACAGAGTCACTGAGGATGTTGAAAAACTGGCACCAGAGCTTCAGGCTGCCAGAGGCATCAGGAAACTGCTCCACCCGGATCTTCCGGATCACCTGCGGGGCTGAGAGTGCGGACCGCTGAGGAGGGGCGTGCAGAGACCCGGGCAGGGCCTGTCCAGGGCGGGCCCTGACCCCCACAGCACCGGTCTCGGCCGGGAGCCTGGAAGCCGGGGGACCAGGTCTGCATTTGCCGCATTCCAGGCCCTGCTTCTGCCTGCAGAGGGGCTGGGGTGAGGCAGGGGTGGCTGGCCCAGGGCAGCCCCGTGGCAAGAGCAGCTCGGTCACTGGCCCAAGGGGCAGGGCAGGACATGCAGCAGCGCCACCCCTCCCCACCCCGGCCCCCGGCGCCCAGGCCAGGGAGGCTCGCACAACCTTCATGAAGGGGCTGTGACAGACCCAGGGTGTATGCCGGGGTGGGGGGGGTGCAGCCCTGCCCCCACTGCGTACCTTTCAGCAGGTCCTGGGCTTTCTTGGGCTTGGTCTCCTCTGGGGCCAGCTCTGCATCCGGGTCTGCAGCTGGGGGGCTGGCGCCCGGGTCTGCAGCTGGCTCCTCCTCGGCCCTCGGCACCTGCAGCGTGTCCGCCTTCCGGCCTTGGGTCGGGGAGCGCTTCTCCCGCCCCGGAGGCCCCGGGGACCCAGGCGCCAGGCCCTTCCTGGACCCCCGGGGGGAGACGGTGGGGCTCTCCCTTTCTTCAGGCTTGGCTGTCTCCCCATCTCCTGTGGCTCTGACCTGAGGGAGAAATCTCTTCCTCCGGGCCCCCAGAGCTAGCTCCTGGGGTGTGGCTGCGGGGAGGCCAGTCAGCGCCTCCTCACGGGGGGGCTCTTGGGCTCCGCTGGCTGCTGGGAGGGGTCCCGGCCCCCCCGCCACCCCGGGCGGCCCCCCACTGCTGCTCTCTGGGGAGGTGCCCAGGGACCCGGGCCCCTTGGAGAAGACCACGGCCCCCTCCCCACCGGGCCCCTCCACAGCCAGGCCGGGGCTCCCCTCCCCCACCACGATGGCGGGGACGGCGAGGGTGCGGGGCCCGGGGCCGCGGGCAGCACCCAGCGCCTGGCGGCCGGCCTGCACCTCCTGGTCCAGGAGGCCGGTGAGGCGGCGGGAGGTGCAGGGGCTGAGCAGCAGGGTCTGCGCGCTCTGCACCAAGTGGTTGTTCTCCACCCGCTCCAGGATGCGCCTCGAGGTGCGGGGACTCAGCCCGGCCACCTCCATCGCAGGGGCCAGGGCCCCGGGCGCAGCTCCCGCCGGGCACTCTGGGTCTGGGCCCCCTCCGCCGGCCTCGGTGCTGGACAGCTTCAGCAGCAGGAGCAAGTAGTTCTTCAGGGAATCTATGAGGCCGGGGTCGCAGCTCAGGGGGCGCGGGGGGCGGCCGTCTGGTCCCGGGGCCCGGGCCCCCTGGCTCCCGGCCACCACAGTCTCTGTGGGGCAACTCTGAAGGGGGCCCCCCGGGCCCAGGTGCAGTGAGGGGGCAGAACTCAGCAAGGCCTGGTCCCCAGAGGGCAGAGAAGCCGGGGTGCTGGACAGTCCCTCCTGGGAGCGACTGGCCCGGCCAGCTCCAGGAAAAGGGGGCAGAGCGGGCACCCCTGGCTGCAGACCGGCTGGGGGAGAGCCGCCCCGGGCCTCAGACAGTGCCTCGGCCCGCTGTGCCTCCTCCCGGGGCAGCTGCGACAGGCCGTCTTCTGGCCTGTCCTTGGCCTGGGCTGGCCTCACGGGCTCTCGACCAGGCTGCTCCACGCCCGCCTCGGGGGGCCGCTGCCCCGGGAGCACGAGGCTCCCAGCCAGGGGACCCAGCGCGTGGGTCCCCTCAGGAACCTCAGGGTTCCCGGAGGCAGCCACAGCCACCTCGGCACATCTGAGCGTGAATCCCGGTTTTTCTGGGTCAGACGACCCTTCTGGGGTCCGTTCACGACAGTCAGCCATCCAAGGGGTCTTGGGGTCCTCTGCAGGTGGGAGCTCAGGGGCTCTGGGCTGCAGGCTGGGTCTGCACCCCGACTCCTCCTCCAGCTGACTGTTTACGGCTGTGGGTATGCCGTCCTCGGCCTGTGTCCTCCTGTCCTCCCTCGTCCTCTCCTCAGCCTGTGTCCCCGCCATTTCCCACATCAGCGCACCCTCCGGGGACCTCCTGTCCGGCTCTGGCTGCTCATTCTCTCGTGTCACAATGTCCACTTGCTTCTTCCTGTCTGCCGGGGTCCTCTGGACTGTCCGTGCTCTGTCACCCTGTGTCCTCCCATCCGCCTGCTTCTTCCCATCCATCCCTGTGGTCCCCTGGCCTCTGGGCCCCTGGTCGTCAGGTGTTGGCCCATCCACCTCAGACTCTGTCTCCATGGAATCGGGGCCGCAGCTGCCGGTAGGTGAGGCAGAGGCCGCAGGCACCTGGGACTCCTGGACCTATGAACACAGAACAGAAACAAGAGTCTAGCGGCGTGAGCCAAGGGCCCCGTGCGACTGCAGCCAACTGGCCCGGCCTCGTCCAGAACTCTCGATGGGAATCCCACCGCCTGCTTTCCCAGGCCAAGCCCCTCAGCCCCCCACCCAGCCACCCTAAGCCCTTGAAAACATCCTGCCTTTCCTGAAAGACCCTGCCCAGGTGTCATGTAACCTCTGACCCTGCATCTAGGGAGTGCGTCTGCTCCACAGGCTTCTGGACAATCCCCCGGCTAAGCATGCGGCTGGACCATGGGTGGGGCAGGAGCATGCGTGAGGGCATGGGACAGGGGCCCACGCGGGCATCACTGCCAGGGCAGAGTGAATGGGGTCCCCTGCCTGGCCACTGTGGGGGACAGCACGGTGCGTCCAGAAGGGAGAGCAGCTGCACATGACACCCACAGGCCAGCAAGCCCTGTGAGGCTGCTCTTTGAGCCACTGTTTCCCCAGTGCTGTGCTGCCCCAATTGGGGCTCCTGCCTCACAACTAACAATGTGCCATGTTAGCGCTGTCCCCACTGCAGAGATAAACCCGCCATGTGATTCATCCGGTGTCAGATAGAAATTAAGTGCAGGGTTTGGAAGCAGGTGTGTTTGGTTTCAAATCCCACACTCTTTGCTCTCCTATCACTTAGGTACAATTAAAGGGCCAGTTTGGGGGCCTCCCTGGTGGCACAAGGGGTTAAGCCCAGCACTGTGAAGCTGGCCACAGCCTCTGCAGCATGAGTTTGATCCCCGGCCAGCCAGGGAGCTACCCACATGGCAAAGCAGACCTCTCCTGTCTCGCCCGCTGCTCCCCTCAGCAGTGGATTTCAGTCAATCTGCTGTTCTGTTCCCCACTCTCTCTGGTGAGTCCTCTCACCCTCCCGCACCTCTGGCCTGCACCCCAGCTTGTGTGCATAAATAAATAAAATAAATCTTTAAAAAATAAATATTCAATCAGCATTTAAATTTCCCTCACTATTTCCTGTTTTAAATAGTTGGCGTCCTAAGTCAGGAAACAGATAAAGTCCACATTCATCCCGTCTGGCCAATGTGTCCAGCCAGGTCACCTTGGTCCACAAGCGTCTCCGTCCTTCGTCACCCTTGCAGTCTTCTTGGCGACCATCCGGTCACCTTGTAGAAGTCTCCATCTGCGTGTTACGGTTTCATGTGCCCCGCGCCACTCGTATTTCCCATAAACTTATAGTTGAGTTTGCCGTCATGAGCTATTTCGGATCTGTTTCCGTAACAGGAGTGTGGGCTCATATTGCATCACAAAATAGTAAAAATAACGCAGCCTTCAGTGGGTCACTGAAGATTTTGGTCACCGCGCCAGGAGCGAACGACCCATTCAACATCTCAGTTTGCTCTCTTTGCTCTTCCTCAGTCGGCATAAACTCTGACCCCACGCTCCCGCCTGCGGGCCAGCAGAAAAGTCAACCTCACCTCAGCAGAGTAAAGAATTTGTAGTCAAAATAAAGTTTCTTGGAAAGGGAAGAAATAGTTTGGCGACTATCACGTTCCCCTCCGACTTTGACGGCCGGGAAGACACTGACAATCAAAGTGCTTTGACGCCAGGAAGCCAAGAACCTTCTGTTAGCGCCTGACTTCCCAGTGCGAGGGGCTCTTAATGCCAGCATAAGATGGGCACACTTACGCAGAAAATGCTGACTCTGCACGGGCGCCTGCTGAAAACAGAGCTTTAGCGAAAGCTGTTTCCAGCCCCTGCCACCCAGGCTGCTCAGCCCCGGGTCCCCGGGAACCCACTGTCTCAGAGTCTCAGTGCCCATCTCTGTCCCCACTGCCGGCTCCCTGAGCCCAGCTGCCAACAGCTGCATCACGCCTGTCGCCAAGAATCCTAAGCGGTGCCCACGACGCCGGCCCCGCCTCTGCTGACCAGCCGGCTGCAGCCAGCAGCCTTTCCAAAACACCTCTGCCTGCGACACGCCCCTGCTTAGAAACCTTTCAGTGGCTTATCAGCACTCAGGGGATAAGGCTAAAAGCCCTCGCTGACAGAACAAAACGTCTACACACATTCTCCCCCGGTCAAGGTATGGGGAAACAGCCCTGGCGCCGCCTCGGCAGATAGCACCTTGGACTCAGCTGCTGGAGCTAAAAATACTTCATCTCTGTGACCCAATGATTCCACTCCCAGGAATTCATCCTACAAACAAACTTTCACAAGCAAATGGACTTACATGCAGGGACATTCATGGCAGCGTAGTTCGCAAGGGCAAGAGGCTGCAATCACCCCAGCTCCACCTATGCCGCGCGGCCCCCCGGCTCCCAAGGAATAAAGGAGACGCCGCCCATGAAAGCAAAACACAAGATAAAAAATGGAGCGTGCAAGCTTCGTGGGGAAAGCACAAAACACGTGATCCGCCTGTGCGTGAGCGGAGAGCGGCCCCGGGAGGCCTGCGGAGCTGCCCGAGGGCCACGCGGGGACGGGAGGGGAGGGGAGGGGAGGCCCCGCTTGCTCAAGCGCAGGCCTGCTGGCGAGCAGCCCCCGAGCAGCCCCCTGCTCGCCCTTCCTAGGGGATGCGTTTCCCCGTCAATCCGAATGATGTTTTTGCTCAGTGTAGACCTAGAGACTCTCTCTCTCTCTCTCTCGACGGTTGGGCCTTCGTTGCGCTTTCACGCCACGGTTTCTGACAAGAAATCCGCGGTTGTGTGAGCGTCACTACACGTAACCCGCCTGGTTTCGCTCACTACTTTGGAGACTTTTGTCTTTCGTTTTCTTCAGCAACTTGATTGTGATGGTTCTCGATGCGGAACTGGGCGGGAAGGGATTTATTTGGAGTTTGCTGAGTTGGTGTCTTTTGCCAAATTGGAGACACGTCTGATGCCTGCAGCAGCGATATTTTCTGCGGCACCATCCCCCACCCCCGCCGCCCCCTACCCCGTCTCAGGAGGCCGGCGCTGGGGGCCCCTCTCTGCTATTCAGAGTGAGTAATTCCTGGCGGCCTGGCCTCAGGCCATGGACTCTCCCCGGTGCCTTTAGGGTCATCACGCCGGCCAGCAGGGCTATTTCAGTTACTGCATTTCTCAGTTCTAAAGTTAATGTCCGGTTCTTTGTATCTTGTATTTCTTTGCCAAGACTTTCTACCTTTCACTTATTTCCAGACGTACCCCCTACTCATCACGTCGCTGCAGGAGCTGCTTCCGGGTCAGGCAGGTGCAACACCCGTGTCACCTCGACGCCGGCGCTCCTCAGCCGTCCCCCAGTGAGTCCGGATTTTCCCTGATGTTCCACATTCCAAGTCATTTCTTTTGAATCCTGGACATCATGACTCTCAGGAGACTCCAGTCCGTAAGTAACCCCACGAGGGGTTGGTGCTCCTGGCTTTGCCCCCGTGGTCGTGGTCGGGGTGCGCGATCCTCAGCCCCCCGCGGCAGTCACCTGGATGGCGAGTCCGTTTTCAAAGGTGTCTTTTCCCCAGGCCTGTCCTGTGTGTGCCACCCGTGGTCAGCTGGCACTTGGATGGGCAGATCTCAGACGCAGGTTTGGGTCACCAGGTCAGAGTGAGCTCTCCGTCCATTCGGAGCCTCTTAAAGTCTGGGGTGGGCTGTGCAGGACCAGGCGGCTGAACAGCTCGGAGGACCCTTGCCTCCAGCCTCCTCCCTCTCCAGAGCCCCTGACTTCCTGCTCCCCGGGGCTCTTTCTCAGACTTCGGGCCACATGCCCCTCTCTGCCAAGACCGTCAGAGGCGAGGACCGTGTGCTAGGGCAAGGTGGAGACTTTTTTTTTAAAGATTTATTTTTATTTTTATACAAGAGCTGGGGTACAGGCCAGAGGCGTGGGACAGTGAGAGGATCCACCAGAGAGACAAGGCGGGGAACAGAACAGGGAGACAGACCGAAATACACTGCTGAGGGGAGCAGCTGGCGCGACAGGAAAGGTCTGGTGCACCCTGTGGGATTCTCCCTGGCCTGCCGGAAATCGAACCGGCTGCAGACAGCTTCGCAGCGCTGCGCTCAACCAGCTGCGCCACCAGGCGAGGCCCCCAAGGTGGAGACTTCTTTCCGAGGAGAGCAAAAGGGTAACAGAAGTCCCTCGTTGGGGCCACAGGTCCTCGAGGGCTCAGACTCCTGCGGCCTCCACCCCTCACTCGAGAGAGCTGTTTCCTGGCCCTCACGCCTGGACTCGGGGGCCTCCCGAGCCCCCTCCCCGACTGATGGTCACGCCGCTCTTCCTGTGTTCAGTCCAGACCGGGGCCACTGCAGGCGGCTGTTGATGGTGGCCACTGCCAGTTCAGAGGCCTCTGGATCCTGCACAGCTGTCTGCTGCTCTCCGCTTATGGAAGCCACCCCGTGCCTGTTGCTATGTTTCCAGCGGCCTTTGATGGCGGGTGCAGGATGGCGCTGCTTAGTCATAGTGACTGACCACGTCCGCTCCTGCGTTTTCAGCTCCCGATTCCCAGTTGGTTCACTTTCAAGTCTTAGCATTTTTTATAGCTTCCAGTTCTCTGCTGGAATTTTTAATCCTGTCTTGTTACCTTTTTGAATCTATAGTTTTTGTTACAGACTTCCTTTCATATTGAAAAAAATGCTATTTCTACTTTCCTTACTATGGTACGTCCAGTAATAAATCTTACCCACACTGCCAACCAGTCTGGCCTCTCCCCAGGTCCTACCCTAACACCCCGCCCCCCTGCCTGGAAGTGCACTTTGGTAAAAGTTAGTATATAAAGAATCACCTAGGGCCTCCCTAGCGGCCTAGGGGCTGAGTCTCAGCACTATCACCACTGCGGCCTAGTTCGACCCCCAGCCAGGGAGCTACCCACATGGCGCAGCAGACCTCTCCTGTCTCCCCGCTGCGCCCCTCAGCAGTGGGTTTCGGTAGATCTGCCTGTTCTGCTCCCCGCTCTGTCTCTGGTGAGTCCTCTCACCTCCCGCTCTGTACCTCTGGCCTGCACCCCAGTTCTTTTACACAAACACACAAAAGAACCCTAAATTAGTAGACAAGGGTTGAACATCCCACGAATGACCTTGGGGAACTGCCTACTTAGTAATAAAAATGGAGGCGACGAATGCTACACCACACACACAGATGAATTTAAAATCATCAAACGAAAGAATTCAAACACAGAAATTATTTAAACCATACAGATTAATCCTAAACCTTAGAACAGGAAGGGAAATAAAGATACTACAGCCGAAATGGCGAAAACACGCATATTATGGCACTTTTTACAACCAGAAGATGAAGTTATTTTTTTTTAAAGATTTATTTTATTTATACAAGAACCGGGGTACAGGCCAGAGGCGCGGGAGGATGAGAGGATTCACCAGAGACAGAGCGGGGAGCAGAACAGACAGAATGACTGAAATACCCTGCTGGGGGGAGCAGCGGGGAGACAGGAGAGGTCTGCTGCGCCGTGTGAGATTCTCCCCGGCCGGCGGGGATCAAACCGGCACTGCAGAGGCTGCGAACGGCTCCACAGCGCTGCACTCAATTGCCTGCACCACCAGGGAGGCCCCCAGAAGATGAGGTTTTCAGAGAATTTTCAGAAGCCGTGGGGAAAGCTCAGGCAGGGCCGAGAGGTGCAGGAAGCGGAAGGCAGAGCCGAGTCCCGGCGACTCAGGTGAGCGCTGAGACCCGCACACCCGTGTGAGCGCGGGGCGAGCCCGCGCAGGCGCCTCGGGACGTGGCTTTGAGGCGGGTTTGTTCTCTCCCCTTTGAATGTCCAGGTTCCCCACGTGCCCCCCACCACACTGCTTCTTTCAGAACCAGAAAAACACGTGGGTTTTTAAAGAACTTTTGGTAGAATGAAAATATGAAGAACCAATTAAACAGCTGTTACTAAAAAGCAACAGTTGCAAAATAAGCACAGGAGTTAGGGGGCTGCCTCTTTCCCAGGAAGCATTTCACAAGTTTAAGTACAAAAAAAGAAACCTGCAGAGGCAGGAACCAGGTGGACCCCGGGACCGGGAGGGTGATCCCCCGAGGCCCAGAGCCGGATCCTCTCCCCTTGGCGGCCAGCCTGGGCTTGCGGACGCGCTCCCCGGGCCCAGGAGGCCGTCCCCGCACGAGGCCCCGCGGCCGGCCAGTGTCCTGCCAGCCGAGCCAGGGTCTCACCACCCCAGCAGCCCAAAGTCCAAGGCCAAGCAGGAGGGGCTGGTCACCCACAGACTCGAGAGCCTGGCTGGAGGAGCACCCCACGCCAGAGCCCCTGCACTGCTGCCCCCTAGATTAGTTCCAACACCCACTGAAAAAACCACGTCCGCACCCCCATACACTACCCCACAGGGTTCCCCACAGAGCCCCTCCTCTGCTCCTCCGCGCTGCCGTAGGCCCCGCAGTCACCCGTCCCTCCTGGCCCCTCCCTGCCCTGCATGTCCCCGCGTGTCCCGAGGGGCCGGCCGTCCCATCCACGCCGTGCCGCCCCCCTGCCCTTTCTCCGGCGTCCGGGGACCCAGGCCCCTGCTCTCTCCAGCCCAGGAAACAGTGTCATCCCCCGCGAGCCCCGGCCGTGCCGCCCGGGCGGCCCCATCTGGCCACAGGAAACACAGGACCCCAGGGCAGTGGGAATTTGGATCCGCAGCCACTTCCTACCCCAGCACACCCCAGGGTCTCACCCTCGCCTCCCGAAACACGCCGACGTCCTCGCTGGGGCCCACGGCGGTCACTCTGCCCCCCGGCACAGGAAGTGCTCCTCCACGCGGTCCTCCTAGCTGCTCGACACCGTCACCCACGCGCCCCTCTCGAAGCGGGGTACCCATGGCCCCGTGCCCTCTGTTGGCCCTGGTACCCAGCGCCTCCTGCCCCAGCGAGGCAGCTGCCTCTTCACATCAGGGGGACCCCTGGCCCCTGCCGCTGGTGACTTGGTCCCTGGCAGGCCCCGCCTGTGCTCAGCACCCCAGCTCCGCCCTGGCCCGTGGTTGCACCTCCTGCCCCAGCCCCCAGGGTTGGGGGGGCTGCAGGAGGGGTGCGCCTGACTCCAAAATTTTAGATGAAATCCAGATTGACCCAGACTTCCGCCCGCAGACACTTGCTATCTGTGAAACCTTCTAACCGAGACCCGCCGCCACCACAGCTCTCCCCGATCCACAGCCCTCACGCCCCGCTGCTGCAGGGAAGTCACGGAAAACTCTCCTCTGGCCCCCCAGCGGGACAGCAGGCTGCCGCCCATACCTGGTATGTGGAGCCGGGGGAGCAGGCCTGGTCCCTGCTCCAGGCCACCACCACCTTCCCTCGCACCCACCCTCCCAGCCTCCTCTAAGTAGCCTGCTGCTCACTGGCTGCGAGAATCCCCACGAGGGCAGCTCCCCGGCGGCCTCCAGGACCCCAGGACCCACACGTACCTCTCTTGGGGTCCTGCGGCCTGCTGGCCCCTGCTGGGGGCTGTCTGGAGGGCCGTGTCTCCGTCGGGTGGGGGCGGTGGGCACGACGGCAGAGGCCTGAGGGGGGGCCCTCCCGAAGCTCTGGGCCCCAGGCTCTGGAGCATGACTTGGAGGCGCACTGGGCTGGCTGGTGGTGCCCGGCTCCCCTTTGGGCTTGGGGGGAGCAAATCTCTTCCTGTTGAAAGGCCGAATCGGTGGGGGGGGTGCGGCAGGTGTGGGCTGTCCAGGGGCAGCAGGCCCCCCGCCATGTCCGGCCTCACTGGGTACCTTCCCCGAGGGCCCCTCCTGATCCTGAGGCCTGGCTCCTCGGGTGCTTTCCACATACAAGTCCTTCAGGGAGAAATACATGTCCTGGCCAGGGCCAGGGGCTAGAGCAGGGGCTTGAGTAGGGCCAGGGGCTGGGACTGGAGCTGGGACTGGGGCTGGGGCAGGGACTTGGGTAGGGGCAGGGACAGGGGCAGGGGCAGGAGCAGGGACTCGGGCAGGGACAGGGGTGGGGGCAGAGACTGGGGCAGGGACTCGGGAAGTAGGGACAGGGGCAGGGACTCGGGCAGGGACAGGGGCTGGGGCTACGGCAGGGGTAGGGGCTAGGGCAAGGGCCTGGGCAGGGGCAGGCCCTGGGGCAGGGGCAGGAGCAGGGAGGTGGGCAGGGGCGGGGGCCCGAGCAGGGACAGGGCCATTCTGGGCCTGGTCTTGAGCGCCCACAGCAGGGCCTGGCTTCCTGGCCCTCTCTGCTTCAGCGGCCCCGGGAACCTGTGCGGCCCTGCCTCTGGGCTGCGTCTGAAGTTGCCCCATGTCCCGGGGCCCCTGAGGCCCGGCGGAGTCAGGCTTGTCTGAACCAGGGACACAGTTTTCAGAAGGGCGGCTTCGCGCTGTCTGCTCCGCCTCTGCCTTCCGCAGACCTCGCTCAGGCTGCTCAACCTTCTTTTTCTTCTTGGCCCCGGACTCCTTCTGGGGGGCTCCCTGAGGACCCCGCTCCATGGTCTCACAGAGGTACGTCAATAGGCCCCCGTCCGCAGCCTCCCCATTCTCAGGGGTGGCCTCCCCGTTGGTGGTCACCCCTCCGGAGGCAAAGCTGTTGACCAGGCCCAGTCCTGGAAGCTGGCCAGGCTCTGTCTCTCCCTCCTGCCGGGCCGCGGGGGGTCCTGCATCGGGCTCCCTGGGGCCGGGGGGCCCTGGCGCCGCCGCCCCGCTCAGCCGCCGCTTGCGCTGCAGGCGGTCAGGACTCAGCTTGCGCAGCGAGTCGGCCTCGCCCACGGCCTCCCGGCCCTGCGTCCAGCCCTGCTCCAGCTCGCGTAACTTGGCCGTGGCCTTCGTCTTCAGCTTGGCAAACCAGCGCTGGTGGATCTTGTACTCGGTCATGGTCCCCACCTCCAGCACCCCCGAGCAGGACACGATGCCCTTGATGTTGCGGGCAGAGGCCTGGTAGATGGCGGCGTCTTCTTCTTGACACCTAGAGGCAGGGGCGTGAGAGCGCTCCCCTCGGCCCACAGCCCAAGCCTCGGGACAGGACATGCCTCCCCGCCCCAACCCTGCCGCTTTCCGGCTGACGATGTCACCACCTGAGCATCCCCCCATGACAGCAGAGGAAACTGAGGCTGGGGCAGCCACCAAGGTCGGGCTGTCCCAGGAGGGATTAGACTTGGCCCAGGAGCGCTCTCGGCAGAAGCAGGTGACCGCACGGCCCCTGCTGAAATAAGGATGACACGGGAGCTGTTTCTGGCAGCTGACCTCATGGAAAATGCTTCTCTGGGTCAGGCCCTCTCTGGTCACCATCAGCTGTCTGGCTGTCAAGAGTGCTCCCTCCGCCGCCCCTCGTGCCCCAGACACGGGCAGCTGCGGTTCACCAGGTGGTCAGCTCAGCGGCACAGCCCCCGAGCTCCAGGCCGGGCTGCGTGTCTGGCTGTGCTGCCCTGGGGTGGGCTGGCCGGCAGGCGGCCCCTCACCTGTAGAGCTGCAGGCTATGGCGGTTGCCCTGGTGGGTGATCTGGTACTTCGGCAGGCCGCAGTACCGGTCCAGCTCCTTGTCATCCTTGTACCAGGTCACCTCTGGCTCCGGGTACCCTAGGAAGGAAGAGGGACCGGGCTGTGGGGAGGCCATTTCCACACCAGTGGGGGGTGAGACCAGATGCCAGGGCCTCCCCAGGCCACTGGGGACACTGGACGGCTCCGTGACGGAGTCGGGGCTGGGCAGACACGCCAAAGGGCCCAGCCTCCTTCTAGAAGTCAGCCCCGTCTGGCCAAAACTCCCTTTCCAGCAGCTGGAAGGTAAAGATGGAAGAGACACTTCCTAGCCTCCTGGCGAGAAGCGAGGAGCTCCTAGCAAGCCTCGGATGGGAGTGAAATGCTGCTTTTTTTCAGTGGCCGGTTCTCTGTCCTCACTCTGGTGACAGCTGTGTCCTCCCGCCCACACGCTCCACCTCCACCACCAGAGCCCTCCTTTTGCCCCATGTTTCTGGTTGTTCTGTCATTTCACGATACAACTAACATCCGTTCATCCACCCATCACCCATCTAGCCATCCGTGCACCCCATCCATCATCCCTGTACCCCCATCCATCATCCAGGTACCCCCATCCATCTGTGCACCCCCATCCGCATCCACCTTCCCATCAAGTGTGTCTGCCCAGCCCGGCTCGGGGTCTGCCAGCCCTGCCCATAACACGGGCACCAGCTGTGGAGAGTCGCGTCTCCTTGCTTCCCTGGCCGCAGCTGGCCTGTCCAGCCAGGGACACCCAAATCACCTCATCCAATTCAATTCTCTCACCCAGAATTTGGGGACTAGGCCTGCCCTGTGACTGGCTGTGGAACTGTGAGGGGCCAGAGGAGTGGCCATGCCCTGCCGCGTGCAGACAGCCCTGGCCCGCAGTGAGTGGGGAAGGCAAAGCTGGTGCTCACGACAGAACAAGGGGCAGGAGAAGGACGCGCGCCCAAAGGCTGCTCCACCCCTCGCTGGGGCTGCAGTAGTGGTCAGGTCCACCAACAGCCAGCTGGCCTCTCCAGCAGATGTCTTAAGCTGAGTCCAACTGATATCAGTATTTATTAGAAATCAAAGATTCCTAACACGCTCGCCCTGGAGGACCCGGCGTCTGCTGACCTGCCAGCCGAGGGTGTTGTCCCTCGAGAGGCTCCACAGACTGGGTTTCTGCTTCCGGAGCGGGTGTGCAGCAGGAATGAGGACACAGGCCCCTCACAGGCAGGCGCCACCTGGCCCAGGCCCTGCTGTCTACAGGCAGAAGCAAACAAGCCTCCCGAGCCCCCCACCTCCGCAGAGCCCGCACAGCCCACCCCCTCTCGCGGGTGCTCTGCCACCGCCCTTCCAGGGATGGGGATCGCATCTTCCTCCCGCTCCCGCCCTCACGCTCCGCTGCCTCCTTCACAGAAAAAGGTTTCAAAAGAGCTGTTGGGCCTCCCCTCCAACCCCAGCTCCACTCCCTCTCTGCCAGCGGGCCTCCTGCCCACCATGGCTCCGAACTGCTCTGGTCTACACCGCCTGCCTGGCACCAGCAGACCCGGTCATTCTCACACCCCATCCGCCCAATCTGGCCGCACCTACCCACTTCCCGAAGCCTGGCCCTCCTCGCTCCCGCACGCCACTCCTTCCTCCGCGCTCCCTGCACCCTCACCCCTTGCCCTGGCCCCTCTCGGCTGGCCACTCCCCACTGAGGTCTGGATATTAGGTGCCCGGCCTCAGGCAGAACCATTTTGCATTGTCTCTTTGCCACACAAAGGGGGCTAACCCTGCACCTCCAAATATGCGTGTGCTCATGATTCCCCTCCCTGTTGTCATTCGAGGGCACCCCTGACAGTGGCGCCTGCAGGCCCAGTGGCATCCAGGCGACCACGACCCGAGTCAAACTCCATCCCTCTCCACACTGGTTCCCGCGGATCTCAGCACCAGCAACTGCCAGACACACAAGGCGGCCCCGCGTTCCTCTCTTTCCTCTCGTCCACCCAGTCAGCCAGCCCCGCAGACCCTCCCTGCACAGGACACTGGGAGGCTGGCCACTTCCTGCCATTCCCACCACCTCCCTGGCGGGTCTCCTTCGGAGCCCCGCAACCTCCTCGCACTGGCTGCCGTCAGCTGCTCTGCGGCCCTTCCTCAGAACAGCAGCCAGAAGGGCCTTAGAAAATGGGGGCAGGAAGGGTGCTCCTTAGCTCCAAAAACCCCAATAGCCCCTCCGTGCTGAGGCCTCAGGGTCTGAGCCCTGGCACCCCACTTTATCTCCTCGGCCTCCACCTTGCTCACTGCTCCCAGCCACACGGCCCTCGCTGCCTCGGGCTCAGCCAGGGCATCTGCTGAGCATCCTCCGGGCAGCCTCCCTACTGCCCCACAGCGAACAGCACCCTCCTCTTGGTCCTGCCCCACGCGCTTTCCTGCACGCGCATGTGGTGTCACGCAGGCATCTCTCCAAGGCCGCGGGGCTGCACCCTGGGCCTGGCTCAAGAACCATGTGCCTAGGCCAAGTTCACATGCATGAAGCTCCCCACAGAAGTGAGGGAGGGCAGCCTGGATGGGGGTGCAGGTGGGGGAAGCACCTCTGGGCATCTGAATGGCCCTGGAGGCTGGGCAGGATTTCCAGACACGTGGGCTCCCCGCCTGCACCTCCTTGCCCCTCCTGACCCCACAACTGGCTGGTGGTCTGCTCCCCCGACCCTTGCTCTACACGGGCAGGAGCCGTCCCTCCCCTGCAGCTTCACCCCTGCCACCTGCCTGGTCCCTGCTGCCTGAGAGGGGCGGGCCCACGGGATGACTCGGTGAGAATCCGCTGGCTGCGCCCATGGGTGAGGGAGGAAGGGAAGGAGGGAGACGCCAACAAGAGGTGGGTGGGAATAACAGCGGGGCGGGGAGGAGAGGGAGGCGAGGCTGCAGCTGGTGGGCCGGGAACAAACTCTGGGCAGCCCCCACTGTAAAGTGAGCCCATGTTTCCACTGTGAGCTAAAGGCCCTGGTTACATCAGCGCGCGTGGCCGGCGGCACAGGCGTCCTCACTGTCCCGGGCGATGAGCTCATCTCTGCGCGGGCCCCCTCGGAGGCCGGTCCAGGGCCTGCCCCCAAGGGCCTCGCCTCCGGGCCATCTGAGTCCACGAGGCTGAGTGGAAGGGGGCAGGGCAAGGAGGAGGACACGAGGGGACCCCCCACGCGGCTGGGCCCAGCCTCCATGTCTCTTCAGGAGTGGGGGCCCCGCTCGCAGCTGAGGGCTCCGAGGCAACAGCAGGTGTTGAAGCCGCTGCTCGTGGAGATGTGTCCTGGCCCCCGGGCAGTGCAAACTCTGTTTCATTGCCCTGTGCGGGCAGCAGACGTGCTCGCCCAGGAGCGCCTGGCGGCGGCGGGGAGCTCATGAGCACACACGTGTGCACGTGGCCGTGGCCGGAGAACCACGTGGTTCATGTGGTCCTGGAGCCCAAGACCTTGCCTCTTCCTTCACACACAGAAGCAGACCCGAGTGGGACCAGCTCGGAGAACTGCAGCTTCACCCCCGACCCCCACCCCAGGCCGGAGAAGCCCAGACAAAGGCAGTGACGAGTGCGTGTCCAGCGGTCTCAGAAACCATCTAAAGAGAGCCTCCCTCTGGCGAGTCTGACAGGCCTGTAAAACAACTGCTGAGCTCCCTGAAGACTCACACGAGCCGGTGTGAAACCCAGCATTTTCATGTATTGTCTCATCTAATCCTCACGAAAAATCCCCCGGGGAGGGTGCTGTTAAGAACCCCAATTATGGAAGAGGAAATCAGCCCAAAGCCATCAGCTGGTAAGTGGAGGACCCAGGCGCCCACCCCTCTCTTCCAGGAAACAGGCGAGCTGGCATTTGGTCCCCACTTCACACCGACGGAAAGGGAGTGACGAGGTGGTTCACCCAGGCTCACGAGCTGGCACCTATCTAACAAGGCCCTGGCTTCCTTACCCGTCTGTCAGCGCTCCTCTCACTGGGGGTTCAGAACCAGTGCGGATGTGTCTGCCTCCAGCGGTCATTACATTTGATTTCTTCAGCAACTTGGTTCTGTCTAAACACTCAGAATTGGGTGATACCATCTGCCCCCAACAAGTGCTTTATGCTGAGAGCCCATCTAGCCCCCCAATCCACATCAATCCCAGAAAGCCTTTCCCTCCAGTCAAGGCCTGGAAGAGCACCCACAAGGGAGGGGAGTGAGTCCTGGAGGAAGGGACAGAAAAACTCTCTCTGCCGACAGTGCCACCCAGTCACCCCACAGCAGACATCTGAGTTCTGAGCCCTCCTCCTCACCATAACTTCCACTTGGCTGCTTGGTCTCTCACATTAACCCTTATCTGACAGTCCAAGATTCCTAGGTAGCTGAGGAAAGCCTGTGAAGAAAAGATTAAGCACCAAAACAATTAACTAGGAAGAAGGTGATTGGAAGAAACATGGGCTGTGCAGGGAGAAGGCACATTTAGTCTCAGGGAGCTAAGAGAAGAGATTACATTCATGAAAAGAACGGGATGCTACAGAAAAGGATTTTAAAAGCACACTCAGATGCAACCTTAACAGAGTCCGAAGTAGAAGCTTGCAATAATAACATAAATAAATGCTGGGGATATGATAATAAAGTATAGAATGGGGGCCTCCCCGGTGGCGCAGCGGTTGAGCGCTGGGTGGCGAAGCTGCCCGCGGCCTCTCCGGCGCCGGTTCGATCCCCGGCTGCTCCCCGGCCACCGGAGGAGGGTCCTACATGGCGCGCAGACCTCTCCTGCCGCCCGCTGCTCCCCTCAGCAGTGTACTTCGGTCCTTCTGCCTGCTCTGCTCCCCGCTCTGGCTCTGGTGAATTCTCTCACCCTCCCGCGCTTCTGACTGTACCCAGTGCATGTATAAACAAAAACAAACAAACAAATAAATGAATAAATAAATAAAACATGCCTCTATTTAAAAAAATAAATTAAAAAAAAAAGTATAGAATGGCAACTACAGTTAACAATACTGTATTGCATATTTGAAAGTTGCTAAGAAAATAGATCGTAAAAGTTCTCATCAGGAGGAGAAAAATGTGTAGCTATGTGTGGTGGTGGGTGTTAATCAAAACATTCCCAATATAAACAAATATTCAGTCATTAGGTTGTAGGCTGAAACTCATGTTATGTGTCAGTCATACCTCAATTTTTTTTTAAGATTTATTTATTCATGCATCCATACAAGAACCAGGGTACAGGCCAGATGCGCGGGAGGGTGAGAAGATTCATCAGAGACAGAGCGGGGAGCAGGACAGGCAGATCTACTGAAATACACTGCTGAGGGGAGCAGCAGGCAAGACAGGCGAGGTCTGCTGTGCCATGTGGGATTCTCGCCAGCAAGCCGGGATCGAACCCATGCTGCAGAGGCTGTAGACAGCTTCACACAGCACTGCGCTCAACCACCTGCATCACCAGGGTAGGCCCCATACCTCAATTTTAAAAAAGAAATGAAAATTTCAGTAGAAAGGTTGAAAGGTAACACTGAGGAAATCTCCCAGAAAATAGAACAAAAAGACAACTACATGAAAGGGGAAGAAAGGATAAGAAAATAAAAGAACAAGACAAAGGGAGCAGATAATACCTGACAGGCTTCCAGAAAGAGCAGAGGAAAAGGACAGAAGGAGTCAGCATCAGCCATCTCGGGTGCCCTAGGACAAAGAGCTTCTAGAGTGAAGGAGTGCAAGATGCTAGGATATGAGACCACTTTGAGAGGCATCCTTGGTTGTAACAGGTCAGACACTGTTACGAGCTTCCAGATACAGAAACCAGGCTCATGAATCAGGACTCCAACTGCCATCCTGCTCTGGACAGCAATGGGAAGCAGGAAGACAATGGAGCAGTGTCTTCAAAATACAGAAAGAAAACTCAGAGTTCTATACCCAGCTAAACACCCCATCAAGAGTAAAGAAGGGGGGAAAAAGGCATTTTTCTAATGTTTTTGGACAGCTAAAAAACAAGAATTTAAACCGAGAGAGAAAAAAATGTGGACTATAAAAATTCATCACAGGCCCAAGGTAAAGGGGACCCATGGGATGAAGGTGAAGAGTCCCCAGGATGACCTCTGTCCCCAAGACAGAGGGCAACTGAGTCACAAGGGACAGAATGACTCAAAGGAGGGGCAGGTCGAGAACTGGTCCCCACAGCTGTTCCTGCATCATCTTTAGGACCTGAAGAAATCATCGGCGGATACTGGAGTTCAATAAAAGCCAGAGAGTGAACCAAGAAGGAAGACACAGGGTTCAGGAGATGGGTCAAATCCCCGAGACAGGCAAAGTAAAGGGCCGGGACACCAGTTGTGCCTCCAAGGCCGCAGTTCAGGCAGAAGAGGTGAGATCTCCAAGGCGTGACTCCAAGGAGAGCAACTGTACTAAAAGGTTCATAGAAAGTATAAGAAAAGGTAGCAATGGAGGCTCAAAAGCTGACTAAACAAAGAAACAAGGAAAGTACTAACTTTAGGGAAAACAGAAATAAGAAATAAAATCATGGTGGTGACAATGTTGGGTTACGAGTATCGCATAAGCACAATAGGGAAACAGTAAACACTGATTTGAGCAAAAATTATGAACTATTGAGAAGTGAGGGGCAGGGGTGAAAATGCTGGTAACGAGCGCTAATCTCCTGCCTACCCTGCAGGACTGGGGAGCACCTGACCTTGAAGACTCAGGAGCCAGCAGCAGCCACAGAAACGCCACATGCTGGAAGAAACAGCTGACACAGCCCAAAGCACTTGCTTCTGGGATGACAAACTGGCAAACAACTGTATTTTGATATATGCCTGCAAAGTATCAGCTGAAGTCTTGAACTACATGCGTGTGTTAACTTGCTGAAATAAAAATTACTTTTCTTTAAAAAGGAGAATTCAGGAATTTATAGAGGAAATAGCAGAGTCATGAGCAAGTCGAGATTTTCTAAAAAGTCCTCAGAGCCACAGTAACCCTGGAGATGCGGGCACAGCGGGCACCACAGACCCGGCAGGAAGCAGGCAGCTCCCCTTGCTGCTGCAGACTGGCAAGCGCCACACGGGCTCCAGTCTCTGTAAAACCCAACTAATAATAGCACTTGTTTCACAGTGTTGTGCAAGAATCCAGCAATAATGTCGGGGGCACCGCACACACGGCATCACGCACAGGCTGGGCAGGCTGGTGCCTGGCCCTGAACAGCCGTGTTCTTAGGCTGGAGCGCAGCGGTCTAGAACAGCGGCTCCAGAATCGCGCATGGGAGCCGTCCCTGAGCAGGAGCAGGGCCACAGTCAGGCCCAGCAGCAGCAGCTGGTCACCTAGAGGCCGAGGCGCCCCCCAGAGAGGGGATTGCCTGGGCCCCTGCACCTGCTGCTAGCACAGGTCCCCAGCTGAGGGCCCTGCAGATCCTGAAGCAGGTCGGGTGGGCATTTAGAGACTGGGGCACCTTCCCAGCGTCCTCGCCCTTCCTATTCCTCCAGCCTGAAGCCCCCGCATGGAGCTGAGCGCCGTGGGGACCTAATAGTCCCCCTTCCCATGGCCCTCGGCACCTAACCTTGCAGGACCGCCCTTTGCATGTCCTTGTCTCCGTCTCACTACTGCGCCGCTGTCACATCCTTGACAGACAAGCCGCCGAGAGGTGACATCACCTGCTTAACACTCCGGCGCCCAGGCCCAGCGCCCCTTGGCACCCACTGCACTGGAGTGGCCTTCCCCTCAGGCCCCAAACCACGTGGTCGCAACTTGGGGCCACCTGGGGAGGAGCTGGGAGCTCTCACTTTGGAAAGCTGCTCCCCTTGGAACATGGAGCACCGTGCGTGCCAGAGCCACCACCTGCGAGATGTACCGCCCATGCAGAGCACCCCTGGGGGCACACAGACACTCCCTCCGCTCCTCCAGACCCCTGGGGCCTGCTGCTAGGGAGGAACCGGCGGACTCGTTACCTGTAACAACGCAGGTGAACTTGACGTCGCTGTCCTCAGACACAGCCCGGGACTTGAGCGTGGTCTCAAATATCGGCTGGGTCTCCTCTGTGAGCTGAGCGATGATGGAGCAGAAGGTGCTCCTGGAAAGGCAACGGGCCATTCAGAGCAGCCCTCTCCCCATGCCACCCCGGCGCCGCCTGGGCAGCCGCCCCCTGCCCGCCCAGCCTCTTCCCGAGGCCGCGCACCAGCACCAGAGCAATCCTTGTGCCGGAGCCTGGGCTCAGGGCCAGGGCGGGGGCGGGGCCAGTTCCCCAGGGCTGAGTGGGGACCCAGACCCATCACAAGAGGCGGGGGTGGCACCTGCACAGCCCAGACTGCCAACCCCCATCCCCATCCTGTCCTGGGGGCTGCGCGTCACCCTCCACCCCGATCTCCAGGAAGCGCGTGCAGGGGAGACACTTTGAACAGGCCCAGCCTCCAAGATGGAGACCCCAGCATGGCAGAGCCTCATCTCAGGTGAGGGGGCAACCCCAAGGACATTTGGGGCCAGGGGCTCAGGGGCCTCTCCTAAAGCCCCTCAGCTGTCCGCACAGGCTCGTATAGACAAAGAAGCCAGCCGAGGCCAGGTCTACACCCAAAGGCGCTCTCTTCCTAGGGGATCACACAGGAGGCTCCCATGAATTCTGCCCTGAGCAGGGCGGCATCTGCAATGGGCATGGCTCCACCCCACTTGTCCTGGATGGCACTCGTCCTGGGTCTGGCTGCGGCTCCAGGACCCACCCGGCCACCAACCACAAGCAGATCGGCCTGCAAAGCCAGGGTGTCGTGCCCACGTGCCCGCCACCCAGGTCCTGATCTGCCCACCCCTCGGCCATGGTGCTCAGTGCCTGGGGTGCTCTCTTCTGGCCGTGAGCAGGCCACCCTCCACAGACAGCAGGGACAGGTGCCCGGCGTGAAGCTAGGCCACGAAGCCAGTGACAAGCCGTGCCCAGCCCACTGCCATCTCTCCCCCACGGAGCAGTGGGGTGCATGCAGGGCAGGGTGGAGAGCAGAGGACCCATCCACGGGGCTGCCTTCTCCGAGCCTCGGCCTACCGGGCCAGCCCCTGCCTGCAGCACCTTTGCCTCTGGGCCCCATCCCGCCCTCTAAGCCCCTGGGGCATGGGAGGGACTCCAAGCCCCTGCCTGCAAGGACACCCCCGTGCAGAAAAGTCTGCCCCCCCCACCTCCAAGTCCCTCCAAGCCTGTAACTTCAGGGAACCTTGGCCTGGTCACGGGGCTCAAGAGAACACCGGAAGCAGCGGCTTCTCTGGGCTCTCCGGGGCCAGCCCTGGCCTGGCGCCTCGCCACCCCTCCAGCCCCCACACTCTCCTCCTGGACCCCACCTTGGATTCGCTGTGAAGCCCTGTCTCTGCCATGAGCCCCGCGGGACAAAGATTCCTCAGCGTGCCCCCATCAAACACCCACAGACAGGGTGGTGCCACCGCCCCTTGGACGTGATCAGCTCTTCGAGATCTTTCTCTGTGGCGAGGGGCTGCAGCCAGCTCCCCAGCTCTATCAGTGTCTGGGTGAGGCTTGAGGGGTCAGGAAATGTCCCCACTGAGGTCACCACAATCAGCTCAGCCTGGGGTACAGGGCAGGCCCCAGCAGGGGAGCAAGAGGACCTTCTTCACTCAGCGGCAAGGCCCGCAGGCCCGGTGAGACCACCCCCCACCCCCACCCCCCGCCCCGGTCTGCCGTGGCCGGGGGAGCCCGAGGAAGAGGAGATTCAGAGAAAGAGCTGGAGAGAGAACTCCAGGGGCCAAAGGAAAAGAGGCTGTAGGGGCTGCCACCGTGGTCAGAAGAAAGGACCAGATCTGGGTGTGCGGGCACAGAAACCCCGGGTCCAGGGCGGGGGACACCGTGGGCTGGTCCCGCGGCCTGTTCCCGGGCGGGCACCTCGGGGACCCCGCCTGTCCCTGGGTCTCTGCCCTCTTTCAAACAGCCCATGCAGCCCGGGCTCCCCCCGCCGCCGCCCCTCGCCCCATGCAGCCTGGCTCATGCACCAGCCACCACCCAGAGGCCCCTCAGCACCCAGGCCCAGAGAAAAGCAGTCCGAGAAACAGAATGTTCGCCTTTACCTTCCAGAGCCGGGGGGCGGCAGCCGGCTGCTCGGTAAGCTAAGCAAAAACAGCAAATGGAATCATTAGGCCGAAAAGCGAGGAGAGAGGACGCGGGAGTGGCCAGCGTGCGGAGCGGCAGCAGGCCGCCCTCGGGCCCGGAGGCCGCGCTAGTGAGGGGGCCCAGCCGGCCCGCCGGCCGCCGGGAGCAAGTGGCCTCTGCACCGGACGCCAGCGCATCTGAAACCAAGAGCTCGTTAAACGCAGCAGATCCAGGAAGGTGGTTAGGCGGGAAGGAGGCCCCTCGGGGCTGCGCTCAGAGAAGGGGTGCCCCGGGCACGGGGGCACAGTCCCCCAGATGGGGCTTACCGCTGCCTGGCCCGTTTCCCCAGCCCAGGCCAGCCAGCCTGGGGGCAGCTCCTGCTTCCACCGTGGGCCTTGGGGAGCGGAGTCCCCATTCCTGGAAATCCCCTAGCGGATGGGAAGGAGCCGGGTGGCTTGGAGGAGGCCCATTAATGTGTTAACGTCAGGTTAAAGAGCCGCGCAAGGCAAACCAGCTAGGGGTGAAGACAGGAGAAAACAAAGCAGTTAATTCAGCAGGAGCCGGGAGGTTCCCGGCTCCGTCAGACCAGCCGCGCCAGGCCTGTGCCCGTGGCCCTGACCCCTCCTGCCCGGGGCAGCTGACCGTGGGCACCGCCAGGGCCGGCAGAGGCCCCCGCCGCGCGAGGCCCCACCGCAGACCCTTCGTGGAGACCCGGCCCACCAGGCAGGAGTCACACCCCTCGCCTCTGTCTTTCGGGAGAGGTGCCTCAGGGGGATCGATGATGAGGCCCCCACCGCCCCCACGGCCCCCACGGCCCTCAAGAGCCACCCCACCACACTGCCCCCAGGGGAAGGGCTCTCCCGCTCCGCCAGCCGCCGGCCTGCTCCACGCTCCCTCAGCACCTCCGCGCAAGGAGCCTCCCGCCAAGCGGGCTCTCCGGGCCCGTCTCCTCCGCCGCCCCGCTCCTGGGTGCACGGGCCGCACCAGCTCTCCCCCAAGCTCAAGGCCGCCATTTCGGACTCCCCTGCCCCCTCTAGCCCAGAGTCCAGCCGCAGCTGCTGGCCCTTCTTCCTCCCTCTCCCCGCGCCCCTGCTACGGGGCTCCGGGCCCGACCCTCACCCCTCCTGTCTCACCGACGGCTGTGATGTCTCCACCACCTGACGGGCCGTGAGGCCCCTCGCCCACGCCCGCCACCGCTCTGGCCCCCCCGGGGGCATCCACTCTGACAGGCCCGACTCTCCCGCTAGGGCCACGCCCCTTCCCGGCCTCAGAGCCAGCCCTGGTCCTCCCGCTCCCAACGTGCTCCTCCTTCCTTCTGCTCCACCCAGTCCTGCCCTCTGGGCTCCACCAGGCTCTCCGGAGCCTCTGGGCCCCGGCTCAGGGCGCTGGCGTGGGCGCTCCGCCTGCTCCAGGGAGAAAGAGAACAGGGCGGAGGAGGGTGGGCAGGGCGCGCACCTTCCAGCAGGACAGCCTTGCGCCGGGGAGCTGCTGTTCCCGGAAGGATGGGGAGGAGCGGAGAGTGCAGCGGCCTCTCCGGGGTTCAAAGCCCCTGGAGGCTGCCGGGAGCCCCTGCCTGAGGCATCTCCGCCCCTCCCTTGGGTCTGGATACCTCCCTGGGAAGGAGGGGGAGACTCAGCCCCTTGACTCAGGCGGGAACCCAGGGGCTGCAAGGGGGCTGGGCCATGCCCCGGGCCTGCTTTCTCTAGGCAACCTCTGCCGGCGGCCAGCGGCCAGGTCAGGTGGAAGGCGGAAGACCTGCCTGGCACCCGCTGACCGACCCTCAGGGGGCAGAACCAGGGGCACCAAGTTTGGGGCTGAAAACCTGAGAGTCCTTCGTGACACCTGCATTCTACGGAGCAGGAATCAGGGCCCAGAAGGGAGAGAAGGGGTTGGGGGCTGGCCTGGAGGCTGGGGCCTCTCGTCTCTCCTGCTTCAGATATTCTGGGGCATAAAAGGCCCCAGAAGCCCTGGCCTGATGCCCGCCTCCAGCACGCCAGGGACGCCGTCTGGCCCCACCGAGCAGAGGGGCTGCAAGCGGCCAGGAGCGGCCTCCGGGAACCCTGTCTCCACCTCCTGGGCCTCTCCCACCCCTACAGGCAGGTTGTGGGGGTACCTGCTCCCAAGGAGTGGCTGGCCTCACGGGATAACCGGGCCTGTCCCCTCCCCTCTCCCCGCCCCCTCCACTCATGGCCTCCTTCTGCCTCTGCCCAGAGCTCTCCTGGAGGCCAGAAATGCCTGGCCTCTGTGTCCCTCAGGACCTGGGGGTCTGTGGCCAGCTGGCAGGAGCAAGCCCAGTCTAGAAAGCCCGCCCCCGCCGGCTCTCCACACGCGGGGAGGAAGTGCCTGAGTCTGGCCTGCGGGCTCCTCGCAGGCACCCGCCGTGCTCCAGCAACGTGTGCCACTCAGTTCACACTTTCCTGCCGCCGGACCGCCCAGTGGGGGTGGACGCGACGGGGGTGGACACGGCTGGAGGGTGGATGTAGCGTCCCCCGCCTCCGTGCTGATCCCTGGCCTCCCTGTTCTGTCTGGTTTGCTGCCCAGGCCCTCTCAGCAGGCCGCGTCCCTCTGACGTGTCTGCTGGGGCTGACAAAGGCCAGACGCGGAGGCACAGCCCTGACAAGCCCGTGACGGCGCGACAGCGTGAGGCTCCCGCCGGCCGGCCGCGGCGGCCTCACCAAGGCCTGAGCAAACACCCGAGTTTTGTTCCAGGTTCCCAGAGCCGTTGGTGGGAGGAAGGGCCTGCTCCCTGGCAACCCGGCTGTGCAACTGACTCAAGCACCAACACAGCCCTCAGCTCTCCCCAGACATGTGACACCATTTGACGAGTTTTAGGCAGAAACCGGTTCCGGTTACATTCGAACTTTTCCAGCTCCAAGGTCAAGAGCTCAGCCAGTCCGCGGGGAAGCGCCTGGGACTTTTCCTGAACGTCCTTGGTGCCTGTTTAGTGCTGCTCTGGGACGCAGGCGAGTCTCCAGGCGGCTTCCCAGAGGCGTGGCTGCTTTCGGGGTAACCCGCCACGGCTTCTGGGGCACAACCTCTCCCAGCGTCACATTTCCTGCTGGAGGAACACCGGGCTGCCGGAGCGAGCGGGATGGGCCGTCGCCATGGGGATGCGTGGGCCAGCGCCTGTGCCCGGGGCCTCCTCTGTGGTCTCTGCCTCGCCGTCTGGGGGCAGCCTGGCTCCTCAACAAGCTTCCAAGCCCCTCTACCTCTCGGGGAGAGAAGTGCCGGCCCTCACGTCCACCCTCGCCTGGCGTCCCTCTCCCCACAGGCCAGGGCAGTTGGCCCTCTCGCACCTCAAGCTGGGGATCTTCAGACAGGGCCAAGCAGCCCCTCACCAGCACCCCAAGAGACCCTGGGGGACCAGTCCTGGGACGAAGGAGAACCTAACTGGCACAGGCTCACTTCTGGTAAATCCTGGGCCCTTCTCCCAGCTAAGCAGCCTCACCAGGGCGACCTTCCCCAGCACCCCCGCCCGGTGAATGCTCCCCTCCTCCCAGCCAGGGAGGAATTCCAGTCCCTCTGGCCTCCTTGTTGCTCACTATGGAATCCGAGGAAGCAGGGAGTAGCTGGGACTGTGGAAGCTGATGGGGAGGGGGGGTGGCAGCCAGCTTCAGACCCTGTGAAGCCACCCAAAGGAGGGTCATTCTCCTCTGCCGAGCCTCCCTAGCCAGAGGCCTGCGGCCCACGGGTCCAGGCCCTGCCCTTGGCCTGGGGCCAGTGTCTCACAGTCCATCCCGGGCCTCACCTGGTCTCGGGCCGCACGCTGAGCAGGTAGCTTCGGCTGGCTGGGCTAGGAGTCCACACCGGCCCCTCATCCTCTCCGTCGCCCCCCGACCCGGCCCTGGCCGCCCAGCTGCGGGGCCCCTTCCGCGACCCCATGCTGCCGCACCCTGCCAACCCGCCGCCAGCCTCTCCCCCTATTTATAGCCGGGCTGCCGGTCACCTGCTGCTGTCCCTCCCCCGCTGGCCCGCCCCGGGCCCCGCGGCCCGCACCGCCCCCTCCATGCAGGCCTCGCCCCTCTCGTGGCCTGAAAGCCTCCTGCACCTGCCCGCCTGGCTCCCCACCCGTGGCAGACAGCTCACCAGCCTTCCAGAAACTTCGCCGAAGAGAAAGAGCAAAGGAGCCGGGGAGCAGTCCCGAAAGCCTGTGAGGCCAGAAGAAAGGGGGCCCTGAGGCGGGTGGACACTCGGGTGGGTTCCAGTGGGAGAGCAGGAGGGCGCACCCTCCCCTGCTGCCTCACTGGCCCTGGCCCTGGCCTGCTTCACCCACACACTTCCATGGCCACCGGGGCCCTCGGCAGCCAGAACTCCTCTGGATGGCTGTCTGTGGCCCTCTCCGGGATCTAGCATGGATTCGGGCTCAGTAAACACCCTACAGTAACTGGACCTGCGTCTCCACCCCTCAGCCCCTGTTCCCCAGCACCTGAGGGGGATGAGCTGAGCCCCAACACCCCCAGAAACTAGTCAGTCATTCAACAGTTTCTGAGAGCAAGGTTCTCAGCATGGTTCTAAATATGGGGAGTGACCTCAGTCTGTTTATCCATCTTGCTTCTCCTACACCCCCAAGAGCATCCAGGAGGTACCTGGTGCTGGGCGGCTAGAAGCATTAGAAAGTTCTAGAAACTGCACCCACATGCCCCCATCTTTTAGGAAAGGACTCTTCCCCCACTCTAACTTGGTGGTTCCCATGGCAACAGCCTGACCCTGCCCACCTTGGGCTCTGACTCCGGAGGGTCCCCACCAGGAGGAGGGGGGTCAGGCCTCAGCAGAGCCCAGCGTCGGCCTCGGGAGGGGCGGCGGGCGAGCTCCTCTCTTGGTGACTGTGGACGCCTTTCAGCGCCGCTCTCCTGGCCTGTGACGCTCTCACAGTGGCTTCGGCTGCTGCGGGCAGGCCTCCCTCTGCTTCCGGTGCCATGTTCATGAAAACGGCTTGAGCCTCCTGCCCTGACACAACCCAACCCCGCGCCGGCCTGTGTGTGGGGGCAGAATGCCGGCTGGCGCCCCCGCCTGCACCCTGGCCCGCCTTGGTGGCTTGGTGGGGGGGGACCCCCAGGCGCTCCCAGGGCAGAGGCCGCTGTGTAACCCGCGCCGGCAGCAGGACTTCGAGATGGGGCTTTGCTCCAGTGCCTGAGGGTGCGTCTCCACACGCTGTGGTGCGGGGATGGAGGTCAGAGGTCAGCAAGAACTTCCCTAGGTAGCATAGCAGCTACATCCCGGCCTTGGAGCAGCAGACCAGGGCCCGTCCCCACGCAGGGAGCACGGAATCGACCCGCACAGGCCCGCCTTCCACCCCCGCGAGCCCTGAGCCTCGGTCGACAAGCCCTGGCGTCCAGGGGCCCTGCCCTCCCCGGGGAGAAGGGTCTTCCCACAGCCCCCAAGACCCTATCGCCAGGCCTAAAAAATCGGATGCGGTGTCGGGATCTAACCCGCTCCTGGTTCGCTCTCCTCCCCTCCCCTACCTGAGGACCCTCCCCTGGTCCCTTTTCGGTGTTTGAACTCACACCCAGAGCCAGCCTCAGGGCCAGCCTGAGGCAGAAATGGAAAGCGGGGCCTCCCTGGTGGTGCAAGGGGTTAAGACGCAACCTATGAAGCTGTCCGCAGCCACTGCAGCACCAGTTCGATCCCCAGCCAGCCAGGGAGAAATCCACACGGCGCGGCAGACCTCTCCTGTCTCCCCGCTGCTCCCCTCAGCAGTGGATTTCGTCAGTCTGCCTGTTCTGCTCCCCGCTGTGTCTCTGGTGAATCTTCTCACCCCCCCACACACATCTGGACTGTACCCCAGTTCTTGTATAATAAATAAATCTTTTTTAAAAATACAAAAATTTCTTAAAAAAAAAAAAAAAGGAACGGGAAGCGCCTCCTTAGAAGAGCTTCTTGGAGAGCAGGACCTGCCTTCCCGCCCCCTCAGACTCCAGTCCCATCAGACCCAAGGGGTCTGGGGCAGGGCGGCAGCTAAGAGGTGTACAGGCTGCAAAACCCCAGGGAGATGGGAGCTGTGTGCCAGGCAGCCAAGAAGGAGGTGCCCGACAGTGGGAGCAAAGGCTGTGGGATCAGGGTTTTGAAGTCAGGCCCAGTGGATTCTAGGTTCTGTGGACAGTGGCTCTGAGGATGCCACGGCCTCCCCTGTCCCTGGGCAGGCCGAGAGGGGTATTCCCAGGGAGCACTGATTACGTGGCTTTACCATAGTTGTTGCTGTTTGTTGGGGGGTTTTAGCATCCTTGTGTTAAAATTAAATTTCAATTTGCAAGTAATAAAAACTATTATTGAAAAATAAGAGTATTTTTAAAAGGCGTGTGCAGGACAGGATGAACTCGCTCAAGATCCTTCTGGACCTGGGTCCCAAAAGAAAAGAATTCTGGGTAGCAGGACTTGAAGCTGCTGGGAAATCATCCAGTGAGCAACTGCACTGGGAAAGGCTTGACCAGAAACAAAAGCAGCAGGTCCTCAGAAAGCGAGAACTCCGACAGGGCGTGACAGATACAGACCGTAGCATCAATAAATGCAGACAAAGGTGACAGTGCTTGGAGGAAGGGCCGAGGAGAGGCCTTCCCACGTCTCCACGCGTCTAGGCCAACAGCCAGTGAATAAAAAAGAAAGCCGGCAGCAGTTCTTGCTCTGGGAAGGCCTCCACCATTCTGACACAAACAGAGCAGCGAGAAGGTGAAGCGCAGGCAGGCTCAAGACCCCCAGCGGCACCCCCACATGCCAGCTGAGCGCTGTGCACGAGGCCAGGAGGCGGGGACCGCCACCGGCTCTCTCCAGCCCCTCACACCGCTGGCGAGACCAGCCAGAGCCACAGGGACAAAGTCCCGCGGAGACTCCTGCAGAAGCAGCAACCATAAGCCCAGCGCGCGGGGCGCGGCAGCGTTAGATGTCAAACAGGAAGCGGGTAAACGAATCATGTTGGTTTGAAAGTGGTTACAGCTCCGGAAAAACGATGATTTCAACCAGAAAGTGCCGGGGCCCCAAGACCAGTAGGGAAAAGTGGGTGAGCAGAGGGGAGCAGGGCCACCTGCTCATCCCAGCCCTGCCTACACCGCTCTGTGGAGTAGGGGATTCCTTGGCCACACTGAACCTCCAAAGGCACGATGGTCACGTCTGCTCGGGGGGCTGTTAGGAAGTTTAACAAGAGGATGAACGAGAACAGTGTGTCATCCAGAAATGTTCCACGCTGACCACGGTCATCACCATAATCGCACCATCAACTCAGCTAGGAAGGCGCCGAGCTGGGTTGAAAAATGACATGCAAAAATGAAAACAGCAGCCAAGGTAAGACTGGATTATAAATATGCATGTTTTTAATTTTTTCTAATAATCTTATATAAATTTTCCAATAAGAAAGTATTCTAAATAGGGAGCCCCCAGCCCCATATCTGGGACCTGGGTCTTAGTCTGCTCTTCCCCCCCAGAGGACCCCAGGCTCCCCGCGCCCGGGGCTGCAGCTGCTGTGCATCTGCGGTGCAGAATGTGGACAGCGGGCTGAATCTTGGAAAGGACAGGGGACGTTCTAGAATCTAGAAGCTTCTCTCTTGCTCAGACCAGACCCTGAGAGAAGGGATTTACTCATTCACACGTGCACTCACACCACACACGCTCTCTGTGCACACCCATTCTGCACACTCACTCTGTGCACACCATTCCACACACCTACTCTGCGCACACCCACTCTGCACACCACTCTGTGCACACCCACTCTGTGCACTGCCATTGCACGCACGGACTGTGCTGGGAGTTCCAGGAGAATGGGGCTGACCCACGGAACAAACCTGGCACAACCTCCAGCGGAAGTGAAAAAAGCAGGCTTCGAAACTGCGGATAGAATGCTACCATTTGTATTAAAAATAGATATATAAATATACATATTTATAAACTCATAAATGCATAGAATTGCTCAGAGAGAATACACAAGATACCGATAACAGTTATTAACTCCGGAGAGGGGACAGGCAGGGCTGACCGCCAGAGCGAGGCCTACTTTCTGACGTACTCGCGTACGGTTTGCATGTCTTACCATGTATATGCATTCATTTTTTAAAAAATTTTCTCTTTCAATTTAAAAACAAGTGAAAGCGAGTGTGCCCGGTGACCAGAAAAGGGGGCTTCCTCGGCTCGGGGAGGCACGGGGGCTGCCCTTGCCGAGCCACACGTGTGACGTTCTCGCCAAGCAGACTGTTTACATAGGTGAAGGGAACGCTCCCCCGCGCCAAGTGGCTTCCAGGACCTCAGCGCACTGTTTTACAAGATAGAGCAGCCAGAGAAGAGACACTCGGTTCGTCCGGCCTCTCGGTGCTGAACTGCACTGTCTCGGGGGGCGGGGGTCTCGCCGCGGGGCCTGCCGGGAGAGGCGTGGGCGGTGGCCGAGAGCTCGCTAGAGCAAGGTGCTCTGAGGCCAGCAGCGGAGCCACTAAAAAGATCTTTAAAAAGACCAGGAGATACTGGCCCAGGGAGTCGTGCTCCCCACGACGGGCAGGTGACCTTTCTGGGATGGTCCCCCAAAGGGGTGGGTCTTCCAGCGGCCAGATGAATCCCCCCAGACCAGAAGGCCACCCAGACACGTCACCCACCCTCCTCGGTGACAAGGCACAGGCGGACTCCAGAGAGCCTGGCACTCAGGGGCACCCCAAGTGCAGGGGAGGTAGGAAAGCAGTGGGTGTCTGGAGGCTGCAAAGTGCTGACGGGGCATTCTGCCCAAGCAGCCGGCCTCCAGCCAGAGAGGCTGGCGCCTCGGACCTGGGGCCAGACAGCCGAGACTCAGCACAGCACTCGAGGGGGCAGCACGTTTCCCACCCCCTGGGCCTCAGCTTTCCCTGTGAACACAGGCACGCCGGGCCCTGGGCAGGGCTGCGAGCACTGTCCCCCACTCTCGGGGACCCCCTACGCCCAATCCCACGCAACAGCGACCTGGCCACACTCCCCTCCTCTAAAGTGGTGTCTGCCAGCGAGAAAACGCCGCCTGCTCACCCCACGGGGCCCGCGGAGTCACGAGCGGGTGTGTTTTCCGGGGGTGGGGCGTGGGCGAGAGGGCCGGTAAGAACAGGCGTCCCGGGCTGTGACCCGCGTTTCCTGGCGAGCAACCTGGCAGTGGCCTGAGGCTGCGGAGGCCACTCGGGAGCGAGACGGCCCCAGGGTCCAGGGGGAGAGGAGCCTGGGCTGCCTCTTCCTCTGTACCCCCCGGCACCCACGGGTCCCGGCAGGGAGACCCCGGGCCCTTCCACCCCGGCGCCTCCAGCACCCTCTGCTCCTGCCACCGCAACGCCAGCGCCAGCAGCCTGGAGTCGGAGCAGGACGCGGCTAAGCTGGGCGGCTCTGGCCCTGCAGGCTCCAGGCCCAGCGCCCCCGCCTGCCTGGGAGGGGCCAGCAGCCTGGCCAGGCGCGGCCTCATTAAACAGAGTTGCCCCGAAACTAGCCTGTGCCCCTGCCTCGGCATTTCCACCAGCAAGCTGGCATGATGACAGAGGAAGAAAAACCATTTTGTTTTTGTTTCCCCAATTGTGGGAAGGTCAGGCCTAGTAACGTGCAGCGGGTATGGAGCCCCTCCCTCGAGATCGCCTCTGAGAACTGGTCAGCGCCCACTTTCCTGGGGGACACCGGCTCCCACCTGGCCGCTGCCGCTTGGGTCAGAGGTCAGAGTCACCTCCACGGCCTGTCCCATCTAACCCGGGGCTGCCACACCGGCTCTGGGGGCAACAGCGAGAAAGCCGCGGCCCCTCCCGCTCCCCGGCCCCCTCACCCACACAGGGTTTTCGTGGGTTGAAAATCCACTTGTGGTAAAGACAGAAGTGCCCAGAAAACTCCAGCGTGCCCTAGAGCAGGTGCCACTGGCGGGACCACCCCCGAGACCCTCCTGTTGCTCCTCGGCTGTCTCTGGAGACCCGGGTTCACGGCCTCCTGACCTCGAGCTCCGGATGCAGAGAGGCGCCCCGGGGAGCAGGGCCAGGCTCACTGGAGAGGAACACAAGAGCCTACCTGCACGGTAAGAAGGTTTTTTATTGGAAAGAGTCTGAGCAACACGGGTGCGGCCGAGGAGGAGGGCTGGCGGGGCAGCCGCTCCAGGGCCACAGGAGCGGGAGGACACACGTCCCACCGAGGCCCACCCGCAGGACAGGCAGGGACAGCGGCACCGGGCACGCCGCTCCCCGGGGGCTGCCCTCTGCGGCCTCCCTGTGGCGCCTGCTTCCCAGGCTCCAAAGAGCAAAGAGCGACAGGGGCGTCCCCCACACAGACGGGACAAGCCAGGGCTGCTTGGGGGGAAGAGGCGGAGAAGACAGGAAGGCGGGGCAAGATGACCAAGGGCTCCAGCCAGGCCGGGCGGGCAGTGGCCCCCAGAGGGGCCAGCCCGTGCCCCGTCCCCCGGCTGCTGGGCCCAGATGGGGCCCTGAGCGCCTGGGAGAGGCCTGGCTGGAGCACAGGCGGAGCCTCCCGGGAGCACACGGTTGAGAAGGGGGTTCAAGCCGAGGTGACAGCTGTGGGGCCGGGCCACTCAACAGCCTGGGGCCGGAAGGACAAAGGCCAGCGTCGGGGACCAGAAGCAGCACAAAGCCATAAATAACAGAAGCAGATTCTGAGCCGTGAGGAATCCAGGCGACCCGCCTCCCGGGCAGCAGGTTCCAGGGCCCAGCTGGCCACACCCCTGGGAACGGGCCCTCTTCTCCCGCCGTCCAGGCGCCACCGGCCACGCACGGCCCCAGCTCCGGTCACACCTGCGGGGACGGGGCGCGGCTGTCCTGGTCCTGAGAAGCCTGTGCTGGACTCGGGGCTTCAGGGGCGCTGTCCTCCTCGGCGGCCGGGCTGGGGGGTCGCCGGGCCTCGGGGTCGCCCAGCGAGGGCTCGCTGGCACAGTCTTCCAGCCCGTTCTCCTGGGTCGGCAGGAGCAGCTCCTCCTGGGAGCCCTGCCCGGGCGGCGCCGCCCCCGCCTCCTCCTCCTGGTCCCGCACCTTGTGGACGATGAAGAGGTGGCGGCCGAGGGAGCCGGCGGAGGTGTAGCACAGGCCGCAGAGCGGGCACTGGGCCGTGGAGCTGTCGGCCTGGTGCTGAGGTATGTGGCTCTGGAACGCGAGCCCCGAGTCCGAGGCGAAGCTGCACTTGGCGCACTGGAAGAGGGGCTTGTGCCTCTTGGTGGCCGAGGCGGCTGCGCCGTTGCTGGTGCCCGGAGCGTCCCCCGCTCCGCTGCCCGGTCTTTTCAGATGGTTCACCTGGCGCAGGAGAGAGCGCGTCCCGCGTGAGCAGGGGACCCGCGTGGCCAGGGAGCCCGCGCCCGCCCGGCCGGGCCCAGCTCGCGCACTGGGCAGGCCGCCTTCCTTTGGGGACTTCTCTTTGCTCCCATTGGTTTCTTTTAGGGCGAGGCGTGTCAGCGGACACACGTCAGCCTCCCAGAGATGTGGGGAGGGTCGGGAACACGGGGCAGGGCCGGGGCGGCGGTGCTCACTGGACAGAAGTGCCAGCTTCCGCACAAGGACGCCCCTTCTCTATGCTCACCCACAGGGGGCGCCTCCCCACCAGAGCACCGACGCCCTCCTCCGAAGGCCGCGCACTGGTCATCGGGGGACAAGCGAGCCTCAGGGAGTGCCCAGTGCGCGTCCGATCTGAGCCCTGCAGATGTCCTTCAACCCTCTTCCCCAAGCCCAGGTCAAAGGCATCTGACAGAGACCCCGGATCACAGCATGTGCACCAGAGGGGGAGAGCACCAGGTGCCCTTTAATCGCAGACAAGTGTCACCAAGATGCCAACGACACCCCACCCCTGGCAGCCAAGAACGCCCCAGGACTGCAAGCAGGGCTCAGACGCCGCCCTGTCCCCAGCACGACAGTGGGGTCACGAGGACGGGCAGCAGCGGGAACAAGAGGCCATTGGGCGCTGCCCCGTCCCCAACCCCCCAGAGCCACAGGGCTGGAGCGTCCACTTGCCCGCTGGGGCCACCCCGCTGGCCCGTGACCGCGGCCTCTGGCTGGCAGCGCAGGAGCAGGGCCACGCTCACCTGAGGGGAGTGTCCACCCGGAGGTGTGACCTTGGACGTCTGGCTCAGGTCAGGGTTTCTGATGCCGTGCATAAGGCTGATGTGGCTCTCCAGGAGGGAGGGCCGTGGGAAGCTGGGGCTGTCCTCCGTGCAGTACCTGCCGGGGCACAGCTACCGGTGAGGCCCGGAGCCGGGCAGGCTGAGGCAAAGGCTGCTCCGGTTCTAGGGTGCCTAGGGCTCCCCAGAGCAAGCCACGCAGGAAGCCAGCCTAGGAGTCTGCACCAGCCTGAGCCGGCTGTCTAAGCTCCCCGCCACCACCGCCCAGAGCCCCGGCTGGCCTTGAGGTGGGCACCAAAGAGGCCTGCACTCCCCAGCGAATGCCAGATGGTGCTGAAGCCTCGGGGCCCTGGAGCCCAGTCACCCCAGCAACCCGTCTCTCTGACGACCCTTCACCCACGCACGGTGGGGCAGTGGGGGAGGCGCTAGTAGCAGGTGGGGCTGGAAGCTGGTCCAACTTGCCCCACCCCACCTGCCCCCGGCAGAGACAGGCCTGTGGCCCTGCCCCCAACAGAGCCGGGCCCTGCCTCGGGTGCCCTCCACACTCACCCGCAGGTGTACACCCGCTTGGCGGTATCGTGGTTGTTGCGGATGTGCTTGCGCAGGCTGTTGGGGGTGTGGAAGGACAGCTCGCACTGCCGGCACGGGTACCGCTTCAGCGCCTGCAGGAGATCACGGGTCACAACCAGGCGGCTCCGGGCCTCTGCACACCCCCCGCCCCCACCTGGGACCTGGAGCCCCCAACCTGCCCGGAGCACAGGCGGCTGGGCCAGCCCCGCCCAGGCCAGGCCCCTCACGTACCCGCCCATGGCTCTTCTTCATGTGGGACACGTAGCTCTCCCTGTCAGGAACCCACTCCTGGCACTCCTGGCACGTCCAGCCCGTGCTCCTCAGCCGGGGCCTGGCCTCTGCCCGGCGGTGGGCCTCGGCCCTGCCCCAGCGGCTGGAGGGCAGGGAGCTGCCCCGGGACGCCACGCTGGGCACGGGGGGCTCTGTGGGCACACGCGAGCCGGGGCGGCTGGAGCACGGGTCCCCTGGAGACTGGAGGCTCGACAGCTCATCCACGTTCCGAGGAACCCCGTGGGTGTTCTGGGGATGGGGAGAGCGGTTACTAGCGGGCAGGGGAGAGAGGCACAGTCAGAGCCGGGCCTGAGGCGGGCGGCCCTTCTGCCTCCTCCCCCAGGCAGCCCACCTTGACGTGCTGCATCAGCTCTGGCTTCTGCAGGAACAGCAGTGGGCACTCGGGGCACTTGAAGACGCCCACCTGCGCCTTGCTGGCATTCTGGTAAAAGTGCTGCTGGATGTGCCGCTTCTTGTTGAAGACCATCTCGCAGGAGCACTTGTAAATGAGCCTGCGAGACAAGCCTGCAGCTGAAGGACAAGGGCCCCCGCTGAGCCGCCCGCCTCCCCACTTCTGCTTTCCCCGTAAAACCAGAGCACATCCAGCCTGTGCTCCTCAGCGGGGGCCTCGGGCCTGCATGGGAGGCTGCACAGAGCCGGGGGGACGCTCCCTGCCTTAGGAGGCCGTCTGTGACTCCAGGCGTCTGCTCCCCGGTTCAGCCCTCCGGCCCCCACGTCTCTCCATTCCACCCCGCGGCGCCCCGCACTCACTGTGAGGGCCGGTGGGGCTGGGCGGGGTGCTGGGCGGAGCTGTGGTCTGCGGTGCTGCTGGCAGTCTTGAAGGCCATGGGGCAGAATGCACATTTGTGGAAAACCTGGCAATGTCGCTCCTGGATGTGGCCTTTCAGCAAGGCCAAGGTCAGGTGGACAACACCGCAGTGGATGCACCTGGGGGGTGGGGGCGGGCTCAGTCCCAGAGGTGGTGCCGAGAAGGGAGGGAGGCAGGCACCTGCCATCTCAGGAACCCCCCCCCCACATTCTCACTGCCCACTGCCGCCGTCCAGCACACTGGCCCCCCGACCCCCAGCCCAAGGCTACACCCAGCAGACAGGGAGAAGCCCCACCCACCCCTCGCTGGTAGGATGTTCTGCAAACCGGAGCGCGCCCAGCTGAGCGGCCAGTGGGTGGACAGGCAGGGAGGCTCGGGCAAACACAGTTCCACCGGGGTGACTGCCAGGTGGGAGGCAACTCGGGAGGGGCACGGAGGAGTGGGGGGCACTCAGCAGACAGAGCCTGGTGAGCAAGCACTCCACTCCCAGGACACCAGGAGCCCCAGGGCCCAGGCAGACACTCAGAGCTGGGCGGGAAGAGGCCAGGAGCCGAGCTCAGCGGCGCAGGCTGGCCCACAGGGGTCGAGGTGGCCTGGCGCAGGCCGCGCCCTCTGGGCTGGGCTCTGAGGCCTAGCCCTCTTGGTGTGACCGGGGGCTTTTTTCCTTTTCTCCCCACCCATCTGCTCTCTGAGTTCTGCTTGGTGACTGTATCTCCTCATGAGGTGCTAATAAAGGAGGTAACGCGCTATCTTACGCCGTTTTTCTGAACTGGAGCTCAGGCTGGGCTCTTCTCCAATCCACATCTCTGTAAACACGGATTCCTCTTCTCTGGGTCCAGGGAAAGATGCTCCCCCCGGCCAGAGCCACCCCGTCTACACACGGTCTCCCTGGCTCTGCCCTCCCCTCCCCTGCTCCCAGCTGCTCCTCCAGGCAACCCTGACCTCCCTCCTCCTCCCGCCCCATGACCGTGAGGCGGCGCAGAGGGACAGACACCTGCGCTCGGGATCCGACGCCTTCAGCCACCAGCCCCCACCCACTGTCCACACGATCCTGGGGTGTGTGCTGGGGTAGAGTGGAGAACGGCCTCTGCAAACTTCATTAGCAACCAGGGGCAGAGCAAAGAGAAATCCAGAGAACTGTCTGCAGTGACCGTCACTGGGCACCGACACTAACCACACAGCGTCCACACGTCTCACGCCCGTCACAGGCGCCTTCCCCTCCTGAACAAGAGCGGCCAGCTCAGGGGCACAGAAGCATTTCCACACCACGAGGCACTGAGATGAACCCCACACACCTCCAGACTCACCCAGAGAGGCCCTGCGCCTGGACGCGAAAGACCGCCGCGTCCCAGTTGGCCCTCGCCGCGCCCAGAGCCCGGGGCCGCCCGAGCGCCCAGCCGGAGCCCATTCTCTCCCCCCGTAGACACCTGAGGGCTGAGCCTGTCCCCCTAAATCACATAGTGTTGCCAGACGATGTTATAAAAAAAAAAAAAACAGCAAATACGATAAAATAACTAAGGACAAACGAAGCACCTGACCAGACGTTCCCTCAGGAAGAGCCAGGGCTGGCGAGCGCACATGCGCAGACCCTGCCCCCGGCCGCCCGGGAACATCAGACCCGGTGGAGGCGCCACTTCACACCCGCACGGGCTCATGGACCCAGCCAGCCGGGCGTGCTGCAGGCACACGGCTCCACACGGGCACAGGCCAGGCGGGGCTCTCGGAAAGAGCTGGGCCTCCGGGGCAGAGGTGGCCACATGCTGCTCCCAGCCTGGTGGCCACCAGGGACCCGGCCCCGGCGCCCCATGTGCACGCTCCTTAGCAGCACTATGCACCAGTCAAGAGATGGCAACACCCCGATGTCCACCTGAAGGGATGTGCCAGCTGCAGGGCACCCTCAGGCCTGGGAAGGGACGAGAGGCTGATGGCCATCGCGCGGCGACTCCCGAGGACCCACGCCAAGAACACACACCTGTGTGAAAGGTTCATGTCTGTGAAAGGTTCAAAGAGGTGCGTCTGGGAGACAGAGAGTAAACAGACGGAGGGGGGCCGCACTGCCACGAAGCAGCCCGAGGTTGCCATGGCAACCGGCGCACAGCTGAGAACAGCTGAGCTGTAGGCGCTGACCCCGAGGCCGCGCTGGACCTGTGAGAGGCACCCGCAGCTGCAGCCGCAGTGCGATGAGGGCCGGACGGCAGAGTGGGGGCTGAGTCCAGCACAGACCTGGAGCTCGGGGGGTCGCCCTGGTTGAACCCTGTCTGACATTCTTAGAAAAAGGCCTGATAAACTGAATGGCTTTGGAGACGCTCAGCTTTTCGCTCTTACAGAAGAGAGTAAACTATTTTTAAAAAGAGAAAGATGCCATCAATCCCCCTGTGCTCCCGACATCTTGGATTAAAGACAGACAATGCCAAGTTAACGTGGATCGAGCTGCCCCTGGGTTGGATTCGATCTCGGTACAAGCAGCAAAGTTAGGAAGGCAGGTTCTGATGGCACTGGATCAAGTGTTGCAGAAACTCATCTAAGTATTTAATTTAGAAGCACAGCAGGGCCCCGCCAGGCAGTGTCCTCTCGCAGCCTGCCAGCGCGGCCGTGATGCCGGGTCTGGCCTGAGTCTCACGCTGGAGTCTCGGGAGCGCTGTCCCTGGTCGGAACCTGGGGGTTACACGACCCCCTCCTCGCCCCCACGGCAGCCTCCTGACCCCACAACGCCACTTCTGCCCTCGCTCAGCGCGACCTGGCCCCACACAGCTTCCCCAGCAACTGGCCCCCTCCCAGCCGGACGCACAGGTCCAGTTTCAGCACCCCCGACGCTCACCCCGCGCCTGCCATGGAGCTCGGGGACCGGCCACCTGGCCCTGCCTGCCCTCACCGCCCCACTCCCAGCCCTGCTGTGCTGGCCCCTGCCTGTGGCCACCAGCCCTGCCTCCTGGCATCTCCTCGGGCATGCTGCTGCCCGCCTCGCCCTGGGGCTGGCCACCCGGACACTGATCGCTGTCGGCACGTGCCAGGCCTCCCCTCCTCCTGCGGCACCGGGCACAGACCTGCCAGCCATGGCGAGGGCTCCAGTCACCAGAGGAACTAAGGCAGGACATCTTTAGGAAACCACAGAGAAAAACACCTTGCTAGATTGGGGCGATGATAATTTCCAGAAGCACAAGAAGGGAAACTACCAAAGATGCAGAAACTCCCAAATGGAGAGGGGGAAGGGCCGGCACATCTTGGGGGCGTTTTCTGCCCCAATTCGATCTTTTCCCTTTAAACAAGCTCTTGTGCGTGTGCGTCTGACACGGGGAGACTCAGCCTGCAGGAGAGTTTCCTGGTCTTGGCGGCCGGCCCCTTCCCGCCTCAGGTCTTGCCATTCTCACAAACTGACGGGTCAGTCGCCGTGGAGCCCCTGCAGCCTCGTTGCCGGCGAGGGCGAGGGCGTCTGGACGAGTGGCAACACGGACGCCCAACAGGGCCACAGACGATGGACGCCCCGGCCTCCACAACCCTCCCTCTGGGCTGTTCCCACCGTCTGATTTGTCTCCAACGCCTAACTCTGTCCTCGGCTCTTGCTGTTCACTACAAAGCAGCTACGGGTCCGCAGGGACATCCTTGCCCTGTTGGGCTGGAGGCCTCTTAAGACGCAGCTTGGTCTGAAGCAAGTCCTGGCTCAGGAAAGGCCTGGCTGCCGGGCGAGCTCCAGCCAGCCGGGCGGCAGCCTCCTGCAGCGCAGCCCGCCGTGCGGGCAGAGCACCCACCTGTAGCCCACCTTGCGGGCGTAGTGTAGGCAGTTCTCCTTGACGTGGGTCTGGAAGTAGGCAGAGCGACAGAGGACCCCACACTCTGGGCAGCAGTAGGGGGACTTGTGGGCGTGGATCCGCTGGTGGGCACAGAAACTGCACTGGTTGGGCAGCAGCATCTGGCACACCTGGCAAGTCTGGGAGAGAACACCAGAGAGCAGGTCACGCACGCCGGCCAGGCTCTCCTGGGCACCCCAGCCCCAGCAGGCTCCACGGAGCCACGCCGCTCAGACCCGGGCTGCTGCCCCAGAGACAGCCCGCGCCAGGACCCCCGGCTGGGGGTCAGCGTCCCTCTTGGGAACCTGAGGCACGACTGTCTCCACTGTCGGGCCTCACTGCATGCCACGCCTGCTGGCCTCTGCCCGCCCTGGCACAGTTGCAGCCTGAGCTCCCCTCACTGCTACTCAGAAGTCCCTGGACCAACCGAGGGGCCTGGCCAGTTTCCACGCCCTCTGCCGGGGTGCCCTGAGCCACAGGTGACTAAATACACCCACAGGAGACAGTACAATGGCTCCCTGTGCCCAGGCCTGGAGAGAACTGGGAGAAACGAGTCCTACGGGGCCTGACAGAGGCCTCGGGCAGAGCCCAAACAGGCCCCATGGCAGCCTGAGTCCGGGTGCCTGGTCAGGCCCTTCTTAATAAAAAGGGCGCGACTGTGCCACGTACTGGGGGGCCCCGGCCTGGGGGACAAGGAAGGCCTCTGCTTTAATCAGCAACCCCCAGCGGAGCGGCACCTCCGGGGCAAACAACAAATAAACCGCAAATAAAACACAGGAGAGGGACGGAAACTTAAAGGCCGGCAGAGACTGAAGCGAGGCCGCCCACGAGGGCCCACTAGCGTGCCGGGTGTGGGAAGGTGGGCCGGTCAGAGACGGCGCAGCGACGCGGGGCAAGCCAGGCAGACCCGCAGCACGAAGCCACGCGGGCGGCGCGGCGTCGAGAGACTCTGTCTGCTCTCTGAGGAAACGCCTCTGAGCCCCTGGGACGTGCTGGGCTGGGATTTAAGCCATGGCGGGGCGGGGGGAGGTGGTGAGGAAATGCACGAAACAGGAAGAAAGCACAGCCGGGCTGCGGCGGTGCCCGCCCCAGACACGCCTGCCCGGCCTGCCCATGTGCACTTGGGGCGCCACGTAGAGAGCTGGCTTTCAATTATTTTTAAGATTTATGTCATTCATTTACGCATACAAGAGCTGGGGCGCAGCCAGGTGTGGGAGTGAGAGCACTCAGAGACAGAGTGGGGAGCAGAGCAGGTGGAGCCGCTGAAATCCGCTGCTGAGGGGAGGGGAGGCGGGAGAGGCCTGCTGCGCCCTGCGGGGAGCTCCCTGGCAGGGAATCAAACTCAAACTCAGGCCGCAGTGGCTGGGGACGGCTTCACAGTGCTGAGGCTTCACCCCTGTGCGGCCAGGGAGGCCCCAAAGCATCACTTCAGGTGCAGGACACTAAACAAGCTGCTGCCTTCTTCTGGGTGAGCAATGGGGGAAGAGGCCACACACATACCCCATACACACTCACACGTGCGCTCATGACACACGCTCGCGTGCGCACGCACACGCCTGCAAACACAGTGGCACGGAGCCGTGAGCCACAAGGGCACAGAATGGCTCCCCCAGAGGCAGGCGCGCCCAGTGTCCGCCGGGCGGGGGGGCAGCGAGCGTGTGCCCGCAGCAGCCTGTCCCCTGCGCCGCGGCCACGAGGATGCTGGAGGCAGGTCGGGCTGGCTGGACCGCGCCCCGGGTGCCCGAGCCGCGGGCTGCGCAGAGGCGGGAATGGGCTGCCGGGGTGGGGCACGAGCTACGGTCACGAAGACACTGACTCACCGCCGTGAAAACCGCGGCTGAAGGGGACGAGCGGTCGCCCCGTGTTCAAGAGAAAGTGTTTCAGGGCAAGCGAGGGGTTCGCCAGAGGAGGGGGGCGCCTCCTGAGAACTAGGGCTGGTGAGTGGGGAAGCCACGCAAGAAAGCGCGCGGCTGCGGCACACCCACCGTCAGGCGAGCGCAGGCGGCACGCACCCCTCACAGCATCGTCGGAACCGGCCAAGCCTGGCCACGAGAATGCTGCGCTCCTGCGCCCTGGGGTTGGGGATCCCGGCGCCTACCCCCCCTCCCCAGCCGCCTCGGACAGCAGCCCTGCAGCGAGTGAGCGGCACAAGGTGGTGGCTGGCGCGGCCAGAACCGCCGAGGAAACCCAGGACACTGGCCCCAGAGAGACAGGGAAAAGGTGTGGCCCCAGCTGGTGGGAGGCTTCCCGGACCCTGCTCAGCAAGCCCCGCTGCAGACAGCTGCTGGGTGGCAAAGCCTGGCGTGGCTCGTGCCGGGCAGGACCCAGGCTTTGGCATGACAGTACTGGGCGTGGCCACGCCGTCTGAGTTGAAAGAAAGCTAAAAACGAGAAAAATCGGTCTCTGGGCAGACACCATGCCCCAAAGGGGCAACTTCACATCAAAGGGGAGGCCCGAGGGAGACCTGTCCCGGGAAGCACTCCCAGAGGAAGAGGCTTTCTGGGGGGCCACTGCACCCCACCCACCCACACCGTCCCCGCGTGGCCTGGGCCAGCGGCAGGGCCCATGCTCCGGCCTCTCTGTCCCGGGACTCAGGGGAGCCCTCATCTGCTAGCTCCCAGCAGAGAAGACACAGTCTGAGCAGGACGCCACCAGGTTCCGCCCGCTCAGCCTTGGGAGAGCAGGCGAGGGCGGCGCAGGGGACAGCCAGGGCAGTGCAGCGGGATGGCCGCCAGGCCCACAGCAGGACCAGGAGGGTGCTGGCTAGAAGGGACACCTAAGCCCCCAGGTCAGGCCCAGCGGCCACCCTCCACCGGACTCCTGGACCACAACCAGTGGGGAGGAGAAGCCGCGCTCCCCTGGCACCCTCTGAGGGCTGCAAAAGCCCCACAGGCCGGCCCATCACCAACACGCCTGAGGCCGGCCCCACTAGGCAGCCCTGCTCCTCCGTTCTCCCCTCCCCAAACTTGCCCTTGCCTGGACACCTGAGCTGCCCAGTCCATGCAGCGTCCTCCACCCCGGCCTCACAGAGAGCCGCAGAGCCCTCTGAGCCACCCAAGGCCGCTCTTAGGTGGCCAGCCCCGTGCTTGGGGGCTGCCGCGCCTGGGGGCCTCCATGCACCCCATGCACAGTGGGGCAAGGGGCCCAGGAGCAAAGCCCGTCAGCCACTAATGGGGACCGGGACCTGCTGCCACCGGGCGTGGCGCGGGCTGCTCAGAGCGGGACAGGCCTGGCCAAGTCTCCGGCACCACCTGGGGAGGAGGGAGAGCCCCGGGGCCCGAGGGCCATGGCCCAGGAGCCTCCGCCAGGGGCCCTGTCCACACGCGACGCCTTTAAAGAACAGCTACCACCAGCTCCATGGGGCACGAGCCAGTCTGGCCAGCGGCAGGTGGAGCAGCTTTCCTGCAGGGGCGAGGACGTGGGGCTCACACGGGCGCACCCTTCCTCCCGCAGCCCGGGGGCCCTGCTCAGCCACGCAGGTTGGCACAGCTCTGCACGGCGTGCTTCTGGGGGCACGGACGGACGGAGCACGCGCGGGTGGCGACTCCCCACCTGTGCCCAGAGTTCTGCGGCATGTGGGGGGCTGTGGGCAGCCACGGCCCCAGGGCAGCACCCCAAGAGCTGGCCAGGCCTGGCCGCGAGGCCTCGACAGCCAGGGTGGTGGTGGGCAGGAGCCGAGGCAGGCACCCTCGTGGGGCAGCACCGCGAGCCCAGGTGGGCACAGACCAGCGCGCAGCCCCGGGGCTCCGGCTCCCAGATGCCACCACGGTCCCGAGACGAGCTTCTCTCCAGGCTCCCCCATCACCAGGCCAGGGCGCCCAACACCCCCAGGGACGCCCACTCACCAGCCCCTCCGTGTCCTCCGCGGTCCTCTGGAAGTGCGCCGCCATGGCCACGTAGTCGCGCATCTGCCTGTGACACTCCAGACACTTGACCCCGTGCCGGATGAGCCTGACGGGGTCGGGGTAGAGCGGCAGGGCCGGCAGAGGGAGGCTGGCGCTGCCCGCGGGGAGGCTCTGCTGGGGTGGGGAGGGGGCGGCGGGGGGCGCCGGGGTGGGGGAGCCGGCGGGGGCCGCCGCGAACATCTGGTCGGCGGAGATGGGCTTGACCAGCAGCTGGGAGCACTGCATGGCCAGGCCGCGGCTCTTGTGGTCGCGGGCGTGGCGCAGCAGGCTGCACTTGTTGAAGAAGAGCAGCGTCTGGGCGCAGAGCGTGCACAGCACCTCGATGTGGACGCTGCGCCGGCCGTAGTGCTGGCTGAGGCTCTTCTCCAGCGCGAAGGCGTCGCCGCACTCCATGCAGCAGTAGCCGCTGGCCGGCACGCGGATGCTGCTGTCGGCGGGCGGGCTGAGGTTGGGGGCGTAGCGGGGCACGGGGTTGGAGCTGTGCAGGACCTTGTGGAAGACCTCCACAGCCGGGGGCGCGGCCTTCTTCACCTGGTGCACCAGGGGCACGGACATCTGCGGGGGCGGCGGCTGGCCCCGCCTCTGCGCGGAGGACTTGGCCGTGACCGAGGCGGCGACACTGTGGGGCACGAGGTTCAGGTTGGCCAGGTGCACGGCCTTGGGCAGCAGGTTGGCCGGGGCCAGGGGGGACGCCTGTGGGCCCGGGGGCGGCTTCTTGCCTGCCTGGGCCCCCGGGCCGGCCCCCCGGGAGCCCTGCCCCCCAGCACCCCCGCCGGGCGAGGAGGCCACCTCGCAGGCTTTCTTGGCCCTCTCGTCGGCCCTCCTGTCGCCCTGGGGGCTCCCTGAGTGTGTGGCCGCCTCGGGAGCCGGCTCAGCCACGGGTGGGGCGGGGGGCTCGTCCCCTGGCCCCTCGCTGGGGGCCTCGGCAGCAGTGCTCCCCAGAGGAGACCCGACGGGGGACCTGCTGGGGTCATCGGGGTCCGGCAGGATCCGGGTGACGGTCCGTTTGATTTCCCCTGACGATGTCTTAATGGTTTTGATTCTGACTTTGGGAATGGCTGGCGGGGAGCTGGCGGCCACGGAGGGGGAGCCCCTGCTGCTGCTGTCGCTGCAGACGCTCCGGGGGCTGTCCGGTGGCTTGGTACTCTTCCTCGTGGCCTCCAGAGGGCTCCGGGGACTCTTTGGTGACTTAGGCGTTTTGGGGCTGCCCTTGGAGCCCTCTTTCGGGGGCCCCGAGGGGTCCTTGGTGTGGCCAGGCTGCTCCTCCTTAGTGACACCGGCCACTCTCTTGGCCTGCAGGGCCACCAAGGCCGCCACACAAGAGGACAGTCTGGAGTGAGCTGGCTTGAGCCGCTGCCTGGGGGGCACCGCCGAGCAGGAAGCAAGCTCCGGGGCCGGCCCCCGGGGCTCCCCGACACTATTGCCGGGGTGGCTGCCGAACTCCAAAGCGTCTCCGAAGAACCGACTGGCATCCAGCTCCTCGGGGGGCTCGGCCACCTTCTGCCGGGCCTGCTCGCGCTCTGGGGGGCTCCCCCGCAGCCCGGGCTCTGGCTTGGGCTCTCGCTTGCAGAAGTGATCGAACATGTGCAGCTCCGGGAACTTGGCCAGCGCTTCTAGCACGGAGCCCCCCCCGGGAGGGGGGGAGAAGTAACTGTCCGAGGGCTTGGGCTTCACCCCAAACCCATGGTCCTTGATGGCCTCCTCGGACTCGGGGCTGGAGATGGGGCTGAACTGGCTGAAGGTGTGCAGCGGCGCGGCCCTGGGCGGCTCCAGCTTGCCAGGGAAGCTGCGGGCGCGGTCCCCGTTCATGAAGGCGGAGTCCACCTTGCCGCAGCCGTGGCCGAGGCCGTGAGGCTCCGGAGGCAGATCCGGGCCCCGGAACCCATTGTGGAGGAGGCTGGGAGACACGTGGCCCTTCTCCGCCTCGAACGGCTCCTGGCGGCTGGTGTTCTTGACGATGACGCTCACGGCCGGCACGTCGCTGCCCGCGCCCGCGTGGGACAAGGACACGCCCTCGTCCACGCACATGCCTGGGGGCTTGAGCGGGCCCTCGTTCTCCTCACTGGGGGCCTGGATGGCCTCCTTGGCATCTAGACTGGTGGGGTCGGGGATGTCAAAGGCAGCCAGAAGGTCATCGAAATCTGGAGTTTTCATATCCCCCATGGCTGGGCGCTGGCAAGGGCTGAAGAGAAAGAAGGAAGAGAGTCAGAGACGCCGGCCCCGCGGAAGCCCAGGCCCACCCCGGCACAGGCAGCCTGCGTGCTGGCGCTGACACCCCCACGGCGGGGAGGCACGCGCCCAAGTTTTACCCCAACTGGTCTCCACCATGCTGGGGGCTTCGGGGCAGGGGTGGAGGGAGAAGTTCATGTGGTGAGCGTGCCCGCAGGCCCTGGGCCTCAGAACCCGGAGACTCATGCTGGCTGCACAGCAGAGAGAAGGCGCACTCGCCCCAAGACCTCAGCACCTCTGGACGCCCTCCCGGGGCACATGGCTACAAGCCACCTAGCCCTAGAGAAGAAGGAACGTGTGGCCCAGCTCCTCCTTCCTTTAGAAAACTTCAGGTTCGGGGCCTCCCTGGTGGCACAGGGGTTAGAGACAGCGCTCTCAAGCTATCGCCAGCCACTGCGATGCCCAGCCAGGGAGCTACCCACAGGGCACAGCAGACCCCTCCTGTCTCCCCGCTGCTCCCCTCAGCAGTGTGTTTCAGTGGATCTGCCTTTTCTGCTCCCCACTCTGTCTCTGGTGAGTCCCACCCGCCGCACCTCTGGTCTACACCCCAGTTCTTGTTTGCATAAATAAATCCTTAAAAAGAAAAAAGAAAAGAAAACTTCAAGTTCATGGTGGAAACTTGCAGTAATTTACTCCTAGTAATTAATCATTAACTTTCTTTTTTTTTTTTAAGATATATTTATTTGTGCCTACAAGAACTGGGACAAAGGCCAGAGGTGCGGGGGGTGAGAGGACTCGCCAGAGACAGAGCAGAGAACAGAACAGGCAGGTCCACTGAAATCCACTGCTGCGGGGAGCAGCAGAGAGTCAGGAGAGGTCTGCTGCACCATGTGGGTAGCTCCCTGGCCAGCCGGGGGTTGAACTCGTGCTCCAGAGGCTGGCAGTAGCTTGACAGCGCTGTCTCCAACTAACCCCTGCGCCACCAGGGAGGCCCGATCACTAACTTTCTGTACTGCTTCCTTGACTACAGGAATTCAATCAAATCCAAAGTGATTTGCTGCAACCAGGACAGAGGCTCACTACCTCATAAGTAAACTCGAGAGACGTGCACGTTTTCCCTAGCCAGCATCTATTTGATTCCTTAGTTTTCACCTTTAAAGCATTACTCTTTTGGCAAAAGCAGTACTCTGAAGGTTAATTTAGGGGAAGCCCTAAATTTTATTTTAACTCAATACACAAAGAAAAGAAAATGCACCTGTTTCCTCCCTGATCTGGAGAAGCAGAGCTATAGAACCAGTGTGACAGGGGAAACCCAGAAAGGGGCTTCTCAAAGGAGGCAAAGCCGGCCAGCCCGGCCCTTGCTCCGCTGACCCTGGTCCTCTCTGAGCGCAGACATCAGAGATGCAGCAGCGGCTCAGAACCAGGCCAGGGGGCTCCCTGGAGCCAGAGAGACGCCCAAAGGACAAAACCTACACAGAAGGACACGGGGCATGAATAAAACAGCACAAAAGCAAGCCACACCCACACAGAAGGACTCTGAGCGTCCACGGCCGGGGAGGGGGTAAACGACAGCAGGGCGTGCTGCGGGCCGCGAAAGCCCTCGCCCTCTCCCTCTCCCTCGCCCTCTCCCGGCGGCCACACGGCAACGCGAGAAGCTACTTTCAGCGCTGAGTTGTTTTTTTAAAAGAACACAACGTCGTCTGACTGGGGTGTGACGCGAGCCTCGCGCGCGCTGGAGACCGAAAGCAGCAGACCCGTGCAGCGTGCTGGGGTGGACTCGCGGCTTAGTCTTCCAAAACTCGAGTGTTGACAGACTGTTTTTATCATTTTGAAAGAGCACATAAAGGGAAAACCACTTCAAGCCGCGAGGGAGCGGGTGGCGTGGCAGAGGCGTATCCGTTACACCCCGCGGGGCCAGCAGGCTTGCAGCTCTGGTTTCTTGCCCACCCCCCGCACCCCAGCCAAACACATCTGCCCACTACAGAAAATGAAAAACAGCCGCCGCTGGGAAGCTGTGTCAGCACGGTGGTCAGTGACCGCACGAGCCGCGGGTCACCAGGTGAGCGGGGGGGCAGCTGCCCCCCCCCCCGAACATAAGGCGGAATTTCTGGACAGCAAACACTTGTCTCCTGGAATAGGAAGTGTCAGGGCCCACGAGAAGGGGCTACACGAGGTGGCAGAGAGCACACGGAGCCCCCCGACACCAAGGCAAGAGCGCAGACGGGTCCCTGCCAGGAGGAGACACCTGGGTTTGCTCTCTGAGTTTATCCTACTCACCCCGCCACCACTTTTTTCTTTTTTTTTCACTGTCTAAGAGGCAGAAAAAAGATTAGGGGAGCAGGGCAGAAGAGACCGGCCCTTCAGTGAGGGGGAGGGTGTGGCGAGGGAGCGGGCGCTGAGCGCAAAGATGGGCAGGGGCCACTGCTGGGGTCCCAGGGGCCTGAAGCAGAATGAGACGGTGCCAGAAGTCGTGTTCTCCCCCCACGCCCCAGAAACCCCAGGGATTGGCTGAGGACAGCCAGGGCTAAGGCAAGACAGCTCTGCTGGGGAAAAGAGAGCTAAGGAATGGTATGGCAGCAGAGACCCGTACAGCCTTGGGGGTTGAAAGGCCAAAGTCGAGGATTTTAAAAGCCAAAGATCAAGCCCTGATTTCTATTCAATCCTGATAAGCAAAATAAAAACAGCCTGAGCGTGACCAGTGAGTGAAGGACTCGCGCGTGTGTTTCTTTAAACCTTGCTCTAAAGGAAGCATCTCACAGTGTATAAGCACAAAATACAAAGTAATCAAAATGTACCGTTAGAAAAGCACAAGAAGACACTGTAAAGAAAAAGACCTTCAAGAAAAAGTTGCATTCATCAAAATCCACCACAACAAAACTAAAAGGCAAACGAGGAAACAGAGGCCCGTGTGACGGGACAGGGCCCGATCTTGCCGTGAGGATGCTCCCTCCGTGTCTGTCAGGAGCCCTTCCCAGGCATAAGGAAAGGTAATCCGCCCATTAGAGGAACAAATAAAGGTAACTAGCGCAGGCAACTACAAAGAAGAAACACGAAAGGATAATATGTTTTTAACAGTTGCAATCTCAAAAGAGAAATACAAACTAAAATAACAAAAAACCATTTTTGGCTTATCAAAGTGGCCACAGTTTTCAAAAAAGAATAATCACTGCTGTTGAAAGAGATGTGACAAGGGGCCTCCCTGATGGCCCAAGGGTTAAAGACAGTGCTAGTTCGATTCCCGGCCAGGGAGGTGGCCCACATGGCGCAGCAGACCTCTCCCGTCTCCCCGCGGCTCCCCTCAGCAGCATGTTAACAGCAGATCCACCAGTTCGGCTCCCCACTCTCTCTGGTGAGTCTCTCACCACCACCCCCCCCCCCCCCGCACCGCTGGCTTACACCCTAGCTCTTGTATGCAAAACTAAATAAATCTTTAAAAAAAGAGAGATGTGACAAAATAAGATTTCAAAGGCAGGGCCTCCCCGGTGGCGCAGCAGTTGAGCGCTGGGTTGCGAAGCTGCCCGCAGCCTCTGCAGCGCCAGTTCGATCCCCGGCTGCTCCCCGGCCACCGGAGGAGGGTCCCTCATGGCGCGCAGACCTCTCCTGCCGCCCGCTGCTCCCCTCAGCAGTGTACTTCGGTCCTTCTGCCTGCTCTGCTCCCCGCTCTGGCTCTGGTGAATTCTCTCACCCTCCCGCGCTTCTGACTGTTCCAGCCCTGGCCGAGCCCTCAGGCTGGTCTTGCACCTGCCCTGTGGGCTGCTGGGCCTCTGGGATTGGTCTTTGTGGACACGATGCAGGCCCAGGTGGGGGGCCGCTGTCTGGCTCCCCGGCCCAGCTGTGCCAGCTGCCTGCTGCAGGTTGCCGACACTGGGTTTTTATTTTGACGACACCTTTTATTTCAAGTTACTCTGCTGCTTTTCTAGCTGTATGTATAAATAAATCTTAAAAAAAAAAAAATTAAAAAAAAAAAGATTTCAAAGGCAGCATTTACTGATAGAGCCCACTGAAAGAGTGACCTAGCAATGCATACATACAGCCTCATAATTTCACCTGCAGAAATGCACCCCAGGGGGAGAGAGGTGCGCAACAAAGATAGTCATCATGGATTTACCGCCAATTATTTAGTAATTAAAAAACCGAGACACAACATAAAGTCCCACCAACAGATGAGTGGTCTAGCGACACGATTCAATACGAGGTGCGTTCTAAGTCAGCACCTGAGGCTATGATACATGCTCCTGATATAAAACGAGGAAGAGTGGAGACTTAAGTGTACATACAGCACAATTTATTGAAAAAGTTTTGAATATATAGTTTTACCCGAAAAGGATAGAGTAATACTCTAAAGTGTTAAAAAATACTTCAACAGCTGAAATTATTTTATTTTGTTTATCTGCATTTTCAAATCATCTTTTCAAGTGCTTAACTTCAAATTGTGTTGTTTATATAATTGGGCTAAATTATACTCTTAGTGTACAAAAGAAGAAATTAGGCAGGCCAAGAAATCTGAGGCGCCTCTTACAGAGGACTCTGCGCATCAGTCACACTAACTCCCGGCAGCCTTGGCATCGCTCCACGGACACAGCAGCTAGAAAAGCAGCAGAGTAACTTGAAATAAAAGGTGTCGTCAAAATAAAAACCCAGTGTCGGCAACCTGCAGCAGGCAGCTGGCACAGCTGGGCCGGGGAGCCAGACAGCGGCCCCCCACCTGGGCCTGCATCGTGTCCACAAAGACCGATCCCAGAGGCCCAGCAGCCCACAGGGCAGGTGCAAGACCAGCCTGAGGGCTCGGCCAGGGCCGGAGAGCCTGGGCTGCACGCAGAAGGCCAGCTCGAAGCTGCCCGTGGCCTCAGTCTGGTTTCCCTGCCAGGGGAGCAGGGCAGCCAGGCCACCACACGCAGGATGGCAGGGGTAAACTTCTATTTGCAGAAGGTCTGAGAACCAGAAAAAGGGGCTATAAATGCCCATCTTTTACTCCAGTCGCCCAGATGCTTGGCCAAACACTTAAACACACACCAGCCGGGCGAGGGCAGGGACACCACGATCGGAAGGGCCCTCACGCCTGGTCAGCAGGGTAACAGCTCCCTGGCCATGGCGGACGAGCCGGCGAAGAGCCCCCACATCCCACCAGACAGCCATTAAAGACTGAATTCCACAAAACTCGGGAGAATGTACAGGTGGGCGCCTGTGCTTGTCACTGACGGGAGCCCCGATGTCGGAGTTTACAACCACCGGCTGGTCCTGGACTGGACCTGAGGGCTCCGAACAGAGCCGGGAAGGCAGCCCCTACCCACAGGGGGCGCCACTTCACACCCACATGCAAAAAAACCACTACTGGAGGAGAACCCGAGCTGCAAAGGAGGCCTCGCATGCCACTGCCCGGGGAGTCAGTGACCCGCAGAGGCCCTGGCTGGGGAGAAGCCTCCACCTCCCCCAGCCCCACGCGGTGGACACTCGTGCTCCCGTCAACACGGCACGTGGCCTCAAAGCCACCCCAAACCAGCACGTGAGAGCAGAGCCAAGCTCGCGGGAGGAGCAGGGGGAACCGGGGGAGGGGCAGGAGCAGCTGCGGGCTGCGCGCGCGGGGCCTGCGCCACCTGCCCAGCAGGGGCGTGGGCGTCACCCTGGGGCTCCCCGTCGCGGCCCTTGGGGGCAGCGGTCAATGAACAGCCCCGCGTCGCCTGCCCAAGACCGCAGCGCCCACAGCCAGGGGAGCCGTGCGGCCGGACCCCACCCTGAGAGGACCTCAGAGAACAGGGGCTCCTCAAAACCCCAACAGAACTGCCAACCGCCCTGCAGCTCCACTCAGGGCACCCCAGGCAGTGAAGCGGGGACGCGGACGGCCGACAGCGAGCCCCGAGCAGCGTGCGCCCCCAAGGCGGAGCACCCCAAGCGCCCACCAGGGAGAGCGAATGGACGAGCACGCCGGGCCGCCCGAAGCAGGGACGGCGGTCTGACCCCGCGCCCCGCGGGACCCCGAGGCGGAGCCACGCAGGGTGGGCGGCTGGGGCTGGGGCTGGGGCTGTCCTTTCCCGGGACGGGGAAGCAGCCTGGGAAGGCAGAGGCCCCGAGGGGGGCGGCGGGGTGGCCGTCGACTGTGAACGTGCTGCCGGCAGCGAGCCACGCGGGCTTAAAAATGGCTGAAATGGACAATTTTGTTATGGTGTTTTTTTAAGTTCAATCTCATCTAATTTTTTTTTTTAAAGAGGCATGTATTTTTATTTATTTATTTGTTTGTTTGTTGACACAAGCACTGGGCACAGTCAGAAGCGCGGGAGGGTGAGAGAATTCACCAGAGCCAGAGCGGGGAGCAGAGCAGGCAGAAGGACCGAGGTACACTGCTGAGGGGAGCAGCGGGCGGCAGGAGAGGTCTGCGCGCCATGTGGGACCCCCCCCCGCCCGCTCCGGTGGCCGGGGAGCAGCCGGGGATCGAACCGGCGCCGCAGAGGCCGCGGGCAGCTTCGCAGCCCAGCGCTCAACTGCTGCGCCACCGGGGAGGCCCCTGTTATGGATCTTCTAACACAAGTTACCATCGAGAACATTAAGAAGTTCATGGTGCCCCAACTCTCAGCTCTTCGGGACCAGCGGGACCCCCAGACATCCTACCTCAGGGAGGGTCTCAGCACAAGGGCGGGGGGCGAGCCGCTGTGGGCGGAGGGCTGTGCGGGAGGCGGCGGCTGCCCAGGCCCATGGTCTAGTCTCCAAACACCACCTGGGGGAGAGAGAGCGGACAAGGTCACCGGGTCTGCGCGAGTTAGGACGATGATGGCAGCAGCCGGGGTGGGCCAGCCCGAGAACAATCCCCGGGTGAGTCAAAGCAGGGCCCCTGCCCCTCCCCCGCCGAGGCTGCGCTCACACCCCAGGTCTGCTGCGTCAGAGCGCCCCGCAGCCTCCCGCACCTGCACCCCGGCCTGGGCTCCCCCGCGCCTGGGGCTGTGATGGGGTGACGCGCCTACCACCCTGCCTTAGGTGCCCACACGCGGCTACCAGGCCTCACCGGGGGCGCCCAGAGCACCCTGGAGTGCTGAGCCCACGAGGGCAGGCAGCGTGGAGGCCCGGACGGAGACGAGGCGTGGAAGGGCGTCGACCCCTGCCCACTGCTCACCCACCCTGTGCCAGGAGGCCCGGGCAGGGGCAGGGGCCAGGGGCCGAGGGTGGGCAAGCAGGGGAGAGTCACGGGTGGGGAGAGGCAGGGAAGGGCAGGCCCCGGGGCGGGGCGGGGCAGGAGAGGAGAGGAGAGGGGGGGCGGGGGAGGTGGCAGGACCCATGTTTGGAGCGCGGGGGTCCTGAGCTCCAGCAGGACACCAGCGCCACCCCAGGCGCTCTGGAATTGCTGAAGGCCTGGCCCGGGCTCCCCAGCGCCCGCGCTCAGGGGCGTGCCTGGGTGTGGGCCCCGCGCCTCTCGCTCACCCTCGCCCGCCCCTCGGACCTCACTCTGTCCCACCTCTGAGGAGCAGCATCTGGCCTGGGCGCTCGGCAGAGAAGCCCGTGCGCGGGCATGCAGGGAAGGGGAGGGAGGGGCCCCCCAGCTCGGCCCCCAGGAGGAAGGGGAACTGCTTCCGGCAGCCCTTCCTCGCCTCCACGCCTCCAGCGCGGCGCAACGGGCAGACCGCACCGTCCCCAAGGACCACGCCGCGGGGCCCCGGGCTGGGGCTTCCATCGGGCCCAGGTGTCAGGGCCACGCCAGTGCCAGTTCCGCGGGCCTCGGGGACAGAGCGAGCAGCAGCGTCCCTGCCCAGGCCGCCGCCCAGGCCCTGCCTCCGGCGCCCACTCCTCACACTCCCCGAGCGGGATGGGGAGCCGGGTCAGGTCCCACGCCGGGTCGGAGGCCCCAACACAAGTCAGGGGCAGCCACAGGCGCTTTCAGACGAGCCCGGGAGCCCTGGCGGAGACCCTGCTCGAGCCGCCGCGAGACCAGGGCTGTCAGGGCCCGGAGCCCAGACGCCTGGAAACATGAGGCTCTGACGTCGGCCCTACCCCGCTGGACCCTCCCAGCGCCGCAGCCCCCCCTTCCGGCTCTGCTCCCGCCTCGAGCTCTGCATTTAGGAGAAAGTCGGCCTCCCCGCCGGACCCCTCGCCCCAGGCCTCGCCCGTTCTCCCGCCTGGCACTCCCCAGCCCTCTGCCCCTGCTCCGCGGCCACCAGCTAGAGAGTGAGCCATGGAGGGGGGTCTCCGCTTATTTTGTCCCCTGTACCAAGAGTGCCCAGAACAGTGGTTGGCACATCACAGGCTCCCAAATATTTTTCTAGGAATTAACGGCTACACCGGCACCGCCAGCCTCAATACCCAACTGTACCAAGAAGTCATAAGAAGCTGATTATACCAGAATCGCTTCTCCGCTGATCTAATCTTGGCAAAGCCTTTTTAAAAACACGCTAGAAGTTTAATGAAACAGAAACCTTTTAGAAATAAGTATTTCCAGTCAACTCGTCCAATCCAAATGGGTTTGTGAGTCGGACGGTTTGTACCGAGCCACAGATAAAACTGGGGGGACAAAAAAATAAAATAAACTGCGGGGACAGACGAAGCTGAAAGGTGCATGATGCGGCTTCTGGACGCTGACCCGGCGGGCGCAGAGGAGGGCAGGCCCCCCACAAGCCTCAGGGGCTCCTTCCTCCCCTTTCTCCTACCTGGACCCGCTTCCAAGGCTCACTTGAAGCCACTGACACCCCTTCTGCTCCCCCATGCGTGCCCTTCCTGAGGTGCCGCCACCTCTCCCCACATGGTCACCTGAGACCCATCTCCCAACACCACCTCGCCACACCACTCACCGCTGAGTGCCGGGCGCCTCCAGCTGCTACCTCGTGCCCACCCCCGCCACGGTAGGGAGAGGCCGTGGGCTCCAGGCCAGGCAATCTGCACATTTTCTGTCCCGATACAGCCGCCCCTTTCCCTGCTTCCAAGCACCAGCACTGCGGGGAGGGGAGACCAGAGCAGCCTGAGCCATGTGCCCAGGGCCCGCCCCTGCTGAGAGCCTCCCGCCCTCCTCCCCACCTCGTCCACCCTCCTGCCCTGGGGCCTCTGACCACCCTGTCCCTCCCCAGCCCACACGCACAAGCCCACCGGCCTGCAGTAGTAGCTGGGCACGCCTGCTGTGTACAAGGCCTGAACTGGCCACTATGGGCACCACCAGACCCAAACAGACCAGGCCCTGCCCCACGGAGCTCAACGGTCCCGCCAGGGGATGCCAGACCCAAGCCCGCGGGCTCACACCGCCCTTCTGCAGGGCCTGAGCTGAAGCAGAGCGCAGGCGCGCGCATCCCCCTTCCAAAGCCAGAGCTCCTGCTGCGCGTGGGGAAGAAGGGTCGCAGGTCCTTCTGCACAACGAAGGTGCAGACGCAGGAAGGTGCATTCGAGAAGCCCAAGCCAGAGCAGGGGGTTGCCGGAGATAGGGGCCGACTCCTCGCAGGTGGAAGGGCTGGGCAGAGGCTCGGCTGACTCTCCCTTGGAGGGGACTTGCCTCTCCAGACACTTCGGCCCTGTCATGAGGGACTTGTTTTCCTCTTGAATGTTCCAACACTTTCTAAACTGACTGGTTATTATATTTTAAAGATTTTATTTATTCATACAAGAACTGGGGTACAGGTCAGAGGCGCGGGAGGGTGAGAGGATTCACCAGAGACAGAGCGGGGAGCAGAGCAGGCAGACGGACCGAAAACACTGCTGAGGGGAGCAGCGGGCGAGGCAGGAGAGTCTGCGCGCCACCTGGGACCCTCACTGGCCGGCCGGGAATCGAACCCTGGCTGCAGAGGCTGGGACAGCTTCACAGCGCGGCGCTCAACCCGCTGCGCCCCGGGGAGGCCCCCTATTATATTTTAAGTGAAGCAAAGAACAATCTTCCCAACCACTTAAGACACAGCTCAAATGCCACCTCAGCCACGAAGACCCCCCGCCCAGTCCTGACCCGCGACACCCCTGGCTGCAGCCAGCAGGACCACAGGGCAGCCCCGGGCAGCGAGGAGGGGCGGCGCCCTCTCACCCGCCGTGCAGGAGAGGACCCTTCGGACACCTTCCCCCAAGTGCCTGCGGGTCCCAGCCTTCCGCTTGGCCTGATGAATGCCCGGTAATTAAAGCTACTCTTGGTGATGAACAGGAGTCGGCCTCTCTGGGGGAGAACAGTGTAGAAGGGGCCTCTACGTGCAAGTGCGGAAGCCTCAGACTCGAGGACGGGCGTGGCAGCGGTGGACCGAGGCCACGGGTGCCCACTGGAGACAGGCGGCCACTTCCCAGGGAAGCTGCGGGAGCCTCCAGGCGGGGCGCGGGAGACAGCAGAGCCGTGAAAGATGAGACCCCTCCCTCCTCCCACACGGCCATTCAATCCAGGTCGGGTACCAGAGAATGCTCCCCAGAGGTAACCCCAGCCACCTCGGAGGGGTGACCTGCGTGAAGGAGCCGCCACCCCAGAAAGGCCCCAAGACACTTCTGGTCTGGAAGCAACTGCTCCCTAATTGCTTTCACGGGGCCTGTTCAGGGCCAGGCTCAGCTCTCTGATCCCTTCTGGCCCCTCGGAGCACCCACCCGGGTGGGGCACAGGGGCGGCCTCTCCCCAGCAACCGTGGGGGGCTCATCAAAGAATGCCCGGCTGACAGACGGTCAGACATGCGGGGAGTGTTGCGGTGACGGCCAGGCAGGCTGACCGGCCCTGGTGACAGCCAGCAGGCCGCCGAGGTGTGAGGGGGAAGCCGTGCCTCCTGCCGCAGCCAGTTGCTTCTGGTCTGGAGTCCAACAGGCTGAAGCAGAGCGGCCCCTGCCCACAAGGACCAGGGCCCCGGCTGGACCAGGCCCCAGCAGCACCTCCCGCACGGCCCGCTGCCCACCCTGGGCTCCCTCCTCCTCTGGAAAGGCCGGAGGCTGCAGCCACTGGGGTAGGCCCTGGCGGCCCCTGCAGACTCAGTTACCTGGGGCACCTTGCGGAGCCTCTCTGTTCACCTCTGCCCAGGGCCGTCTGAAGGAAAAGCGCCAACTTCAGAAACGGAATTGGCAGAAAAGAGCAGAAAGCTGGGAGCTGCAGCAAACTGGGGGTGGAGGTGGCGCCCAAGCCCATCCGCCGGGTCAGCGCGGCCCCTGCTGCCAGGGCAGATCACGCCCGTGCCCAGGTGAACATGGGGAAGGAGTAGGCCCCCGGCCCCCAGGAAGGGGACAGTCCCAGGGAGGCAGAGGGGGCACACAGGGGCGCTGTGCCAGGCCACGCCCGAGGAGCGCACCATGAAGTACCGCCATGAAGCCAGAGGCCAGACACATGCCGCCATCGGCTCCCTGGGTGCAGCCCAGGCTCCAGACCAGGGCCCAGCCCAGCCGGGAGTCCAGTCGCCTTGACCTGTGGCAGGGCCCCAAGAGCAGCTGGGGGGCCGCCGGCTCCCACACCAGCCTGTGCCCAGAGTGACAGGGCTGCTCCGGGCAGTGTGAGGTCTCGCATTAGGCTGCGGATGCTTATCTCCAAAATGAAACTAGATTTACCTGTTATCTGTGTGCTTTTGCAGAGCAGATACATGAACTACAGGATACTCTAAAGACAGGGGAAGATACGGCAAAAGAAGCCCCCGCACCCCCCCTCCAGGCAAAGGGGAGGAAATCCTGGGGAAGCGCGGAGGGCCGTCTGCCCCAAGGGGGAGCCTGGCTTCTCGGAGCCTGTGTGGGTTTACTTTTAAGACAGACCCCTAATGTCACCTCTAAACTACCCAAACATTTCTTGGGGGGGGGGGCTCCAGCAAGTCTGCCCCACGCACACCCCAGCACAAGGCAGCCAGGGGCTCGTCCGTTCAGCGGACCCACCTGGGCGGCAGGAGGGGCCCGCAGGCCTCATTAGACACGACCCCTTAGGAACCCAAAACAGAGACAGTCCAGGACTTACCCAAAGTCTCAGAGTCCACAGCGGGGAGCCCACCACGCTGCTGGGGCCACGACTCTGTTCACCTCAACGCAAAGAGTGAGCACTCGCTTTGCGAGGAATCCCACTGGGGATCGGCTGTGTCACACACGTACCCGCACTCTCACACGTGTCCCTCTGTCAACAAGCAGCATGTGGTCGGCTGAAGGGGTGCGGAGTCCCCGAGGACACTCCTGCGAGGCAGCCAGCTAGTGGCTGGCCCGGCTGCCCGCCCAGAGCTGCAGGGGGAGGCTGACCAGCCCCAAGAGCGAGCTGAGCAGCCCCTGGGGCCAGGCCGTGGCTCGTGGGCTCAGCACCCAACTCTCTCGGCTCCCCCCAGCTCCCCCGTGTCCAGGAAAGCAGAGGAAACAAACTCACAGCACAGAGCTGGCGATACAGGTCTAGTCAAGACGTCACTTTAGGTTGTGGGACTCACGAGTTCTGTTTCCTCAGTGTCCTTGTCTGTGTTTCCTGAATGTTCTATATGAACATGCTTGTATAATTCTTGTTAGTTTTCAAAAGAAAATAGTGAGCCCACAGTTCATCCAGGCTAACCTAGGCGAGCATCACTCCTTCAAACACTTGAGCGAGTCCACCTCTCCCCAGGGCTGTACGAGCAGAGTGCAGACGGGACTTGGGCCTCCCCAAGACCCCAGCAGCTCCAGGTCCCGCAGAGCAGCAGGCAGGGTGGACATCGTCTCTCTCCTGTCTGCGGAGGGCAGGAAGGACAAGATCCTCAACCCTCTCTCCTTCAAGTGCAACCACGGCTCCCCAGCCCTCTGCTCCCAGAACAATGCCCAGTGATCCACTCACACCACCCCTTAGCCACAGAGTGACCCACACCGACCTCTGCCATCTGCAAACCTCTCCAGCAGCCCAGCTCCGGGAACACCCCTTTGCAATATCCTGTTTCTGAAAATTATTTCTCTTCTTAGGTTTCACCAATACGGAATCCCACCCAAAGAACAACTCATTCTATCAATGAGTAGTCACTGCTGACCTCACTGCACAGTTTGAGGAAACACTATTAAAAGTAAGGAGGGAAGGAGGAGGCTTTTCTGTCACAAAGCCTCAGAAAAACAAACAGGAATTGGGGCCTCCCTCGTGGCGCTCCCCACTCTGTCTCTGGTGAGTCCTCTCATCCCCATACCTCTGGCCTGTACCCCAGCTCTTGTATGCATAAATAAATCTTAAAAAAAACAACAAGGTGGCGCAGGAGCGCCGAAGCTGCCCGCGGCTGCAGCGCCGGTTCGATCCCACCAGAGGAGGATACATGGCGCGCAGACAGCAGTGTACTTCAATTCACCCTCCCGCGCTCTGACTGTATGCTGGGCCGGGGCCTCCCTCATGGCGCAAGGGGTTACACACCACACTATGAAGCTGGGCCGGCCAGGGGGCTGCCCACAGGGCGCAGCAGACCTCTCCTGTCTCCCCGCTGCTCCCCTCAGCAGTGGATTTCAGTCCATCGGCCTGTTCTGTCCCCTGCTCTGTCTCCGGTGAATCCTCTCACCCTCCCCGCACCTCTGGCCTGTGCCCCAGCTCTTGTACGCATAAATAAATAAATCTTAAAAAAAAAACCAAACAAACAGGAATTGAGGAGCAAGTCGCTGGTCGGTCCCAGTTCTAAGCAGGGAGGGGACGAAGACAGGGCTGGAAGGGGTGGGGGAGAAGGTAGTTCCGTCATCCTGCACTTTCACCTCCCATGGGGAGTAGTTACGATCCCGAGGTCAGGCACAGCCCCTCCCCAGTCTGCTTAGTGCCTGTGGCTACCTGAACCCAACCAGCCCTGAGCACACTGCAGAAGAACTGAATCTGGGGTCTGGGACACAGAGCCAGATCCTGAAGCCTGGCGGTGCTGCAGGACGACATCTGTCTCCACTCGACCCGCCGCGCCGCACCCACCAGGAGAGGTATTTGTCCTGTCTGATTCCGGGAGGTGGGGTAAAAGCGTGAACCCGGGCCCCTGAAATGGTGCTGGGAAGCAATGCTGAACATAATATTGAAAAAAGAGAAATGACAACGACAGTTCCCTGTGGCTTACAGGCTAAGATCTCAGCTTCTTGACCTGCCTTCCAGAGCTCCAGCTCGGCTTGCCAGCCTCCACCCCACGGGCCGCGCCTCTCGGGACCCCAAGCCTTCCCGCAGGCTCCGCTAGAGCATCCCCTGCCCAGGCCCGGCGCCTGGACAACTCCTGTGCTTTCTCCAAAGCCCAGTGCAAAAGTCACCTCCTTGGGCCTCCCCGGGGCGCAGCGGTCGAGCGCTGGGCTGCGAAGCTGCCCGCAGCCTCTGCGGCGCCGGTTCGATCCCGGCCGCCGGCGAGGGTCCCACAAAAAAAAAAAAAAAAGGGAACCAAGTCACCCCCTTGAGGATTTAGCTCTTACTTCTCGAGCTGCGCCTAAGTACACGCAGCGCCGGCTCCTGGACACCCGCCCCCGACACACGGCGCCGCCCGCGGCCGCGACGGCTTCGTGCCCAGTCCCGGCGCCGCCTCACGAGGGGACCAGGGCGAGCGACGCGCCTCCGGGCCGGGGCATCGGGCTGCCCGGCGGACACGGGCGCGGGAAAGAGTCTCACAAAATTCGAGAATCAAATCTTGTACTTCACCTCACGCGAAATGACCGCCCGTGGCGGGGGAGCAGCGAGGGCGCGGGGAGCTGGGACCCGAACCCGGCGGCAGGTGCTTTCCAGTCTCCATGACGGGGACAGGTGAGGCTGCTCCCAACAGGAAACTGAGGCGCAAGGGAGGCAGGTAAGCGCTGGGCGGTGGGGGCGGGCTCGGGGGCGCGGGCCTGCAGACGAGGCGGCGCGGGGAGTCACCTGCCCGCTGGGCTCCCGCGCGGCCAAGGGGCGCGGCTTCTCTGGGGCGCCTCGGGGATGCCCGCCCCGGCCCCAAGGCCGCCGCCCGCCCGCCCGCCCGCCCGCCCGCCCTGGTTAGGCCCCTCGGAGCGGCGGGGCCCTGCCCGCTCATCCCAAAGTCCATCCCCGAGGCCAGAGCCTCTCCAAACGCCAATGTCGCGGCTCCTCGCGGCAGGCCGCCTCCCGGTCCCGACGGGCCGCGGGGCGCAGTCCAGACGGCCGGGAGGCCTTGGGGACCCGCGCGGCACCCCCGCGCCCCGCCCGCTCCCCCCGGGGGGCCGCCCACTTCCTCGGGCCCCGCTGGTCTGGCCCGGGCCGGCCTCGGCTCTCGGGGGCGCGGGTCCCCCGGCCCTCCCGGCGCTCGGCAGCTGGAAGCGACGCGCCCCCCACTGCCCTCAGCGCCGGTTCAGGAGACGCCGGCCCGGCCCGGGCCCCTCCCGCTCCCGTCCGCGGGGCGCGCGGCCCGGGGAGCTCGGGGACCCCGGCCGGCCCCGGCTGCCCGCGTTCGCCGCCGAACGGGCTCTCGGGCGCGCGTGCCCGTCGGGGGCGCCGCCTTCCCGCCCCCGGCCCCGGCCCCCGGAGAACTTCGGCCGGGACGCGCGCCGCCCGCGGCGGGAGAAGCGGACGCGGCCCGCGGGGGGACCTGCGCGCCCCCGCCCCCCCCCCCCGGCCCGGCCCGGCCCCCGCCCCGAGCCCCCGCCCCGAGCCCCGGCCCGCCCGGCCCGGCCCGAGCCGCGGAGCAGAGGCGGCTCCGCCCGGCGCCCGGCGCCCAGCCCGCGCCCGCCCGTCCCGACGGCCCCGGGGCGCCCCCGGCGGGGCTGGGCCCGCGCGGCCGCCGCCCGAGAAAAAGGAAGAAAGTTGGGAGCGGGGGGCGGCCCCTCCGCCTCGGGGTTCCGGGGCGCCCGCGGCGCGGCCCGGCCCCTCCCCCACGTGCGCGCGGCGCCCGGAGGCCCCGGTCGGGCCCGGGCCGCGGCCACCCGGGGCGGCGGGGGCGGGGGCGGGGGCGGGGGCGGCGGGGAGGCCCGCGGGCCCGGCCCCGGCCCCGGCCCGACCCCGGGCGGCCCGCAGGGCCCGGGGGGCGGCGGGCGGCGCGCGGGGCGCGGGGGTCCGCCCAGGCCGGCGCCGGCCCCCGGGGCGGCGGGGCGCGCGGCACCGTTATCCGGGGCGCGGGGGCGGGCGCGGGGCGCGCGGCGGCGCCGGGCGGGGCGGGGGCGGCGGCCGCGCGGGGGCGGCGGGGCGCGGGGGCGGCGCGGCGGGGCCGGCGGCGCCGGGGGGCGGGGGGGGGGGGGCGGGGGGCGCGGGGCCGGGCCGGGGCCCGGGCGGGCGGGCGGGCGGGCGGGCGGGGCGGCCCCGCGGGGGTCCGGCCGGCCGCGGGGCGCTTACCTGGCGGCGGCGGCGGCGGGGCCTGGGCCGGGCCGCGCGCGTCCCCAGCGCCGGCGGCGGGAGCCCCAACATGGCGGCGGCGGCGGCGGGCGGGGCCGGCTCGGGGCGGGGCGGGCGGCGGCGGCGGAAGGCGGCGGGGCCTGGGCGGCCCGGGGCGGCCCCCGCGCCCTCCCGCCCCGCCCGCCCCGCCCGCCCCGCCCGTCCAGCCGCCTCGGCGCGCGAGCCCCGGGCGCCCGGGAGGAGGCGGGCGCGGGGCGCCCCGGGGCGCGGGGGTTTGGGGATCCCCGGGGCGCGGCGGGGCCGGGCCGGGGCCTGCGCGGGGCCGCGCGGCGGGTGGGGAGCCGCGGGGCGTCCCGGGCGCGTGACCCCGCGAGGCGGGAGCCGGGGCGCGGCCCACCCACCTGGACGCCGGGCGCGGGGGGGCGCGGGGGGCGGCGGGGCAGTGGCGGGGCGCGGCCTCGCAGGGGAGCGCGGGGGCGGGAGGCGAGCTCGAAGGGGCGCCGCTCCTCGGGGTGTCCGGGGCGCCCCAGGGGGGGTTTCTTTCCTCGTGGCAGCGCGCGCGCCCCGAGCCCGGCTCTGAGGTGGGAGGCGGGCGCCCCGACCCCGCCGGCGCCCCGCGCCTGCCCCGGGCCCCGCTTCTAAGCCAGTGCGAGCCCGCCCAAGCCCAAGCCCCGCACCCCTCAGCGCCCCCGGAGCCGCGGGTGCCCCAACTTTTCTCCCAGTCGTCTCCGGCCCCGGTTCCTGCTCCCAGAAGGCGCGCGTCGTGCCCTCTCGGGAGTGGGGCCCCGGCCCGGCCCCCACCCCGCTTCTGCTCCCCGGAATCCCGAGCCCTGTGGGAAAACAAGCAGAACGCCGAGTGCGATGGGATGATTAAACGAGTTGTTTTGTAATCATTAAGAATAATGATGCAGAGCATGAATAACATTGGAGAATACATGTGATCACAAAGTGCATCATTGGATGAGGAAATACCGGCTTTTAACACGTAAACGTGCATGAGTGTCCGTCATGCGTCCGTCAAAAACTTGCTTTCTGTGAGCTCTGTCTTTTCTTATTTTTACGGGACATGAATATTTCCCTTGAGATCAAGGAAAGGGGTATTTTAAAGTGTTTTTAAGGAAGGTATTTTTTAAAGCAGATATTTATTGCATTCAAAAGAAAGGTTGAGAATCGGGAGACTGGAAATGGGTCTTTGGGGTGTTATAGAGCAACCCCGATGTTAAACGGGTTCCTGGCTGTGGGTCCTCACCCGCGCGCTTTAAAGGGACTTATGAATACTCTACTACAGACACACGCAAAAGGGTTCATAAAAGGTTTATTTACAAGAGAAAAAGAAATAAGGAAAATGGACAACTCAGGGAGAAAATAGGGAAATAAAGTCTTTCATGCGTCCTACCCGATCCGACGACCTGGAAACCCAAAGTCACTCTCAGAGCTGGCCGGACGCTGGGAGCTGGCGGAGAGCCAAAAATGGGGGAACCCCAAAGCCCACGTGTCTGCCTTTTGTATCCACCTGGCTGCTTAACCCCACCCTCAGGTCCCAGCCACCTTCCCTTTGGTGGGGATGGGATGTGGAGTTCCCAGTGTCTTTGGCTTTGACCTGGGGTGGGGGTGGAGTCCACAAAGCCTGTATGGAATTTGCTTTGGGACTGCCTTTTCCCCCTAACAGGGGGACAGAGGGGCCTGGGCAAGCGGAGGGGCTAGGTGGGGAGGCTGCCCAGGCAAGGGAGCGCCACTGCCTGAGGTCCCAGGAGCACCACCCCTGTGGCCAGAGGGCTGCTGAGCCCGTCTGGAGAGAGAAGACAGGACAATGGCCCCGAAGGCCAGGCTGAACCCTTTGTAAGTCGCAGGCCAGGAAGAGCCCCTGAAGGGTGCATTTCAGACTGTTTCCCTCTTCATGAGGCTCCAGGTCTCAGCCCTTCCTTCGGGAGACTTGGACACTTGGTTTACTCAGAGCAATGAGGTAGGCCTCAGTTTTTACCTTCTAGCTGTAAGCAGAGTGAGAATTGGCCCTTGCTTCTCTGCTTATTAGTTACTAGAATATTCATTCTGAACGCAGCAGAGTGTCAGAACAAAGTGGCAAAGGTCGAAAGTGAAAGAAAAAGAAATGGACACCATCAACCGGGGCTTTGCAAATATTTCCTTTCCTGCAACTTTCTTTGAGTTTGGCATTTTAAGAGCCTACAGATAGTGAGATCATACAGTATTTCTGTTCTTTTTTTCTTGCTTTATTTTTTTAAAGATTTATTTATTTATACAAGAACCAGGGTACAGGCCAGATGCGTGGGAGGGTGAGAGGACTCACCACAGACAGAGTGGGGAGCACAACAGGCAGATTGACTGAAACACACTGCTGAGGGGAGCAGCGGGGAGACAGGAGAGGTCTGCTGCGCCATGTGGGTAGCTCCGCAGCCGGCCGGGAAGGAGCCCGCGCTGACGAGGCTGTGGACAGCTTCACGGTGCGGCGCTTCACTGCCTGCGCCACCAGGGAGGCCCTCTCTTTCTCTGTTCTGACTTAGTTCCCTTAACACGATGCCCACGGGGTCCATTCATGTTGTTGTTAATGGCAGGATTTTCTTCTCGTTTATAACTGAATAATGTTCTTTGTAAATCTTTCTTTGATTGTGACCCTCCATAAGAAACATAGTCCTCATCTCCAGCTAGAACACGCATGTATGCACAAATACACACACCGCTGAATCAAAGGCCTCAGAATATTACCCTTCTTTTATGCAATACAGGCTGAGACTTCAACTTTATTTTCATTTCTTTTCAAATACAGCTCAGGACCTACCACATTAATTTTTATGACCCAATACAGGCTCCCAACATGTTTTAAAAGATGTTGAAAACTAGGTCCTCCCTGGTGGAGCAAGGGGTTAAGCACCGCACTATGAAGCAGCCTCTGCAACTCGAGTTCAATCCCCGGCCAGGGAGCAACCCACATGGCGCAGCAGACCTCTCCTGTCTCCCCGCTGCTCCCCTCAGCAGTGGATTTCATCAGTCTGCCTGCCCTGCTCCCTGCTCTGTCTCTGGTGAGTCTTCTCACCCGCCCCCTCATCTCTGGCCTGTGCCCCAGCTCTTGTATGCATAAATAAATAAATCTTTTTTTTTTTTTTAAAAAGGCAAACATACACTTTACCACTTCATCTGAACTTCAGACCTGTACAAAACGCCCAGTTGCTGACCCGCCTGTGTGAGGGCGGACCTGTCCCCCCCGCAGCAGCACTGACCAGCGTCCTGGAGCAGCTCTCTCAGGCAGGCCCGACCCATGGCTGTCCTCGGTGCTTTCTAACACACCTCTTTAAAGAGGATGGAGGACTCACCGCTTCTGACAAGGCAATAGAAGCAGAGGCTCCTTCTTCAGGGAATGAGAAAAATCCTTTGTAATGATCTTGCCCACATCTGGTCTGACAGTAATTTCCAGCTGCTCTAGCTAATGCTGCCACCACCTACGGCTGGCGTTACAGAGAAGCAACTTTTCACGCTATGTCCCGTCAGTTTGTGTCACTTTGCGCTACGCTGCACTCCTGCAGCGCAGTGAGGCAGGGCTGGGGCTGCACCCCACCGACCCTGGTTGGCGCCTCCCCGCTGGCAGGTACCCCCAAGATGGACTCACTGGTCCACAGCCTGTTTGTTTAGAGGGAATAGGACACCATGAACACACAGGCTGGCACGCCCCGCTCTGCACAGGCCCGGAGGCTTCTCCCCCAACTCACAGTCTACGAATGCTTGTTGATGTTCGGGATGGGGACTTGAAGAAGCCAGCAGAAGTAGAGGAAACTGACCTGTAAACAGGATAAAGAGGCTGTGTGAGAAGGAATGTTGGGGAGGGGCCTCCCTGGTGGCAGAAGGAGTTGTCGCAGCACTATGAAGCTACCTGCAGCCTCTGTAGAGCAGCAAAAGTTCAATACCTGGCAGGCCAGGGAGCCGACCCACACGCCCGATGGGAGCAGTGTTTCTCATCCCAGTGCTCACGGTGGCACAGCTGGGACATCCACAGAGGCTGAGGCAACGTGAGTGGGGTGGTCCTTTCAAAAAGTGACTTGAGGGCCTCCCTGGTGGCACAGGGGTTAAGTCTCAGCACTATCATGCTATTGCCTCTGCAGCCTGAGTCCGATCCTTGGCCAGGGAGCTACCCACAAGGTGCAGCGGACCTCTCCTGTCTCCCGGCTGCTCCCCTCAACCGTGCATTTCAGTAGATCCACCTGTTCTGCTCCCCGTTCTGTCGCTGGAGAATCCTCTCACCACCCCCCACCTCTGTCCTGCACCCCAGTTCCTGTATGCATAAATAAATAAAAATGAATCTTAAAAAGAAAAAACAACTTGACATTCATCTTTCTGAACAACCTGACTCGCTTGACTCCATGCCACTCCTGGAAATTTCTCCTGGAGAAGTCACCCTCCAGGGAAAGAACTGCCAGGGCTGTCTGCACTGCAGGGGTGGTTCTGGATGGTAACTAAGTCTTCACTCTCAGGTTAGTTACTTCCTGTCCCCGTAGCAACCACAAAGGTAACTTGCCAAACAGTTGATTACATATAAGTGAAAAAAGATACAATGGGCTCCCTCAGAGGAGACCAAGGCCTCTGACTGTGAATTCCGTGAACTGTCACCATTTGGTTGAGAAAATTTCTTGGTTTTGCTTTTGTACGGACAGGACCAAGGGCCTGAGCTGCGGAGAGTTCTTGCAGAAATGCTGTGCTGAGCTGTGGCTGCAGGGAACCCACAAGGGAATAGCAGCGCCCCCAGGGCCAGCATCTGCTAAGATGCCGCTGTCACCCTCAGGCCAGACGTGGCCCAACGCCGCGTGAGAGCAGCGGCTGAGGGCTCAGCAGTACAGCCCTGCCCTGTCTCCTGCCCTCCAATCTCCCGGTTCTCCCCACTGGCTGAACCCAGAGGAAGCAGGGGAGCCCACAGGACACCCTCCATCAAGGCCGGCCTCTAAAGGAGGCCAGAGAGTAGACCTGGAGGAACTGAGGCAGAACTGAGCAGGTGTCTGAGGTGAGCCCTGCCCAAGCATTCGGC